ATAAAAAGATTTAATTCTAATGAGTCAACGGCCCATATGAACATCAGATAAGGCAAGCTGTAGCGAAAGGAGCGCGTCTTTCCAATAGCGAGGGCCAAATAAATGACTTGCTAATTACTTTAAACCAAGGGCTGCTTGAGATCGCAGATTTCGATTTGCTCTAGACTAAAGCCACTTCAGTCAAAAGCATTTCTCAAGTCTTTATATGAAGAATTGAAGAATACAACTTAGGGTAAATACAGGACTATTTCCGTAATACTGGAAACAAGCAGGGCTGGATAGAAGCTGTCGCTGATGTAGCGAGCACCCAAGGCAGATTGTGATATTGCCTCCTATCAGATTCAGCCCCATTGGAGCCATATGGTACTTATAGTGTTTACGAAATATTACGGCTGTATTGAATTTTGAGATATCAAACGACAGAAGTGTTTTGTAAGAGAAATTGTGGCATGAACTTGAAACAAGTGTTAAAATTTAACGAGTTTTCGATTTAATCCTTTTAAAGCGTGTCAAAGGTTATTATACTATTGCTTTGCCCCACCTTCCCGTCAGTGCTACTGGAGTTTGATATGGTCGGCCTTGCACTGTAGTGCAAGTGTCACGATAAAAACAATATCGCTAACAAATGTTTTCTTATAAATAAAATTGGAAATTAAATACAAATTAGTTATTTTATTTCTATTTTTATTGACTATATATTTTTTCCTATCAATTAATTCCCACATTAAAAAACACAAGAACATACAACAAGGTTATCCCGACGATCAATGTCTTGTTAAGGAGAAAAACATTCTTATTTTTTTCGTAATTAAAACATTGCTTGATGTTGATATCGTATTTATCTTTGATGTAGGTCCAGGGAATCGGAGATTCTGTTTTTGTATGAAGAAAAACATCGCCAAAGAAACTCTCGCTGAGAACAATAAATGTGTGTGTGTTGAACAGTCACCTTATATGTCATGGCAGTTGAGCCTTAGCTTGGATAGTGGTCTGAGTTATTATTGTTTCTTTAGTGACAAAGAAATTGACAGTTTGATAAGGAAATACAAGCAAGGTGGTGTTGATTCACGCTTTTTCGGCAATCTGTCAGATAAGGAAATATGACAGTTGTTCTCTTGTACAGTTGTAAAATTGGTAAGTTATCTTTCTGTCTTTGAAAAGAAATAGATGGAAACTAAAACGGAGGCTTTACAAAAAGGAAATCGAAGATTATGAAGATGAAGACGACAGCTGTTTTCCAGCTGACATATAGATACAAATTAGACTATCTGAGATGACTGTGTGGTTTCAAAGAGTTATGTGGTACAAAATCCAATATTTCACCCACAAGTGACAAAACTGATATCTGATGTAATTCCCTATATCGAGTTTCATATCCAGCGTTTGTAAAGAACATTATGAGGTGATGAGTTGGGCACAATTCGATTTTAAACAGGTTGTTTTAATGAGATGTTGATTATCAGAAGGAAGCATTCCTAAAACGTGATTCAAATCTTAGACGTTAACCTCTTTTGTGTAACCCATAAGGTCTGATATTATGATCATAACCAGAAAGAAACATGGAATCGAACCCAAGATAAGCAATTCCTGGCAAGGTAAGGGGACACAACTCTTTACTCGAAGTGCATGGCCTCGGTACAATAAGTCATAAAAAGGATGAATTGGTGAGTAAGTATTCTTTTACGTCGCGTTTTGCAATATTCCAAAAATATCAACGTGGGGATATGAGAAATGGGCTTCACTCAGAGTACCACTGTTGAATCGAACTCAGAATATAGGAATCACTAAACAAATGCTTGTATTGGTCGACTATATTGTTTCGGTGTAACCGTAAATGTTTAAGATAAATGATGTGCCTTCTTCATCACTCAAATCTGGTAGTACTCCAGCAATAATATCTATATGTTAGTACGGAGTAAATGTATGCATTATGCATTGTCCATGATGCAGCGTCACTATGCTAACTTACCAACCAACCTATATTTATAACGCATGCTATATTTGGGATTGCACTTTCACGGTCAAGTACATAGTGTAGCATTGCATTAGGTAAGGTCCTGTCCGGGATTCGAACCCACACTTCCAGAGGAGAACATCTAATGACCAGCATACAAAAATCAGCAAATCTAATCACAAAAATGGATGCATGACAACTAGTTGTCTGGAATACTTCTTTGTGTACCCCTCTGAGAAATACAAATTGGAATACACAATATCTTTTAGAAACAATTCACTTTTTGTGAAAGTACTTTACTGAGAAAGTGTAATCCCAAATATAATCTTACACTGACCACTTTCCAAAAGACACTGTGTATTCACAATCCACATTTATATACATTCATTAATATATTCATCAAAAGCGACGTTAGTCAAATATATTTGGTACCCATGAAGATCCAGGTTAGTATTTGGTCTTCAGCAACCCATGCTTGTTGTAAGAGGCGACTATAACGGAATCAGGTGGTCAGACCCGCTGACTTGGTTGACACATGTCATGGTATCCCAAATGCGTAGATCGATGCTCATGTTGTTGATCACTGTATTGTCTGGTCCAGACACGGATATTTACAGATCGCCGCCATATAGCTGGAATATTACTGAGTGCGGCGTACACAAACAAAAATATAGTCCTTTACACGTGTTTGATATGACAGTGTATAATGCGCCCTTTACAACAGAACAACTACTACAGTTGGCGGGATCTAGCCAATCAACATGAAGCAATAACATGAATGCAATACATACAACGCATCGATATCCTCATATCCCCCTATGGGTAGTATGGTAAGTATCTCACAAGAACATAGGAGATAAACTCGTAGCGCTATGACAGCTTTGTAAAATGAGATCTTGGATGCTGTTCCACAAAACGATGTTAGCACAACGAGGTGTTCTGGTTCATAGGCGTTTGCCCGGAGAGCGGCAGTTAGGCGTTCGATACCCGGCCACACCATACCCAAAGACGTTAAAACCTGGTACTTCCTGTTACCCTGTTCGGCAAAAAGGGACATAGACTAGTCGGCCAAGAGTCGGTATATCATGTCTGAAACAGGCATGGCCTAGCAGTATAAAACTGGTTCCGATGAATACAAGCATACATAAACACAGGCACGCGCGGGAATGTGTTTGCGTGGTGCTAAAAATGTTTAGTAATCTTGGGTGTACATCTGAAACCCGTGTTCATGTACAGGCATTTCGGTTACTTTAGGCAAAGGCAAACGGTATATAGGAAAACTGGTCATTTTCTCTTTGTTCCGCAAACCTATTCGTGCTACAAATTGCCTGTGTTTTAGGTACGGGACCCCGAACACCTCTAACCCTGCGACCACAAGTCTACCATATATAGTATTTTTATGCCCAAACCCGACAATGTACTTATCTAAAATCCTAAATAGGTGCCAAAGAAAATGTCACTCAGGGACTGCTCTAAATGCAACTGCTAAAGCCATGCACGGGGGGGGACACTTATCTTATCCACGACTCACTGTGCAGAGTTGAGTCCCTTAGAAACCGGTCGTGGGTTCAAATCCCGAAAACGCCACGATCATAAATGTGTGTTTTGGGTTTTTTTCAGCACCATTATATCTATCTGTGCTCGAGTATCACAATGGCGTCACTCACACGTCAACCTCACATACACCATGATTAAACTGACACTGTTCAAAACCACCCTCAGATAAACAAGCTGACATGTTTACTATCTCTCAGCGTTATAGTAGTCGCAACTAAATCACTTAAATGTGTACTCAACAATCCGTATAAAAACAACCACTGCCTCCCTGCCTATCATCTCGCACGTTTTGCACATTTACACGCTTCATGATAATAATAACAGATTTGTATGTTTTTATAACCTAAGCATATATTTTTTTCATATTTTCTAATTGCTCTACTTATTATAAGTGCTTCATAACGGTTGTAGCATCTGCAGCAAAACTTGACGAGGCTTTCCAGCAGGAAGTTCATCCAAACAGTTGCCTCTTATATCATAAGACCGTAACCCAATACCTACCACTTTGATTTAGTTTTACGCCAATTTTAGCATTATTTCAACAATCTCACTGCTAGGGACACCGGAAATGAGCATCACACTGTGCCCATGTGGAGAATCGAACCCGGGTCTAAGGCGTGACAAGCGAACGCTTTGACCACACACTACCCTACTGCCCTAACACCGCTTTGAACAATGTTCCAGCTATACCACGCCATGTCAGACTGAAGTCCAAGGAAGTGCACTTTGTCTCACAGTACCTGCATCATATTATTTCCCCTTCAGTCCAGCACATTCTGTAATGAAAACGCTCTAAATGAAGTAAGTTTAGTCTCGGGTTCTGAATTACCCAGCTCACTGGGGCTCCTTTTGAGTTTAAATGGAGCTCTTTGTCGCTCTCAGAGGGTGACTGTCAGAGACGAAGTAAGCGTTATACCTACAGGATGTGATGCACGTATACGCAAGCAGGACCTTTGTGGAAATATGCACTTCACGTATAAAAACATTTTCAGCCAGTTATACAATGCATATTATTCCTATGATATTTAATCGGTCCCATAGTGATGATTTTGTGCAAATATTTAGTGGTATGTTAAAAACATCACGTTGAAAATTGCCTCCCTTCCCATATTCCAATTTCCAGTTCCGGTTGTAAACAAGTGCACGTTTTTCATATGAAACGTTAGAGACATTGTTAATATATATTTTCATGAATGCCATGGGCGTTTGCACATATAGATTTACGCTAAATATATTTCAGATCATTTTCTAAGTGAAGACATGTTATAAATCAAAAACAATGCAGTGTTACTGTGTCGCCAGTCGCCACACCTAAAAGGACAGAATCTATTCGAAATTGCTACGTAGAACAGGGATAAGAAAATATATAGAAATACAGTGAGTTGTTTGTTGTTTTAATGAAAATTATACTCCTTCGTTTTGGAAAGATTTTGTTGATCAGAATATTGCAAGTTAATGTTTTATGTTTCCCAAAAGACATATTTACATTTTATTTCAGTGTTGAGCATATAACTTTGAAGAGACTCTGAGGCAGAAAACGAGTACACGAGAACCATGGAGCCTTCAGGTACTTTTGACAAGACGTGTTTGTACACATGTATTTATGTTCAGAACTGCCTCCATGGAGAGCAATTGACTGTCTTGAGAACAGCAGGTCAGTGGTCTGATACCTGTCTTACCATCAGCCTTTTTAAAGATAGTACTTGTTGTTTCTCTGTCTTGTGCTTGGCATCATGGAATAAAACATGACTACAAATGATCAGTAGTTCTACCTGCAAGTGGTGCCCCATGGAAAAAATCGTGAATCGTGCAAAAATAGTGACAACAAAATGATTGTTTGTTATACAACTTTATATTTCGGGTGTCCAAAATTTTGAGACAGATCAGTAGAGTTGGTTTGTCTATTTCATGTGATTGTGCAAAATTTGGTTTTGATGCAATTATTAGAATTTGTGTTAGTGAGCAATTCATCGGTCTCAAATGAAATCAAATGGACTGTAGGTAGCTTGGTGTCATGACACTGTTTCTGAGTGAGGTATCTATTTCAATCTGTGGTTTGATTTCTCAGTGTGCTGGCACTATAAACCAGCGGTTGTCCTGACTGGTACAAGCAGCTGCACACAGACATGTGCACTGTATAAGTGCAATAATCTTGAATGCGTCATATAACACCATTTCACTTCACTATGCTCACCTCACCTACACTAACCTGAAAGATTTTACTATTCGTACTAGTAGCTAGTCAAGATTAAACATGAAAATGCAACTATTGGTACTGAAAGCTAATCATCAGTCTTAATGCCAAGTGAGAAGGTGAAGCCCCAACAATATAAAACAAGGTTCTTTTACCATGCTTACTGATCCTATGCTGGTGTCTACAGGTGAACAAAAGAAGGCACGGACGTTTGACTTCATGGCCATGTTTGAAGAAGCACGTCAGACGGCAAGAGAGAGAACACAAGACAAAGAGGGTATGTCCAGTTACTTACAATATTTGAAAAACTTTCCTCATATCTCTAAAATATTCAAAATCACTCGTTAAATATTATTCTTCAAACTTGTTTGAATATCACCCATTTAACTAATGATAAGTCATTAGTGAATCTCAGCTTTAACAAAAATGCACAGCTTCACAAAAAACATCCATGGACTATTTTGATGATCTTGATATTCAGTTTTATCATTACTTCGTGTAAGGATCCATGTCAGAATTGGTCTTCCGCAGCCCATGCTTGTCGCAAGAAGTGACTGAAGGAATCTGGTGGTCAGACTTCCTGACTCGTTAGACAGATGTCATCATATCCCTATTGTAAAGATCAATGCTCATGATATCATTTGCTGGATGGTCCTGACTCAGTTACTTACAGACTGCAATCATATAGTGTCGATATTGCTGAGTACAGCATTAAACAATAAACAAAGTAACTCTCAAAGTAGACTAACACTTAGCCTCTGAACATATATTTATTGGATTGAAACAACTAATTCCTTTTAAATTGAAAAGAAACACCATTGAGATGGGAGATTCAGAGCCTGAGGAAATCTTGACTTGCTTCAAATTAAGTTGCATTTCAGGGACTGTGAGACAGACAAGCCAACTGTTTGATGACAACAGTGCGATTAATATGGATTTCCTTCCAGATACAACCGGAGAAACTGTTCAAGATGCTACAGAGAAACTAAAAAACAGCCAAGGATGATTCAAGTGACTCCAGTGATTCTGACTCAGATAGTTCCTCCTCATCGGATGATGAGCGGAGGACAGACAAACCCAAACAGAAGTCAAAGGGAGGTAACTCAGATGATGACATGATTGGGCCACCTCTTCCACCAGGATTTGCTCAAGTTCCCAGTGATGATTCAAAGATTGTTGAAGCTTCAATGGCCGTGTCAAAGAGTGGGGACTCAGAAGATGAAGATGAGGAGGAGGAGGAAGATGAGGAAGAAGAGGTGAGTTGTAAAGACATAATTATTCTTGTGGGAGTTCTAGTCTCTGAAATGAATATGTACAGAAAAATAGTTCCTATATCTATAAAACATATGAAAAAGCAGCCCAGAGACTAAACAAATGTACAGAGCCATAATTTGCTTGGAATTTCAAGTAAAGATTGTTATCACTCATCACTGATGTGCCATAGTGTGTGACAGGAATATTGGTGTTACCACCTCTGCCCAAAGACTCACCCTGCCATCTTCACCAATGTTATTTTTCATTTTTTACCTCGAAATGCAAACATTTTAGATATCACCCCCTCTACCTAAAAGAGAAACAACGGAACAGGTACAGATAATAGAGAGATATTGTATGCCATTGTGTCTATTTAATCATAGGTACAATGTGTGAAGCCCATCATATTGCTGGAATATTGTTAAAAGCAGTGTAAAACCATACTCACTCAGTCAATCAGTGTAATCATGCATAGGGAAGGATAACATTATATGGACGAACATCTCTTTATTACAGATGGAGCCATGTTTCAGTGCAGGTTCTAACACCATTATCTAGACTTTATTGTATTAGTTCAGTTATGAAAACTCCCTCTTTTAATCCTGTTCATTATCTTCAGATGATGTCACCTGTGAAATGACATTAAACATTTATCACATAGTTCGTCAATGGAAACAGTTGTTGAGGTATTATCATGTTAACATTGAGCATTGGGAGTGAGGTTGTTTTATGTCATGAATAATATGATGGTGTATTTTGTTTGCAGTCACTTGACAAGAAGATTCCTATAAGTCATGATCTTGTTCTAGATCATGGGGGCAAAACTGTAAGTTATTAGCAACTGAGTAGTAGATGAAAATCATTCTTTGTTTTTTTTCTTTTTCACAATGGAGCAAAACTGTCTGTGTTGGAAGTTGTACTGGCCATACACAATAATAAATTCCTACTTTTCGGTTAAAAATTACCAAACCTTCCAGTGAACAAAACTCAGAAATACTTACTCTGTTTTGGGCAATATAAAGATTGCCAGGCTGTCAAGGATAATACCAGTTATTCTTTTGTAAAAGCCATTATAAAGGATAGATATGAGGCAGATATGCATATTTAGATATGAGGCAGATATGCATATTTAGGGTTGCACTTTAATGAAATGTTAAATTTGTCAGAAATGGCAAAACCTGAAGTTGGAGTTAATACTTGCTTTGGGGCAGGTTGCATAAACAAAATGTTAAAAATGTTCATATCGGTGTTGTGTTACAGGTATCTGCACTGGCGTTAGACCCATCAGGGGCCCGTCTAGTGACTGGGGGGTTTGATTTTGATGTCCGATTCTGGGATTTTGCTGGAATGGATGCCTCATTACAGAGTTTCCGAAATTTACGTCCATGTGAATGGTAATGATGTCCAACTCTTATTACTAATGTTGGTGTTTTTCTGTTGATAACAAGTGCTTGTATCTTAGGCATTTACTAACCACTGACAAATCAGGGCTATGTTATTGCCATAGTGATGATTGTTATGAAATTTGTTAGATTATGATTCAAGTAACAGTGCCATTGCAGGGTTCGAAATACTCCATATATTGGCATGCCATGGCACGTTAAATACTGAAATGGCACTGTTAAGAAATGTTCTCGGTGCCGTTATGGCATGCCTAATTTTGGGGGAACATAATTCACCTTTAATAATTTAATCCCCCCCAAAATACTTTTTTTTCCAAATTGAATGATGCCATACATATCTAAATGCTCCTAAACCCATTTCTTTCTTTAACAATAAATTCAAAATGATCATCATCACTGTCATTTATTCTAAAAACATGTGGGCACACTTGATTTCTGAAAGGCACGCTTAAAATATTGTCTGGTGCCCTAAGGCACACTTACGAAAAAACTTTTTATCCCTGCATTGAATGCATACCAGTAAAATACAATATGGCCGCCAAAATGAAAATGTCAGCATGTGCAGTTACTCTTATTGTACTGGCTGTTTGTCGTCTGTACACATAGAACTATGACATATTTCAGCCATCAGATCAAGTCCCTCTCATACAGCACAACAGGAGATAAGATTCTGGTAGTGGCTGGCAATGCCCAGGCAAAGGTCATCGACCGTGACGGCTTCGAGGTGCTGGAGTGTGTGAAGGGAGACCAGTACATTGTAGACATGGCCAGCACCAAGGTACGGGGTGGCAAACAGGAAGGCATGGGGTCCAGTTAGTTAACTCACTGCAACTTGCTGTGCGCTTCCATTGCAGTGAACAAATACAGAAATTGATTCTATCAGCTCACCCATTCAACATGATTTCTATTACCAGAATTTGGCATCATTAATGTTCAGTGTATGTGTTTGTAAACCTCCTATTATAATCCTTTAAAATTTGATATATATTAAGATGTACTTTCACTGGTGTGTGTTTTCGATAAATCTTCCTGTTACCATGGTTACTGCAGGGCCATACAGCCATGCTGAATAGTGGAAGCTGGAATCCCAAGATCAAGGAGGAGTTTCTCACATGTTCAAATGACGGGTAAGACATGTGAAATACTTGTGTACTTAATGATATAGCAGAAACTTGTCGGTTCTATCTGAATGCTATTGTCTTTATATCAAGCGTAGATAAAATACAGTATACACATTTTGTGTGCTTGATAGGTCTGTACTTGAGCCTAAAGTTCCTAAAATAAGTCATGCATTTCTTGAACTTTTTGTTCTGAGTGATGCATTGATTAATATTTCTAACGAATCCTTGCTATACACTGGGCATTCTTATCAGGTCCATAGATTAGGGCCAGCTTTCCACGTACCAGAGTTGTCTCCCTTCCAGATTCTGCCATTAGTAGATTTGGTACGATTATGCTTAACATCGTTATTATTGTAAGTTAGGTTGAAAGCTGCTTCGAACAACATTCAAGTTATATCACAGGATCATATCTTAATTAGGGATAGAAAACCAGAAAGTGATGTAAGTCACAGACATTACATCTGGCATTGCCAAGGGATGCAACTCTGCACAATGAACTTAAGCAACTGTGTCCCTTATTCTTAACAGACTCAGCTCAAACCTTACCCTTACACCAGACCGCCTCCGTAGTGAAGTGGTTAGAGAGTCCGCCTGGAGAGCTGAAGGTCACGGGTTCAATCCCCAACTGCGTCATACCGAAAGACGTTAAAATATGGTACTTGTTTGTCCCTGCCTGGCGCTAGGTATTAATGGGTACAACAAGGACTGGTCAGCTCGGAGTCAGTATAATGTGTCTGAGTGGGGTATTCATGCTTAACTGTCACATGGTATCTCAGTGAGCTAGCACCATTAAACCAGCTTAAGTCTGGGCTAGTACAAGCAGTCATACATGGACATGTATGCATGTCGTCATATGACCGAAATATTCTTAAGTACGACGTTAAACCCCATTTCACCTCACCCCTTACACAAAAGTGGTTTACATTTACCACCAATGTTGCTTAGGGCTTCCATTTCAATTTCTAAACAACTTTCAAATCTTCACTTATTGCAAACTTGCTTCCTTACTCTAATAATGTTTATTTGTACAGCACACTACGGCTGTGGGATGTTAATCAGTCTAAGAGACACAAGGGAATAATCAAACCGAAGAGTAACAGCGGTCGTCGGACTATCCCAACTACCTGCACCTACAGTAACGACGGCATCTACATCGCAGCAGCTTGTCAAGATGGCTCTATTCAACTGTGGGACCATAGGAAACACACTTTTGTATGTACATACAGTATTGATTGTAGAGTCACTGGTAGCACACTCAAAGGCTTTTATTGCAGGTTGGATATTCCCACAGTTTTGTATCGTCACGCCAAAGACCCAGGGTCGATTCCCCACATGGGCACAATGTGTGAAGCCCATTTCTGGTGTCCCCTGCCGTGATATTCCTGGAATATTGCTAAAAGCGGCGTCAAACTAAACTCACTCACTAACTGTAATTCCACAGGTTGATAGCTGAGGTTGCTGTATCCCTATTCATATGCCCATTCATTCAAGATCAGTTTTCCTTGGAGTCTCCACTGAGACCCATGAGAAAAGTTTGCCAACGTAGGCTGCAGGATTTACAGCTCATCTCTGCATTTTGGCTGCATATGATAAAAGAGATGAGAGGATAGGGTAACTGCAACCAGCAAGTTCCAACCCCTTTGACCTCATTTGAATCAAATGTTTTACATCCATACTATGTTATGTGAGATTAACTTTCTCTCTTGCCGATGAGCTATGTGGCTTCTAAATTCTTGATACAAGTTGGCAAAGAGGTTTTGTATTTGTTCATGGAGTGAGTGAATTTAGTTTTACGCCGCCCTTAGCAATATTCCAGCAATATCACCGGGGACACCAGAAATGGACTTCACACATTGTACCCATGGGGGGAATTGAACCCGGGTCTTCGGCGTGACAATGTTCATGGAGTAAAAGACCTGATTTTAATGATGTTTTATACTATTGTGCCATTTCTCTAACTGCCCTCAAACCCATGATGGTTTGCAGTGGGTGATTCGTACCTGGGAAGTGAAGAATAACTGCTGAAACATCGGCAATTGGTGAATGCATGCTCACATTCTCTCACACCCCACACAAACATGGCACGGTGGGTGAGCTGTCTAAGGCGCTGCGCTAGTAAGCGAAGGGTGCTGGGATCGAACCCCTCTTGGGACTGGGTGTAAAAACCTTGGAGCTAACATTACTTGCAGGCTCTTTCAGTGTTGTACAACCCCTAGTGTGCAGTACACAACCCTGTTCACTTAAAAGAACCCACTGATCCGATGGTAGGTGACCAGATAGCAGACACCTAGTTGCGGGTATAGTAACACATATAGTGCAGTATGGTATCAGGCTAACTGCCCCCCGGACAACAGCCCCCCAACAACTGCCCTCTGGGTATCTGACTACCCCGTAGGATTGTGCCCCCAATCAAAACTAAAAGTGTGGGGACACACACACACACTTCCCTCATCTTGATAGGATTTAGTAAACTCAGTTATTAAAACAATGTCTTGAGTTGTGATTAAAATAACAACTTAAGTAAGATAACAACTTAATTACATTATATCAACAAACAGTTACTCCCATCGCCCCTTATAATGCTAGTATATAAGCATTGGGGAAAAGGTGTTCTGTCAGTCATTTCACAATCATGGAGTGGATTTCAAGTCAGAGAGGGAAGAATAAGTTAGCTTTAGAGGGATTCTTGTATGTTCACCAGAAAGAGTTACAAGGTGGAGTTAACTCTTATGAATGTGTGGAATATTGAGCGGCGAAACCAAACTCAGTCTGTGTAAGAGCTACAGGTTAACTCTTAAATGTGTGAAGAAAGGCGAGTCGGAAGTAGTTGGGGAAGTAGTTCTGCATGATGATCACACACATGCACCTGAGCCCCTCAAAAGAAAAGTTGTAGAGAAATATAACTCTATGGACATTTTGGAATTTTTAAGAGCCATCTCCCACAATCTGTCCTTTTAAGTGAATTGATATTTATGAACTTTCTGAAAAATGAGCTCTGAATGAATCTGAAGATTGATATGTTGTGTTATTACATAGTGCTATAAATTATAAATTTAAAACTATTACTTTTAGTTTGTGTGTTTTGTTATGATGGGGGCACAATGGGCACAAGGGACGAGGGGCAGATAGCCAGGGGCTCTTGTCCGGGGGGCAGTTAGCCTAGACCCGTGCAGTATCACTGGACAAAATACTGTCACTATGTGTCCCAGTTCACCCAGCTGCAAATGGGTACCTTGTGAGGATGAGGCTGTGTGATAACTCGCTGCGACTAACAGGCTGCATGAGTTGAATACTCCCCAGGGAGTTGAGTTAATTAAAAGAATGCCAGAAAAAACACATCCGTTGATCAAGGGAACACTCCATCGCCTTGAGCATGTACTGGTTGTATGGATATGTGCGCTATATAAATATCCTATAATATTAATAATAATATACATATGAGGGTTTCCTAACTGTCCATTGCATTACACAGGTGAATGTCGCTCTCTACAACAGATCAGCCCACATGAATGGATCAGACACTTCATGTCTGTGTTTTTCCTACGATGGGACAGTGTTGGCTTCAAGGGGAGGTAAGTCTGTCTGTAGAGTTGAACATATGAGGGAGAAATCGGTCCAAATGAACTTCATCAGCTGTCCTCCCAAATTGAGCAAGCATAAGTCCTAAAATATCCAACTCACTTTTGATGCCAGGTGACGACACACTGAAGCTGTGGGACATCAGGAAATTCAAGGAGCCACTTGCAGTTGTCAAGGATCTTGAAAATGTCTTCCCAATGTAAGTACTGAATTCTCAGCAGTCCTTATATAATGAACAAACCTCAGCATAGTGAATGACATGCACATTGATTCTTTTAAAGTCACAATGTCGCGTGCAACAGTGTTCGATGTACGGAACAATTGTGTACTTTACATATATGGCAAGTGTTCTCTGTTTGGAAGTTGTTCACCTCCAAGTTTCAATTATTGGTTTCAGGCAAGTCGTAAGGAATAATAAGTCTTTTAATGCATCAATAGGAAGCTAAAGTGGGTGCATATGCCCCAATATATATAATATAGGCCAAAACATTGTCGAAAATGTGTGACATAGTGACTTTAAAGAGAACATGGGTAAGTGTGGCGTGACCACTCGTGTGTGGAATCCACCATGATATGGCTGGAATATTGGTGAAGTGGCATAGAAACATAATCAGTCACTCATAAAACAGTTGTGAAAGGAGAAGTTCTGTTCCTTCTGTAAGATTTACTAACTGTAACTGTAAACAGTTCATTCAATGACGGGGGCGATGGGGTAGCCTAATGGTTAAAGCGTTGGCTCGTCACACCGAAGACCCGGGTTCGAATCCCCACATGGGCACAATGTGTGAAGCCCATTTCTGGTGTCCCCTGCCGTGATGTTCCTGGAATATTGCTAAAAGCGGCGTAAAAGCAAACTCAGTCAGTCAGTCATTCAATGACACTATGGTCTTCTACAGGACAGACTGTCTGTTCAGTCCCGATGATCAGATGGTCGTGACTGGGATATCAGTAAGGAAAGGTGAAGGTGCTGGTAAACTCATCTTCTTCGATCGGAACACACTGAGCCGTGTGACTGAGATGGAGATAGGAGATTCAGTAAGTACTCATTATTTCCTAGAGGAATATATAGTTCTATCTTCTGTTTCAAGGTACATTTCTCTCTTGTTAAATTGTTCATTTCTAAATGATCTGTACTGTTAAACCCCTGAAGTTTGGAAAATATGAACTTGAACAATTTAATCATATGTGCCAGGGGGCGGTGGGGTAGCCTAGTGGTTAAAGCGTTTGCTCGTCACGCTGAAGACCCGGGTTCGATTCCCCACATGGATACAATGTGTGAAGCCCATATCTGGTGTCCCCCGCCGTGATATTGCTGGAATATTGCTAAAAGCGGCGTAAAACCATACTCACTCACTCATATGTGCCAGTTCTCTGGAATCCTAGATGAATCCCTACATTATGTCGCAGAGTGTGGTACGAGCGCTGTGGCACCCCAAGCTGAACCAGATGGTGGTTGGATCCGGGGATGGCATGGTCCGGGTATACTACGATCCCAAGAAGAGTCACAGGTCAGTTCCAGTCCTGAATGTTCCTTGTAACTATCAGACATTTGCTTGTTACAAAGCTACACTGAGCTTTGATTGATTTGCTCCTGTTGAATATGTGTCAGCAGCAACAGCTGTCTGTGGTAACACCCGTGTAGATCGGCATTAGAACTGATCTTCAGTGTAACTCATGCTTGTCGTAAGAGGTGACTAACGGGATTGGGTTGTCAGGCTCGCTGATTTGGTTGACACATGTCATTGTATCCCATTTGCGTAGATCGGTGCTCATGCTGTTGATCACTGGACTGTCTGGTCCAGACTCGATTATTTACATACCGCTGCCATATTGCTGAAATGGTGCTGAGTGTAGCGTAAAACTAAACTCACTCACTCAAACACTCACTCATTCACTCACTCTAAGACTCTAGTGTAACAGTATCCCAAGGGCTAATCAAATGTCTGGCCTTTTAACACAGCTGACTGGAGTGAGTGAGTTTAGTTTTATGCCTCAGTTAGCAATATTGCAGCTATATGGCGGCAGTCTGTAAATAATCGTGTCTGGACCAGACAATCCAGTGATCAACAGCAGGAGCATCGATCTGCGCAATTGGGAACCGATGACATGTGTCAACCAAGTCAGCGAGCCTGACCACCTGATCCCGTTAGTCGCCTCTTACGACAAGCATGGGTTACTGAAGGTTCAATCTAACCCGGACCTTCACGGGTAACACCTGACTGGAAGCCATGTAATGATATATTACTTTGGTCTAAAGGTGTACAGGCCCATTCAGCTTGTTACATCCTGTACACATGACACTAATAACTTGGTATGTCACTTTCATATTACGGATTCCAGTTTTTGTTCAGTCTTTAAGCATGGAAAAGGTATAGTTTATAATAGTAATACAGTGTTCATTTATAACATGCAAAGTCCATACCCTAAAGCATGCTATGTATCTACCCCAGTCAGTTTGGATCAGTGTGTGGAGGAGTACACAACCCATGCTGTCTGAGAGGTGCTAGAAGGTTATCAGTCACATTACCATCTCATCCTACCGGGTACCCATTCATCTGACAAGTAGTTTTTCCATTTCATTTTTGGATGTAATGTTACTCAGTTGGTTGTGTGGTTGTTGTACTACAGGGGTGCCATGTTGTGTGTCATCAAGCAGAAGCGGAAGGCCAAACAGGTGCAGGTGATGGCATCACAGACAATCATCACACGTAAGTCTTGTTGAAGAAAGAGATTAGCAGTTGGTATTGTAGCCAGCTATCATGGAAGGAAATTACTATCAGGAAGACTGTGAAAATATGCAAGTCAAGCGGACGATATTTTAAGGGGAAATGTTCAAAATGACCTAACGTATGTTTTTATTTGTCTTAACATGGTTGGGAAAGATAAACAATTTATGACACAGTTTGAAAATGTAGACCTACAAAACGATTTTGATAGTTTCAAGAGCTTGAATTTGCTATGTTACTAGTGGAATATATATTATTCTGTTTTCCACATTCCAGCATATGCACTGCCCATGTTCCGTCAAGGGAAACCCACCAGTACACGTAAACAGGAGGAGAAGGTCAGGAAAGACCCCATGAAGAGCAGAAGGCCAGATCTACCGGTCAGTGGACCAGGTGAGTTAACGAGTGTCATTATTTATGAAATTTATGTGTATTCATGGATCAGGTTAGTTATCAAGTATGAGTGAGGTAAAATTGCTAAACGGGCTTCACGCATTGTACCCATGTGGAGAATGGAACCCGGTAGCTACTAGGCTACCCCACCGCCCCAGTATTGAAGGGCACATTTGGAGATGCTATAAATGAAGGAAGTAAATGGAGGTGGTTATTGAACCAGGTGACATTAAGTTAAGGTGGCTTTTAGTGACTCAAGGTCAGTTGGGGCACTGGACTGGGCAAATGTAATACGTTAGGATGAAGTGAGTGGACTTGCTTTAGTATATTTTCAAGTGACCCCCATCCATGCTATGTTATAGGAACTGGTGGTAGAGTTGGAGCGAAAGGAGCTACTCTGTCTCAGTATGTGGTTCAAACACTCATCACGCGCAAGCCGGACAAGTATGAGAATGATCCTCGTGGCGCCATCTTGAGACATGCAAAGGAGGCAGAGGAGAATCCATACTGGGTGGATCCAGCGTATAAGAAGTAAGACCCAGCTCATTATTCTGGAGCCTATCCTTAGTAGATGGATAGCAGTGATGGACATTCTGTTGCTGTGTCTATGTTTTAGTTAAAATATTCTGGGCTTCATTCCATGGAGTGATTTTAATTACTAAAAACATTGCAAAAAAAATATGTAAAATTATGGAAGAGAATATAGTCTGTTCGGGTTCAAATGAGAACAACAAATCCATCAGCCGTTGTCAACCCCGGTGTGAAGCGTGAAAACAGCACAATATTATATGATAGTTTCTTAAACAACTTTTTCCACGCTTGATCATAAAATGTCAAATTTCAGATCCTGTTGGGTACAGAGGTTTCAGGACCATGTGTCTTATTTATGTTTTGTGCACTTATCCCTATTTCGAGATATTTAATCATTCATCGTTCTCATTTGAACCCAAACGGACTATATGTAGTATAATCATGGACCTTCAGCTGTGTACAAATCATTTAGTGCAATAAGTTGTCAGTAAGATGTATATGAGATGTGTGCAGTGTAGAGTTTGTTGCTTGCAGGACACAGCCTAACAAGGTGTTCCAGGAACCTGAGACGGAGAAAAAAGATGATGATGATACCCCGTTGTGGAAGAAGCAGAAGATAAGCTAGAATGCAGCCCGAACCTCCTGCTGGACGCCCTGTGCATCTCACAACTAATGTTAACATCCATTGGCATTATGGATGAGACATTGTTGTACTGCATCTGTACTGTGGATGGAAAGGAGCAGTTACAGAGACGAAAAGACACTTTATTACATAAAAGTGACGTGAATCATGTAGATGGATATCGGTGCTTTTCAACATGCCAATAACAACTGAATCTTCATTACCATGGTTACTGCCAAGAAAATCAATTTGACACTAGAACTAGAAAGGTTATGTCCACATCACTGTATCATGTTCCTTCCATCATAAAGACCAACAAGTCAGGCAATGTAATTAGTTGGACAGGTGTAAAACTACTGGGGGAGGTGGGTAGAGTTGTGGTCAAGGTGTCAGTGTCAAGCTGAAGACCCGGGTTCGATTCCTTACATGGCTACAAGGTCTGAATCCTATTTCTGGTGTCCCCCTCCACGATATTGCTGGAATATTGCTTAAGTGGTGTAAAACCATATTCGCTTTAAAATTACTCTGAAGATGTGCTTAACCATTGTCAGTGTGATTTGTACTGCGAGTAATAATCAACCATGTTCACATTGTTGATATATGGCAACGATCAGTCTTTACCTATATAACTTTAAAGTGTGTATATATATGGTGCCATTACCATAGATTATATCTAAAATGAACATTGTTCATGGTTCCATGATCATGGAGCAGGGGTGGAAATAATTTTAAAATTGATAGTGTACTCCGGTACAGTGGCACATGTGACATCACTTGCCCTGAAATTTTTTCCACCATACCGGCCGTTTTCTTGTTGAATATTTATATAAACAACATAATTAGCATTGGAAAGTCAACTGGACGCCGGTACAGTGTGATATACGACTTTGCTTGCCCGACAGAAAAAAACACTGGACTCGGACGTCAAGCAATGGGTTATTTCCACCCCTGTGGAGGCTATATTACAATGTAATTTTACGGTTGCAGCTACACCGATGGAGTTATTAGGATCGATATAGTAGAAACATTGTTTTAGAACTGTTGATTAGTATTGTAAAGTCTCATATGATGTTCATCCATTGTATATAAAAATCATAAGATCTTTTGTAAATATTGAATATGTAATAAACATTCATGGTATAGCATATTTAGAGGGCTGATGTTTTCATTTTACATAGGCTACCTTAACTTCTGTCACTGAAAGTTTACCAGTAGCTGGAAGTACGGGAAATGATTCATAAACCATCTGGACATAAAAGGCTACCAAATGGATCTGCTTGTAAGGCTCTTTGACGTGGCTGATAGTTTTTCACAGCTTTGGTCATTGCTTACAACATCAATCACTGGATTATCTGACCTGAGGATTTATCATAGCTCATCTGCTTATATAGGAGGAAAGCCTTTTTATGGTGCGGACACTGTGTATTACAGAGCTTTAGTGAGCTAAATCCAAGAGAAAAAGACACACATACAATATCATAATATCTTAACTTAACAGAATTCCTTCAACATATCTAATACATATATCCTGTAACTGTGATAACTGTAAAACGCGACATTAACATAATTGATCTCATTGAAATGAGACCTTAATCTCTTTTCGTGGTTGTGAGAACTGAGATTTTAGAAACAGTGCATCCGTTACTTCCTTACTGTATCAAGTAGAAAGGAAACATTTATGATGTCCACTGTTTATTCAGTTCTGTCATATCACATACAAGAAGGACTGCAGTCTTTCGTTGACTCAAGGCTTTCCAGAGAGAAGACCTGTTACAATACCATGCAATTTCTCAGTAAATTGTTCAAAGGAGAATCTTGCAAGCACTCTTTCTTTCCCAGCATTGCCCATTCTTTTACTGAGACCAGAGTCCTTCAAAAATTTGTCCATTGCTTCACTAAAACTATCTGGAACAGGCTGACAGAGGAAGCCAGTTTTCTCATCCTCTACTGTCTCTAGGGGCCCTCCACTCTTCACTGCAATCACTGGACACTTCATGTACATTGCTTCAATGGGCACAATACCAAAGTGTTCCTTGTCAGGCGTGTACAGGAGACATGAACAGTTGGTCAGAAGTGTTCTCTTCTGGGAGTCACTGAAAGAACGCAGGAATGTGATGTTGTCGGCCAGTTTCAGTTTCTCAGCCAGCTTCCGAAGCTCCAGGTAGTGTTCTACGTTTTCTGTTACCCTTTCATCATACCCTCCTGCCATTATCAAGTGAATGTCTTTCACATCTGGGTGTCGCTCAGTCAACTGACCTACACCAAACAAATGACTTGATAATAAATGTTTACCAATCGTTACAAAAAATTAAATGATAACAATGTGAATGCAATAAGTTATACAAGCATCAAATTATGTGATAATGTCCAATTACTGTATCACCTACTGTATACATGAGCATGATGTGAAGAGTTTAACTTTGCAGGTAAGATACAAGGATTCCAAACTATGTGCCCATGGCAGGCAATTTCTTTATATTTGTTGGTGTTTGTGGTGACATAGAAGCCGCAAAGTTATAACATTTAATAGTTGTAATTAGGAATTATTATAAGCTGTACTGGTTATTTTAGGCTTTTTCTAATGCTAATGGTAGAGTTCAATCATATATTAATTTTCAAGAAGGTGATTTTTACTTGGAAGTGAGGAAACAATATGGATAACTATCTTTGGGTGTTTGCAAGACTGTAAACATTAATATTTCCTTTTGAATTTGACGAATGATGAGCATAAATTGAAATGCATAAATAGACATATAAAATGAATTACGATTTCATAGCGATCAGCTAGTGGTTGAAATACCTTCCCAGTTGCTTCAGATGACTTGGTAAAAATTTAAACAAAAGTTCTGTTTCATTATGTTGCTTTACATGTCATACTAACCAAATGCTTCTATTGCTAATCCAAGATTCTTCTTCCTCTCATATCTGTTGATTGATAGAAATATCAGCTTTTTGTTTTGGGGCATCAGCTCCTTGGTAGGTGGCTCCACTGGTTTGTTGAATGCGGTGAAGTCTGGGATTGGGTACAACACCTCCGGCTTTATGTGACTTAGTGAGCTGAATGTGTCCCTGAACACTCCAGCTATCAAAAAGAGAGTATGAAATTCATGTATATCTGTATTCATTCAGTTTCTTAGTAATGATCATCAATATCTTGCTATGAGCAATGGTTTGATAGACACATTCATGTTGAAGACAGGGATGAGAATGAAGTTTTGAGAAAAACTCTGATAACTAGCCGGGGTCTGGGGGCAATGGATTTAGACGATTCAGAAAAATGACCCTTGGCCTTATGAAATTCCCGGAATTCCGCGGATCCACAGAAAATTCTCATCCCTGTAAAGAGAATCTAAATAATTAAGACTGACAATCAAAATAGACATCAATCAGTATCATAATTTGCAACATTATTTGAAAGATCTTTCCGGGTCTCAGCTGAAAACTCAGTTTCTTTAGTACAATTATTTTGTTCAAATTTGCTCAGAAAATATAATAACTGAAAAAATTATATTCTTAATTACTGTTATTGAATGAAGATAAAATTCTCTTAAAATATCTGTGCTCTGCTGCTACTACATAAGTGAGTGATCATGCTGCCAAACATAAATCTCCCACTGTCTTCCACTACGATTTGCTTACACATTCATGACATATAATAAGGCACATACTAAAGGATGCACATCGATCTGCATGACTTGCGGTACTTTGGGATGCTTATCTGATGACAGACCCATCCATTCTCCTATGAGACTGTTCATGATTTATGGCGCTTTTTTGGGGAATTTGTTCTAGGGGTCAGCAATTTTGTACACATGTACTGTGGGGTCAGCAATTTTGTACATGAAAATATGTTTAAAATTATGCTTAGAAATTATGGGAAGGGGAGGGGGGTGTCATTGATTTTGTACATGACATGCAGGGGGGTTGCTTATTTTGTACATATATTTTAGGGGGGGGTCATTCACTTTGTACATGCTTCTCCATAAAAATCATCATCACCCCCTCTAGCCATAAATTATGAACGGTCCCTATATAGTGGAAGTAACACCATAAGGAAAGATTTCGGCCTGTAACCCACGTTTTTTTAATCATTCTATGCCTAAGATTAGTAAGAATAGATGGGTTTTTTTTATAAAAAGCCTAACCCAAACCCCTCGAAATAATCCTAATAAATAGAATACATTTCAAGCGTGGGTTACGGGCAGAACTCTTGCCAACCATGATACTTGTCATGGCATACATTACCTGTGAATTTACTGTTGACGAGAACACAGTGTGCCATCCCTGTTGTCCTCTCCTCCAGCCAATCTATTGGTGTTCGATACAGCTTCTTCAAGAAACTCCTCCTCTGTGTCAGTAGCATGTCAGGGAAATGACAGTAGAAAAGAATTTTGGCACTGCTTAATCTTAACACTGGCACACATGCGGAAATTTGATCACAAAAAATGAGATCAAAAGAAAGAGAACTAAAAAGAACCAGATAAATTGCCGCATAGATCATTCTGAGATAGGCACAGAGGGCATAACACTTCCCAAATATACTCCGTGGTAGCCAGTCACCAGCAGTGATAACCTCGAAGGTTCCATCTTTAGTTTCTTGGAAGCAATGTCCTGGATCATGGTGTGCTGTAACAAACTTGACGTCCATACCTTTTGATTTCAGGGCCAGGGCAGCGTCGATCACTGCCCTTTCGGCTCCCCCTATTCCCAAGTCGGGATGGAGGAAAATTACTTTTGACATGCTGTGGGGTTTCAAGTAGTTTATACACGAAACGAGATAGTTTAGACTTTAATATGATGCCCATGAAAGCGTACACAGAGCATATTGCGTCAGTTCATACAGCCACGTCCCTGTAATCACATTAACCGGAAGTGGACACCAACTTGGTCTCAAACCACGAAGAGCTACCTTTTACCCGTTTAACTATAGCCCAAGTATGGATAAACGACTAGTACGCGTAAGAAACCGATGTGGTCATTATATTAGTTGAGTTCAGTTTTACGCCGCACTCTGCAATATTCCAGCTATATGGCGGGGTCATTATATTCAACACATGTGGAAGAATTGGACGTGTGTTTGTGTGAAGTGATGTATCATTATAATCTGCAATGCTATTATAGTTAGAAGTTGGATATAGTATTATCATATATCTATATCTATATATTAAATAAATAAATAAATAAATAAATAAATAAATAAATAAATAAATAAATAAATATGAACTATTGATTTCTTCATGTGTATTGGCAATAAATATATATAAGATGAGTCTAGATATTTCTTCTTATCAAAACTCCTTTAAAAATAAAGATAAGATAAAGGAGTTTTGAAAAGCGTCGATTGTGTAATGAATAACTGTAAATATCTAAGTTACAAAACATAACTTCATCTTAAAGACTTGCTATCTGTCCCAGAATTTACATCTCAATCCAAATAAGGATTTGTAACTCTGGTGTCAGGTTGTGGGTATGATGGCATTGCGAGATATATAGTGTTGTTTGAGCAAGTCAAAGATATGACAAAGATACTGATGAAAAAGTGTTGTGAACCTAACCACCCATTGATCATGCATGATGCTTTTTAATGAGAACCAGACTCTGTCTTCCATCCCACTATCTGACACAACCCTTGAGGGCTCATTCTGGTATCCTCCCATAATACAGACAGTCAGTTCGACGACACCTTAAAACAACAACATTTGCGGTTCATATGGACAGATTAGCTACTACCTGTTACCTACACATTATAATGGAATAGTCCAAATAAAAACACAGGAAAATAAAACTGAAGCTATATTATTTACTTTAAAAGATGGTCGTTAAGACACTCATTTTAATTTTGATTGCAGCAATATAGAAACAGTTGATTTTCATAAACATTTGGGTGTAACCTTCTTGTCTAATTAACCTTCAAGTTCAGTGTCTGTCAATCGATCGTCTGTCAATTGGGGGTTCACTCCCAAAAGACAGACCTCCCATAAGACAGACTCAATTAGTACACTAATAAGCTTTGCCATGCTGTCCACCCCTATTTAGTTAATGAGCTGACCCAGTCACTACAGAGTATAGTAACAACACACTCCTATCTCCTGTACCCTTCTCAAAACATATTACTAATTCTTTTACTGAACAGAACAGAATAGAACCGAAATTTTATTCTAAAAAATCACATATAGTGACACAGAGAACATACAGCATATTGATACATATTATAATATTGAAAAAGTCCAGTTTTGATAAATTTGGCAACTTTAGAGTTAAGCGGTGAATAATCACTTTTCATTAGATAAATAGTTTTTTAAATACTAGGATGTTTACATAACTAATAAAAAATGAAGTTCATCACAGACATCTACCTTTACACTATGCATAAGCTCACCTCAATAAGCTTATTTACATGTTCGAGGCCAGTTACATCATGTTCATAAAGAAAACACTCAAGATCATACAAGTATAAATAACTGGAGAATAGGACGTTTTTATAACAGTTGTTGAATTAGTTTTAGGATGTTTTTTAGTACTTAAGATTATTTGAAGATGAAAGTGAAATAGTATTTATAATATTCAGTATAAACAAAGTATATAACTGAAGAACAGGATGTTTTCTAATAGTTATTTTTCACATGACTTTTTTCCGATCACCCTTCTAGATGGCTTCCTGTATGCCAAGAACAAGGTGAAAGGAAAAATGATGATGTTCAAGTGAGTTTCTAATAAGTCTTATTTGTGCACTGACAAACATGTGTTGTAAAATAATATGGTGCTTGGTCGCACGTTTGATAGGTACATGTATATAATTTATTATTTTTGATAATATTCACAAGTAAATGTGATATGGCAAATATATGTTGATGTACATATATGTTGATGCAAAATGTCTTAATTTAAAAATCATAATTGATTACATGAATTGATAAAACTATAGTTAATACCTAATGTTGTCCTTTTTTTCTGGGCACATACCATTATTATCAAGGGTACAGCTTAATTAAGCCTTATGCAACCAACCATAAAATGTGTTGTTTTAAGCGGTCTGTCTTTTGGGAGGTCTGTCTTATGGGAAGATACTCAATTGGGTGTCTGTCAGTTGGGAGATAACCCTCATTATCTGACTCGATTTGCTGTCTAATACAACTTAAAGGGAAAAAGACTTAGTTGCCGACAATACACTGACTAGTTACCCTTGGTCTGGGAGGATTTTGATGAGACAATGGATGCATGTCAGTTAATATCTTCAACCTAAACAAACTGACAGGGAGAATGGTAGCTGTTCATTGGACAGAGTTATTTGGAAATTCCCTCAAATTGGTAAGAGTTTGATAAAAATAGGTATCCATAATGAAAGTCTCTTTATATTCCTGATTGTGTGTGTGTTTGTTTTCTTTGTTCTTACTCAGCAATATTCCAGCTATATAAAGGTGGATTATAAATAATCAAATCTGGACCTGACAACATGAACATCGATCTTCACAATAGGGATTGAATCACATACATCACCCAGTGAACTGTTATGACAAGCATGGATTGGTGAAAAACAATTATACTTCAGATCTTTGTGTGTGCATGCGTACTTATGTGTGTGCGCATGACGAGATGAGTGATCTTGATTTGGATCTGTGTGTTTTTTATATCTTGATATTTACACCCACTTCTCACTTATGTCTAAACATATAGTACATGTATTAAAAAGAAGCACTTGCTTTACTTCAGGCCAAAAAATTAAACCCCATTTTCCCACTGTCCTGTTGTTGTATAGTATCGACTATTGGATGTAAATAGAATAAAACCAAACATTAAAATAAATGTGTACGTACAATGATATCCTCTGTAGTATTCAGCAAATACGTATACATGTATTATTTTTGCGAGAATAAAGTTCACATCAAATACTCAAAATCGAAAAGTTCCTTGTATTTTATTATTTATTCAATGAATTCATTATAAAAATACTTCACTTCCATTTTGCAAAAATAAATACTTGGAATGACAATTTATGCCAATTATTATAACTTTTTAAAATCTGAAGAATTTGTCCTCTGAGAGTCCAAGAGTTTTTAGATGGTCAATCATATCTGCCTCAAATGTCTTAGTCCCACAGATAAGCACTAGAAGATTCTCCTTCTTGTTGCCTAGTTCAGAGTCAAGTAGTGTGTCAGAGACTCTCCCAGCATGCACCTGGTCTCCGTATCTATAACATCTGGAAGGTTCATCGCTTTCCTGAAAGACACATGTAACACAATTAAGGATATTCTTTTTGGCAAATGTACTATTTTGAACAGAAATAGTTTGGGGTATTTCAAGAAAGGAGTCTTAGGGACCTAGGATATCACAAGCTGCTATTCACCTCTCTGATGTATGTTACTAAGAGGCAAGAGGTATTGGGTAGATAGACAGACAAAAAAGTTTATTTTTGTGTCACGTGAATGTACATTGCAGGTAAAAAGGCAGTGGTAAAAACATAAAATATACAAACACCAGGCCAGATGGCCAATGAGACACACTAGACAATATGTGCATAAAATGTATAAAATACAAGTGTTTGCCACTAATATGGCAATGTCCCCGCCGCTAATGAATGGAATATTCATAACATATTTACTACTTTTTATTTTTTGCTCACATACAAGATGCCTGAAATCACTGGTGTCTGCATAATCACCCAATGTAGGCTGTCGACATAATTGAAGACATTGGGTGCAATATTTCATGAAATATCGCGTTAACAAGAATCGGACGGAGGCCGCTGAATACATAGTCCCCCGTTCCGTCAGGGGACAATAAGCTTAAAACATATCACACGTATCACACGTATGAAACATTGGGACCTAGGATATCACCTGAGTGCATGTTACTGACTAACAAGGAGTATTGGTGATCTAGAAAACCACTAGCTACTATTCATTGTATAGAGCGTATGTTACTGACAGCCAGGAGTACTGGGGACCTCAGATACCACTAGCTACTATTCATTGTATAGAGTGTATGTTACTGACAAGCCAGGAGTACTGGGGACCTCAGATACCACTAGCTACTATTCATTGTATGGAGTGTATGTTACTGACAGCCAGGAGTACTGGGGACCTCAGATACCACTAGCTACTATTCATTGTATGGAGTGTATGTTACTGACAGCCAGGAGTACTGGGGACCTCAGATACCACTAGCTACTATTCATTGTATAGAGTGTATGTTACTGACAAGCCAGAAGTACTGGGGACCTCAGATACCACTAGCTACTATTCATTGTATGGAGTGTATGTTACTGACAGCCAGGAGTACTGGGGACCTCAGATACCACCAGCTACTATTCATTGTATGGAGTGTATGTTACTGACAGCCAGGAGTACTGGGGACCTCAGATACCACTAGCTACTATTCATTGTATGGAGTGTATGTTACTGACAGCCAGGAGTACTGGGGACCTCAGATACCACTAGCTACTATTCATTGTATAGAGTGTATGTTACTGACAAGCCAGGAGTACTGGGGACCTCAGATACCACTAGCTACTATTCATTGTATGGAGTGTATGTTACTGACAGCCAGGAGTACTGGGGACCTCAGATACCACTAGCTACTATTCTTTGTCATGAGTGTACGTTATTGACAAGCCAGGAGTACTTGGGACCTCAGATACCACTAGCTACTATTCATTGTAATGAGCGTACGTTATTGACAAGCCAGGAGTACTGGGGACCTCAGATACCACTAGCTACTATTCATTGTATTGAGTGTATGTTACTGACAACCCAGGAGTACTGGGGACCTCAGATACCACTAGCTACTATTCATTGTATAGAGTGTATGTTACTGACAGCCAGGAGTACTGGGGACCTCAGATACCACTAGCTACTATTCATTGTATGGAGTGTATGTTACTGACAAGCCAGGAGTACTGGGGACCTCAGATACCACTAGCTACTATTCATTGTATTGAGTGTACGTTATTGACAAGTCAGGAGTACTTGGGACCTCAGATACCACTAGCTACTATTAATTGTAATGAGTGTATGTTACTGACAGCCAGGAGTACTGGGGACCTCAGATACCACTAGCTACTATTCATTGTATAGAGTGTATGTTACTGACAGCCAGGAGTACTGGGGACCTCAGATACCACTAGCTACTATTCATTGTATTGAGTGTATGTTACTGACAGCCAGGAGTACTGGGGACCTCAGATACCACTAGCTACTATTCATTGTATGGAGTGTATGTTACTGACAGCCAGGAGTACTGGGGACCTCAGATACCACTAGCTACTATTCATTGTATAGAGTGTATGTTACTGACAAACCAGGAGTACTGGGGACCTCAGATACCTCTAGCTACTATTCATTGTATAGAGTGTATGTTACTGACAGCCAGGAGTACTGGGGACCTCAGATACCACTAGCTACTATTCATTGTATAGAGTGTATGTTACTGACAAGCCAGGAGTACTGGGGACCTCAGATACCACTAGCTACTATTCATTGTATAGAGTGTATGTTACTGACAGCCAGGAGTACTGGGGACCTGGGATACCACTAGCTACTATTCATTGTATGGAGTGTATGTTACTGACAGCCAGGAGTACTGGGGACCTCGGATACCACTAGCTACTATTCATAGTATGGAGTGTATGTTACTGACAGCCAGGAGTACTGGGGACCTCAGATACCACTAGCTACTATTCATTGTATTGAATGTATGTTACTGACAAGCCAGGAGTACTGGGGACGTGGGATACCACTAGCTGCTATTCATTGTATTGAGTGTATGTTACTGACAGCCAGGAGTACTGGGGACCTGGGATACCACTAGCTGCTATTCATTGTATTGAGTGTATGTTACTGACAGCCAGGAGTACTGAGGACCTCGGATACCACTAGCTGCTATTCATTGTATTGAGTGTATGTTACTGACAGCCAGGAGTACTGGGGACCTCGGATACCACTAGCTCCTATTCATATTATGGAGTGTATGTTACTGACAGCCAAGAGTACTGGGGACGTCAGATACCACTAGCTACTATTCATTGTATTGAATGTATGTTACTGACAAGCCAGGAGTACTGGGGACGTGGGATACCACTAGCTGCTATTCATTGTATTGAGTGTATGTTACTGACAGCCAGGAGTACTGGGGACCTAGGATACCACTAGCTACTATTCATTGTAAAGAGTGTATATTACTGACAAGCCAGAAGTACTGGGGACCTCAGATACCACTAGCTACTATTCATCGTATTGAGTGTATGTTACTGACAAGCCAGGAGTACTGGGGACCTCGGATACCACTAGCTACTAGCATTGTATAGAGTGTATGTTACTGACAAGCTAGGAGTACCGGTGACCTTGGATACCACTAGCTACTATTCATTGTATCGAGTGTATGTTACTGACAAGCCAAGAGCACTGGGGATCTCGGATACCACTAGCTACTATTCATTGTATCGAGTGTATGTTACTGACAAGCTAGGAGTACCGGGGACCTGGGATACCACTAGCTACTATTCATTGTATTGAGTGTATGTTACTGACAAGCCAGGAGTACTGAGGACCTAGGATACCACTAGCTACTATTCATTGTATAGAGTGTATGTTACTGACAGCCAGGAGTACTGGGGACCTCAGATACCACTAGCTACTATTCATTGTATAGAGTGTATGTTACTGACAGCCAGGAGTACTGGGGACCTGGGATACCACTAGCTACTATTCATTGTATTGAGTGTATGTTACTGACAGCCAGGAGTACTGGGGACCTCAGATACCACTAGCTACTATTCATTGTATAGAGTGTATGTTACTGACAAGCCAGGAGTACTGGGGACCTGGGATACCACTAGCTACTATTCATTGTATGGAGTGTATGTTACTGACAGCCAGGAGTACTGGGGACCTCAGATACCACTAGCTACTATTCATTGTATAGAGTGTATGTTACTGACAGCCAGGAGTACTGGGGACCTGGGATACCACTAGCTACTATTCATTGTATTGAGTGTATGTTACTGACAGCCAGGAGTACTGGGGACCTCAGATACCACTAGCTATTATTCATTGTATAGAGTGTATGTTACTGACAAGCTAGGAGTACTGGGGACCTCAGATACCACTAGCTACTATTCATTGTATGGAGTGTATGTTACTGACAGCCAGGAGTACTGGGGACCTGGGATACCACTAGCTACTATTCATTGTATAGAGTGTATGTTACTGACAGCCAGGAGTACTGGGGACCTCAGATACCACTAGCTACTATTCATTGTATAGAGTGTATGTTACTGACAGCCAGGAGTACTGGGGACCTCAGATACCACTAGCTACTATTCATTGTATTGAGTGTATGTTACTGACAGCCAGGAGTACTGGGGACCTCGGATACCACTAGCTACTATTCATTGTATTGAGTGTATGTTACTGACAGCCAGGAGTACTGGGGACCTCAGATACCACTAGCTACTATTCATTGTATTGAGTGTATGTTACTGACAGCCAGGAGTACTTGGGACCTCGGATACCACTAGCTACTATTCATTGTATTGAGTGTATGTTACTGACAGCCAGGAGTACTGGGGACCTCAGATACCACTAGCTACTATTCATTGTATTGAGTGTATGTTACTGACAGCCAGGAGTACTGGGGACCTCAGATACCACTAGCTACTATTCATTGTATAGAGTGTATGTTACTGACAGCCAGGAGTACTGGGGACCTGGGATACCACTAGCTACTATTCATTGTATTGAGTGTATGTTACTGACAGCCAGGAGTACTGGGGACCTCAGATACCACTAGCTACTATTCATTGTATAGAGTGTATGTTACTGACAAGCTAGGAGTACTGGGGACCTCAGATACCACTAGCTACTATTCATTGTATGGAGTGTATGTTACTGACAGCCAGGAGTACTGGGGACCTCAGATGCCACTAGCTACTATTCATTGTATTGAGTGTATGTTACTGACAGCCAGGAGTACTGGGGACCTCAGATACCACTAGCTACTATTCATTGTATAGAGTGTATGTTACTGACAGCCAGGAGTACTGGGGACCTCAGATACCACTAGCTACTATTCATTGTATAGAGTGTATGTTACTGACAGCCAGGAGTACTGGGGACCTCAGATACCACTAGCTACTATTCATTGTATAGAGTGTATGTTACTGACAGCCAGGAGTACTGGGGACCTCAGATACCACTAGCTACTATTCATTGTATAGAGTGTATGTTACTGACAGCCAGGAGTACTGGGGACCTCAGATACCACTAGCTACTATTCATTGTATTGAATGTATGTTACTGACAAGCCAGGAGTACTGGGGACGTGGGATACCACTAGCTGCTATTCATTGTATTGAGTGTATGTTACTGACAGCCAGGAGTACTGGGGACCTAGGATACCACTAGCTACTATTCATTGTAAAGAGTGTATATTACTGACAAGCCAGAAGTACTGGGGACCTCAGATGCCACTAGCTACTATTCATTGTATTGAGTGTATGTTACTGACAAGCCAGGAGTACTGGGGACCTCAGATACCACTAGCTACTATTCATTGTATGGAGTGTATGTTACTGACAGCCAGGAGTACTGGGGACCTCAGATACCACTAGCTACTATTCATTGTATTGAGTGTATGTTACTGACAAGCCAGGAGTACTGGGGACCTCAGATACCACTAGCTACTATTCATTGTATGGAGTGTATGTTACTGACAGCCAGGAGTACTGGGGACCTCAGATACCACTAGCTACTATTCATTGTATCGAGTGTATGTTACTGACAGCCAGGAGTACTGGGGACCTCGGATACCACTAGCTACTATTCATTGTATTGAGTGTATGTTACTGACAGCCAGGAGTACTTGGGACCTCTCGGATACCACTAGCTACTATTCATTGTATTGAGTGTATGTTACTGACAGCCAGGAGTACTGGGGACCTCAGATACCACTAGCTACTATTCATTGTATTGAGTGTATGTTACTGACAGCCAGGAGTACTGGGGACCTCAGATACCACTAGCTACTATTCATTGTATAGAGTGTATGTTACTGACAGCCAGGAGTACTGGGGACCTCAGATACCACTAGCTACTATTCATTGTATACAGTGTATGTTACTGACAGCCAGGAGTACTGGGGACCTCAGATACCACTAGCTACTATTCATTGTATGGAGTGTATGTTACTGACAGCCAGGAGTACTGGGGACCTCGGATACCACTAGCTACTATTCATTGTATTGAGTGTATGTTACTGACAGCCAGGAGTACTGGGGACCTCAGATACCACTAGCTACTATTCATTGTATTGAGTGTATGTTACTGACAGCCAGGAGTACTTGGGACCTCAGATACCACTAGCTACTATTCATTGTATTGAGTGTATGTTACTGACAGCCAGGAGTACTGGGGACCTGGGATACCACTAGCTACTATTCATTGTATTGAGTGTATGTTACTGACAGCCAGGAGTACTGGGGACCTCAGATACCACTAGCTACTATTCATTGTATAGAGTGTATGTTACTGACAGCCAGGAGTACTGGGGACCTGGGATACCACTAGCTACTATTCATTGTATTGAGTGTATGTTACTGACAGCCAGGAGTACTGGGGACCTCAGATACCACTAGCTACTATTCATTGTATAGAGTGTATGTTACTGACAAGCTAGGAGTACTGGGGACCTCAGATACCACTAGCTACTATTCATTGTATGGAGTGTATGTTACTGACAGCCAGGAGTACTGGGGACCTGGGATACCACTAGCTACTATTCATTGTATTGAGTGTATGTTACTGACAGCCAGGAGTACTGGGGACCTCAGATACCACTAGCTACTATTCATTGTATAGAGTGTATGTTACTGACAGCCAGGAGTACTGGGGACCTGGGATACCACTAGCTACTATTCATTGTATAGAGTGTATGTTACTGACAGCCAGGAGTACTGGGGACCTCAGATACCACTAGCTACTATTCATTGTATAGAGTGTATGTTACTGACAGCCAGGAGTACTGGGGACCTCAGATACCACTAGCTACTATTCATTGTATAGAGTGTATGTTACTGACAGCCAGGAGTACTGGGGACCTCAGATACCACTAGCTACTATTCATTGTATTGAATGTATGTTACTGACAAGCCAGGAGTACTGGGGACGTGGGATACCACTAGCTGCTATTCATTGTATTGAGTGTATGTTACTGACAGCCAGGAGTACTGGGGACCTCGGATACCACTAGCTACTATTCATTGTAAAGAGTGTATATTACTGACAAGCCAGAAGTACTGGGGACCTCAGATACCACTAGCTACTATTCATTGTATTGAGTGTATGTTACTGACAAGCCAGGAGTACTGGGGACCTCAGATACCACTAGCTACTATTCATTGTATGGAGTGTATGTTACTGACAGCCAGGAGTACTGGGGACCTCAGATACCACTAGCTACTATTCATTGTATTGAGTGTATGTTACTGACAAGCCAGGAGTACTGGGGACCTCAGATACCACTAGCTACTATTCATTGTATGGAGTGTATGTTACTGACAGCCAGGAGTACTGGGGACCTCGGATACCACTAGCTACTATTCATTGTATTGAGTGTATGTTACTGACAAGCCAGGAGTACTGGGGACCTCGGATACCACTAGCTACTAGCATTGTATAGAGTGTATGTTACTGACAAGCTAGGAGTACCGGTGACCTTGGATACCACTAGCTACTATTCATTGTATCGAGTGTATGTTACTGACAAGCCAAGAGCACTGGGGATCTCGGATACCACTAGCTACTATTCATTGTATCGAGTGTATGTTACTGACAAGCCAGGAGTACCGGGGACCTGGGATACCACTAGCTACTATTCATTGTATTGAGTGTATGTTACTGACAAGCCAGGAGTACTGAGGACCTAGGATACCACTAGCTACTATTCATTGTATAGAGTGTATGTTACTGACAGCCAGGAGTACTGGGGACCTCAGATACCACTAGCTACTATTCATTGTATAGAGTGTATGTTACTGACAGCCAGGAGTACTGGGGACCTGGGATACCACTAGCTACTATTCATTGTATTGAGTGTATGTTACTGACAGCCAGGAGTACTGGGGACCTCAGATACCACTAGCTACTATTCATTGTATAGAGTGTATGTTACTGACAAGCCAGGAGTACTGGGGACCTGGGATACCACTAGCTACTATTCATTGTATTGAGTGTATGTTACTGACAGCCAGGAGTACTGGGGACCTCAGATACCACTAGCTACTATTCATTGTATAGAGTGTATGACAGTTACTGACAGCCAGGAGTACTGGGGACCTCAGATACCACTAGCTACTATTCATTGTATAGAGTGTATGTTACTGACAGCCAGGAGTACTGGGGACCTCAGATACCACTAGCTACTATTCATTGTATAGAGTGTATGTTACTGACAGCCAGGAGTACTGGGGACCTCAGATACCACTAGCTACTATTCATTGTATTGAGTGTATGTTACTGACAGCCAGGAGTACTGGGGACCTCAGATACCACTAGCTACTATTCATTGTATAGAGTGTATGTTACTGACAAGCCAGGAGTACTGGGGACCTCAGATACCACTAGCTACTATTCATTGTATGGAGTGTATGTTACTGACAGCCAGGAGTACTGGGGACCTGGGATACCACTAGCTACTATTCATTGTATTGAGTGTATGTTACTGACAGCCAGGAGTACTGGGGACCTCAGATACCACTAGCTACTATTCATTGTATAGAGTGTATGTTACTGACAGCCAGGAGTACTGGGGACCTCAGATACCACTAGCTACTATTCATTGTATAGAGTGTATGTTACTGACAGCCAGGAGTACTGGGGACCTCAGATACCACTAGCTACTATTCATTGTATAGAGTGTATGTTACTGACAGCCAGGAGTACTGGGACCTCAGATACCACTAGCTACTATTCATTGTATAGAGTGTATGTTACTGACAGCCAGGAGTACTGGGGACCTCAGATACCACTAGCTACTATTCATTGTATTGAGTGTATGTTACTGACAGCCAGGAGTACTGGGGACCTCAGATACCACTAGCTACTATTCATTGTATTGAGTGTATGTTACTGACAGCCAGGAGTACTGGGGACCTCGGATACCACTAGCTACTATTCATTGTATTGAGTGTATGTTACTGACAGCCAGGAGTACTGGGGACCTCAGATACCACTAGCTACTATTCATTGTATTGAGTGTATGTTACTGACAGCCAGGAGTACTGGGACCTCGGATACCACTAGCTACTATTCATTGTATAGAGTGTATGTTACTGACAGCCAGGAGTACTGGGGACCTGGGATACCACTAGCTACTATTCATTGTATAGAGTGTATGTTACTGACAGCCAGGAGTACTGGGACCTCAGATACCACTAGCTACTATTCATTGTATTGAGTGTATGTTACTGACAGCCAGGAGTACTGGGGACCTCAGATACCACTAGCTACTATTCATTGTATAGAGTGTATGTTACTGACAGCCAGGAGTACTGGGGACCTCGGATACCACTAGCTACTATTCATTGTATTGAGTGTATGTTACTGACAGCCAGGAGTACTGGGGACCTCAGATACCACTAGCTACTATTCATTGTATTGAGTGTATGTTACTGACAGCCAGGAGTACTGGGGACCTCGGATACCACTAGCTACTATTCATTGTATAGAGTGTATGTTACTGACAGCCAGGAGTACTGGGGACCTGGGATACCACTAGCTACTATTCATTGTATAGAGTGTATGTTACTGACAGCCAGGAGTACTGGGGACCTGGGATACCACTAGCTACTATTCATTGTATAGAGTGTATGTTACTGACCACTATGGCTTAGTGCGGACTGAAGATACCGCTAGCTGTTATTCACCTGACTGAGAGCGTATATTACTGAAAAGTTCCAGAATGAGGACCATGCATCTAGTTCAGTTTTCATCAAGATATCAGAATATGTGCGGCAGGCATAGATCAGCCTGACTCTGGTCTCCTCGTCCTCTTCTCCCAAAATTCCCTGTATGACCTGTGACATGGGGGCTATGCCGGTGCCAGCTGCTAGGAGGTACAATGTCTGACACTGAAAACCCAGGGAAATTGCATTACATAGATAAACAACGTAAACATGAACAAGGAACGGGAAAAGATCACATGGTAGTAAATCTGTGGTGGAGGTAAAGTGGCTTGACTGAGTAAGTAAAATGAGAGTGAGTGAGTAGTTAGTGGTTGAGTGAGTGAGTAAAATGAATGAGTAAAACGAGTGAGACGCAGTTGAGTGAGTGGTTGAATAAGATAGGGCATGTGGATAGGCAATCAAGTTATTAGAATACAATTGCGGTTTTTGAGAAAGGGGGATGCACACTCTTGAGAAAGGTGGGGTGCACACTTCATTTTCACCCATTTTCACGGGTCATTTCATAAACTTTCAGGACAAAAGGGGACAAATTTGGAAGTGATTCAGGTCTGCTGATGTTTAACATGTTGAAAACCTCATGCATGGGTATGGTGCTGACAATCTTTGACACATAATCAGGGTCAGTAGTAATAGAAGACTGAGTAGATCTTACGAAATATGCATAGAATGACACTACTAAATAGCAATAATAATTATTCCATTTCCATTAGTTGGCCATTTCAGCATAATCTTAGTATGGTTCACTGAATCATTCAACAGCATTTTCTCAAAATCATATGTTAATTTCAGAGGTTTAACTCAAATTTGACTTTTGTTGTATAGAATAGAAAACCAAAACATTTCATGCTAGCTGACAAGATTAAAAATCATAACTAAAAGAATTTGAACATGTTAAATGTATTTTTGTTAAAGGTAACTTTAAGAAACATACAAACCTGGTTCAGCTTGTAGGAGAAACTACCAAAAGGACCCCGAACATCAACATATTCCCCCTCCTTCCATCTTTTAACTATCTGCGACATCTGCCCTTTGGGATAAATCTGAAGCAATCAAGACAAACTTATGTCATACCCATATATGTGTCGGTACAATTTGGACATAAAACAAGTTACTTTAAATAGGCAAATTTTCAAAGTTTTACAACACAAACTCACCTTTATTAGCAGATCAAAATAACCTTTGACCTCAACACTGGATATAGGTGTGTACTGTCGGGTAACAGGTGTCGAATCTAGGTATCCCCTGGAATAATATTAATATGAAATTCGTGATCATCTTTAGACTCTAAAAGATGTTACATTTCAGAATGGTTTTAAGTTTTAAGTTTCCATACCCCATTCTTCTCACTGCACTACAGGTTGAGGAAAATGTACTATCAGCATCCTTTCAATGGACGAAGAAGTGTGTGATTTAATGAATTATAGCATAAGCAATGACTGAAACTGTTAGATTACAATGACACACAACTAGATACTTGACTCATTTTACACAAGGGGTTTCATTGACTTGAAAGCTGATAACTGATATATTGATTCAAAAGGACCTGAATAAGTCAAATAATAACAAAAGTTTTTATTCTGTTTGTGTTAAGATATATATTTCCTATTTAGCCCTGTAATCAATTAACATAATGCTACATATGAAAAAAAGGTGATCCTATTAAATTCTGATTTACATTGTCCATCCTCACCATCTAACCATGGTATTCTGAACAAATGGAAATATTTCTGTGGCAGTGAATTAAGAAATTAGAATCAATATTCATATGTTTACCTGTCTTGATACAGCATTGAAAATAAAAATCTATTGATACAACAATATTGCAATATACAAGAGGCAATATACAACCAATTTCAGTCAGCACCAAGGACAAACGTGAGCTCCTGATATTGTTGGATGTGTCCTACCTGATAATGATGTGTTGACCTATACTCAGACCCAGTGACTTCCCCCTAGGCAGCCTCATCCTGTATCTAGCTGAGTCCTTGGTTTCCATGGTGACGGATATGATTTTAACTCTTCTGTATTTGTCCTTTGATAACACTGGTTCCTGCAGGAAATATGGTATTGGTTTTCTGTAATAAGTCATGATACCAATGACATTTCCTGTTTCAAGGACATGTCTAAACAAAACCCACATATTACTGAGAAATTAATAACATATTGAATTTACCTTTTCTTTTCATTGCTGAAACTTCTAATTCAAGAGTTCATTTTGAGAATGAAACCATCGTTAAACCTCACAAAATATATTTTACTAATTTATGTTTTCTGCCTCTTAGCCTGTTGACCGAGAATTCAAGTAAAACAGTAAGCTGTACTGTCAGGCCCAATGACTTATGATCATTTAATTATGAAACAAGCAAGGAATAACATCTTTGTATACTATTTGACTTATATTATGGTGTGCTAACATTATTCTGATAAACTGAGCACCAGTTGTTAGACTTCCATTTTTGAGGAAGCCATGGTGGCTGAGTGAGTTAGATTGCTGACTTTGTATTATGCTGGCGATTAAATGCCTCACTCTGATGGGACTCAGCCTAAAAATAAAGTACTGGAATCTGTACACACACTTTACCGAGGACTGACTGACTGAGTTTAGTTTTACGCCGTTTTTAGCAATATTCCAGCAACATCACGGCGGGGGTCACCAGAAATGGGCTTCACACATTGTACCCATGTGGGGATTCGAACCCGGGTCTTCAGCGTGACGAGCCAACGCTTTAACCACTAGGCTATCCCACCGGCCCTTTTACCAAGGAAGTGTAGCTTCAAATATATCATATGTTATGTATGACACCGAATTGAAAATTATTCAGCCTTGATATGCTAACATCTGACATTTGTATTTGTGCAAATTTCAGATTTGAAATCATACCAAGTGATATTTTCTATGGCTGTTGGACACTTTTCTTCCCCATGTATTGTAAATCATGTTTAGTCTGGATAAAGCAATATTTGATACATAATAAACAACATACAGCAAGGTGTTGAGATAAGTTGTTTTTTTTAAGATGACATCTAATCAACAACTCACGAAGTTTGACCAACTAATCCATCATCACTTTCGACATTCATACTGACGACCAACTTTAACCAGGAAATACTACTGCTGGTGTTTACATGATTTAGACATGAAATATTACTATTGATCATAAGATGCTTACTGATGTCATAGGTAAATTTTGTCAAAGTGGCAAACAGTTTCATTTCTCAGGAAAAGCATTTGGTAAAAATAAATAATTATACTGTGCAGCTGTAGTTGTATTTTACCTCATTGCCACTGTCTTCTGAGTCAGACACATTTTCAGGCTCGTTGTCCTTCTGCTTAAGTCGAAGACATTCCTGTTCCCAGATCTTCACTTCTTCATCATAGATATCAAAGACACATGGCACACACCCATTACCACAACAATCCGAGTCTAAGGGCTTCACAGGCTTCTCAGGCCAATCTGTAGATTTTGCCATCATAAACGTTCACACTAACAAGCAAACAGGGCATTTCACAGTCATCAGGTTGATACATTTAAGTAATATTCCTACCCAGAGACCATATAATAGATGGTCTCTGTCCTACCAGAATAACATGTTTTAGCTTTCATAAATATTCATTCTGTGATACAATAAAAAAGAGAAGTTGATCATGTTGACGGTTAATGATGAATTTTGAACAAATGTTTCAGTCATCTTTTTTTATGACTGCATGTGGTTTAGTACTTTCATAGGGAATTCCATACATAAGACATGTCATCCATGAAAAGCCTTCTCTAACAAGGCACTTGGAGGTGGAACTAGCATTTCTATTATTATTATTATTGTTGTTGTTGTTGTCACAGATCCTGTCATTCATGCCATCGTCTGTTACTTCTTCAACAACCTGTTCTAACTTTCTCTTTACTTGCCTTGGCATGCCTGAACCTGGAACATGAAAACAGTATCACAATTATTCGTTCAGCATATTTTATACACTGAGGAATATATAAGGCAAACATTACTTTGTTTTAACATTTTCTATTACAAAAATCATATTTGATACATTCTAAATTTGGAAATACATTTGTAAATAATCAGCTGACTGTCGAGTCAAGTCTCTTCCTGAAGTAATACCGAGTCTTCTAGACTTACCACTGCACACATGCTGACTTTCTTCATTCATCCTTAATTAGTTTACATCGTTCTATTTTAATTAAACGTTCTATAACCTTCACGTGTCTAGTAAGAGTTACCCCCCTTTACAACTCTTTCGGCCATGAAAGTAATATAAGTGTCCACTTCCGTATTAAGAAAATGCTCACATGTGCGATGTCAAATATTGTTAATCTTAAACAATAGTTATTTTTTTATTTCTTATGTTAGGCAGGTGACGTCTTTATAGAAATACTACATAGTGCAGACGTTTGTATTTGCTGTTGAGGACGATAATAAGTGTCGAAATGGCTCACCTCAGTCGTGAACGAATTTTGTGTAAAATGATTTCGTCTGCTTCAGTCATTACACAGACCAAACGATGTCTCCACAACAGGAGATACATCACAAAGATGTTCCAGAATTTTGGGAAAGTTCAACCAGCAGAGACAGAGTTTACATGCTCGAGTCAGAAGGTTATTTATATGTCCTCATGTTTAGTAAAGACTAGTCCAGCATATAACTAGACGACTTGTGTTATACCAAGGTGTGCTCGATGTAGGCCTTGGCTGGAATACGAGTATATTCATATGAACTAAGTAAAGACCCAAGACAGAAAACATCAATGGTGCATAAACTGATGCAGATAATGAAATTAATCCATCCGGATTGCAAAGAGAATGTTTTTTTTAGGGAATCTTTATAATCCATATAATAATTTGTTGCTTCTTTGAGTGACATTTTAGAAGCTGGAAAGTACAATATAGACAAACTTTATTGATAACAACTTCTTTATTGCAAGAGTGCGACACTTCGATACACATTCTTGTACCGTTGTCAAGCAGGAATGACAATGGTACAAGAATCTGTTTCTTCATTAATTGATGATTGACTTTTATGTCTTCTGTTTCAGTTAATGTTGTACAATGAAGTCATACAGTCCTGTCATTCTGGAACTTATCACATGCTGCCCCTGGGACTGAGGGCACTGGAGAAACTCATAAAGATCATAGACCAGGAGATGCAAGTAATTGGTGGTCAGAAGATTGCAATGCCAACTTTAGCGACAGCTGCAGTATGGAAGAAATCAGGTTGTTCATATGACGAATTCCATAGTGGTCATACATGTTTAGGATAATAGATGATCTGTATGCACAGAAATGTATAGCCATCGGAAATGGCTAATCTGTATCTTTAATTCCTGTCTGATCTGTACCTGATTTGGAGATTTGATACTAACCTGTTCACCACTTCTGAGGACCTGTACAAAAATATGAGAACCCACAATTTTGTGATTTGATTTAAACATATTTTATTCACAAATGTGAAAGGGATTGGAGACAAGTTATCCAACTTAAAATACCTGCTCCCACAATCTTGTAAATTCATGTGTTGCATTTACATGGTAAGAAGCACTAAATTCTCATATTCTATAATACATTAAGGGTGCTTGAAAATTTAATTAATATTCATGGACACTTTAAAAGAAGTCAAACATTCACTCAATATGTTCAGCACAATTGACACTTTCAGTGTTCTACACAAGCACTTCACACACAGTGGTTGGTGATCTTAGTCTCTCAGTACTAAGCCAATTTTCTGGAATTTACACAATTGGTTTATTATAACACCCAGCATATACCATGTATACAATGTTTATTTGTTTCTTAGGTCGATGGAAACAGACTGGTGCTGAGTTATTCAAATTGAAAGACAGACATGGTATAGAATATTGTCTGGGTCCAGTAAGTGTAACAATATTTATATAACTTTTATGAAGAAGAATTTATTCATTATCATCTGTACATAATGAAACATGAATGGACTCGATCATCATTGATATACACCAAATCATACATTACATACTTCAGAGTCTGATAAAAGTAAGTATTTGGATGACATGTTATTTTTTTAAACAATATGTAACATGCTCTCATTTACAAATTATTCAAAATGATTGCATTGTGAAAAACCAACTGATTCCACAAACCACTGGCTATTAGCAGTCTCAGGCCATCTACAAGGATGGAGTATGTGAACTGAATATGTGCTTAAATGTTATAGGATGAGAGATTAATATTTTTATATGATACAAATGGGTGGACAATACATTTTTGGAGTAGTATACTTGTATATATGGCGTGAGTGATTGATAAATGATCAAATCTTAGAATATGATTAATTTTGTTTTAAGATATGAAACTCTCATTCAATTGCAGACACATGAGGAACTGGTGACGGATCTTGTTTCTTCGGTATCACCAGTGTCATATAGACGATTACCACTTTTACTGTATCAGGTAAACTGCATGCAAGATTCTGAAACTTTGTTAACTTTTGAAGCATGGTCTAACTCGAAACTTAACAATGATTGCTGGCCCAGCAGTTTAAGGTGTTGGTGTTGTGACGTTTGGGCCTGTGAGGATCAGATAAGCTTGGGTTTGAATTCCTGAGTTGCACTTATCATTCTGCATAGTATGTCAACACCATATCCATGCTTGTGGGACCCGCCAATGTGTATAACTTTGGGCTTGCCTCCACATTAGATGGACATGATGAAATACATTTTGTATAATTAACATAATGTTTAACTCATGTTGTCAGTAAACAAAAATTAATGCAGTTAATGAAGGAATTGGTTCAAATTTGAAATATGGTTTTAAGAGATATGATAACAAGATTCTCTTTCTTAGATTACAAGAAAGTTCCGAGATGAGATGGCTCCAAAGTATGGACTACTAAGAGGAAGAGAATTTGAAATGAAAGGTATTTATACTGCTCCTGTCTATCATTAGGAATCAAAATTAAGAACCTTGATATACATGTACAGAAGGGGGCACAGGTGCTCCAGTCATTTAAGGTACCAAATTTGCTGAGCAGAGTTGCATCCCTTGGGCATCCCTGGGAAACCTATGATTGTGAGTTCAAATCCTGGTTTGTGCTGCTTATCTGACTAGGTTTGTCAGCAATTATACCCTTGCCCCTTTGTTTCACCAGACTTTAAAGTCGTAAATGTCTTGAGACCTCCATCTCTTCGGTGTTTCCTCCTACAAGAAGCTGACACTTTTTGATATAACTGGAATACTGGCAAAAAACAGTTTAAACAGAAAGAGGAAATGGAGAAATGTGACAATGAATACTCGTGTCACAACAAAGTGAGTCTAATGTGATAATTTGTATGAAGTATTCTCATTATTCTTCTATTATGCTGAACTCCGACCTGTTTTGTTTCAGATATGTACACCTTTGATGCTACAGAGGAATGTGCCAAGGAAACCTACTACACTGTATGTGAGGCTTACAGTAAAATATTTGACAGACTTGGAGTTAAATATGTGAAGGGTAAGAACGTGTATGTTTATTTATTTGGGGTTGTTTTAAACGTTTGTCTGATGCTGACATGGTTATTGTGACTGATTTCTAAATTCATGATCTTTTCCTATGTTTTGTGTTAGATATATTTATGGGTTATTGTACAGTTTTCCGTTTTATGATTTTATTAAAATGTTCTCTGTAGTTAGTGTACACTGGGGGCTGTGGGGTTGCCTAGTGGTAAGTGTTCGCTCGTCACGCTGAAGACCCGGGTTTGATTCCCCAGATGGGTACAATGTGTGAAGCCCATTTGTGGTGTCCCCTGTCTTGATATTGCTGGAATATTGCTAAAAGCGGCGTAAAATCAAACTCACTCACTCACTCACTCACTAGTGTACACTGGAATCATCTGTGGCTTGTTGTTTCCTGACAGCTGCTGGAGACACTGGAAACATTGGGGGGACGATTTCACACGAGTTTCATCTGCCAGCGGAAGTAGGGGAGGACACTTTACTGGTGTGTGACAGGTAGGATGAAAATGTGTGACAGGTTGGATGCAAATGTTTGATAGATTGTATGCAAATGTGTGACAGGTTGGATGCAAATGTTTGATAGAATGGATGCAAATGTGTAACAGGTTGGATGCAAATGTGTGACAGGTAGGATGCAAATATGTGACAGATGGGATGCAAATGTGTGACAGAACGGTTGCAAATGTGTGATAGATTGGATGCATATGTGTGACAGAACGGTTGCAAATGTGTGATACATTGGAGGCAACTGTGTGACAGGTAGCATGCAAATGTGGGACAGTTTGAACAGGTTGTGTACTTATCATCTCAAATTCTTTAGGATTGTCTCTTTTTTGTTAAAATGTACATGAGATTTATATATTGTTACATGGCTACATATTGGGAGTTAGTAGTTCACAATATTTGATTATAAGTTGTTTAAAACCATATCTCAGAATACTGGTACCATAGAATACTTACACACAAAATAACTGTATAAATCCTGGCAATTGTATTTTTTCTATTTTGCTTTTACAGATGTGGATTTTCTTCAAATATTGAACTCCTAGGTAAAGTATTACATGTCTGTGTGGTGGCTTGTTTATATCAGAGATCTATGTAGAATGATAGGGTCAGGTTTCTGCGATGACAGTAAAAGTGTTTTTCATGTTTGTTGTGACAAGTATACCCGGTAAATGATTCTGGTTCTGTGTCATGTTGGAGTAAATCTGTGACACTATTTAGAGTATTCCCCACCATTATATTGCTGACATATCGCTAAAGGCAGTTTTAAACAATACTCACTCATTCATCAGTTCAGACAGAGCATTGACATAGTGCTGACACACACTGAATCAGGTGAGATTGTTGCGGAGCCATTTTTCTGTAGACCTCTAAGAGATTTGCCGCCCTCCTCGTCAATGTGTTTCGATATCTATTATGATTTTTTAAATGAATTATTGTGTTGGATCATATCAATACTTCATTTTTTCAGAAAACTATGTGGAGAGTGATTTTAAAAGCTTCTGTCCAAACAAACAGAATGACTGTGATATGAAGAAATCACATGGCATAGAGGTATGTATAAGATTAGACTTGGTTCACTACAGGTGTGGTATGTGTCAGTGTATAACATGCTTGAAAATATTTCACATTGCAAAATGCAGTTAGCCGCCCACAAACAGTTTTGTTATTTCATCTTAGACTGTTGTTTTTAATATGAAATATAAACATAGTGAAAAGCCTATGCTAAGTGTTGCTTTGAGTCATAATCTTAAAGGTGTGTCTCAGCAATACACATTTTCACTTGGTAATCTGTGTCCTTTTAAAGTGTTTTTGTTTTAGAAACAGTTGTGACCTAGTTGTTTCATTTGTAGGTTGGGCATGCCTTTCTGCTGGGAAGCAAATACTCCTCTGTGTTTGGGGCAAACTGTCAAACCAAGATGGGCCAAATGGAGTAAGTTATTAATAACATAATTATGACTATTGAGCCAGTATATACATACATATTTACTCATACAATTTTGTGATAGATAATCAGATATGTTGTTGTCCCCCGCCACAACGCGGAACGGGGGACTATGTATTTCAGCGACGTCCGTACGTACGTCCCAATTCTTATTAACGCGATATCTCATGAACTGTTGTATCCAATGTCTTCAAATTTGGTGACAGTCTACATTGGGGGATTACGCAGACTTCAGTTTATTTGGGTGACCTTGACCTTATTTTCAAGGTCACTATGACACTTTGAACACTTTTCAAACTTATTTAAACGCGATATCTCATAAAACATTGCACCCAATGTTTTCAATTATGTTGACAGCCTACATTGGGTGATTAGGCAGACACTAGTCATTTCAGGCATCTTGTATGTGACCAAAAAATAAAAAGTAGTAAATATAGATATTCCATTCTTTAGCCGCGGGGGACATTGCCATATCAGTGGCAAGCACTTGTTCTAGTTAAATTGAACTCAACATGTATATATTACTCCAAAGAAGTTATGGACCCCTTATTTAATATTATAATATAGTTAAACTGTCATAGTAATGTCAACAAATCAGTTGCTCCTTATCTTCTTTTGAGTGGTATAGTATGAGATTCATTGTTGTGAGGAAGAAAGATGTTCAGAGATTAAGGAGTCTTTTGCTTGTTTACTTCTTGTTTAGCATGCCGCCATATAGCTGGAATATTGCTGAGTGCGGCGTAAAACTAAACTCACTCACTCACTCTTGTTTAGCGCACACTATTTTGGCTATATGACGAGAGCCTTTAAATAATCAAGTCTGGATCAGAAAACTGCAGATTTTAAAGGGTATGATGACATGCTATCATCCAAGCCACTGAGTCCAGTTATCTCTTGACCAGCACAGGTAGCTCAGAAGACATTGAGAAACATACTCATTCACATTCCTTCCATAGATAAGTTTGAAATAAGTTTGTCAGCTTCAGGCATGGGACGGTCAAGTATGTCTGATAAATCAGGACTTTAAATGTGACTGATGATGGAGATGGATGTTGTTCTGCAATGTTTCAGACCAGCACACATGGGATGCTATGGGTTGGGAGTCACCAGGATCCTACAAGGATGTATAGAGGTGTTATCGTCCTCCAAACAGATCCACTGGCCGGCTCTCATAGCACCGTACCAAGTGTGCATCATACCTCAAAAGGTGAGGAATCTATTGGATGAGTTTGGGACCAATATGCCCAGTTGCAATCGTTCTCTAGAAATTGATAATCATTATTTTGTGTCTGGTATTTCTTGTCAAGTTTTGTCAAGGCTGTAGTGCAGTATCAAAACCTTGATTTACAAGCAGTGTCTTAGAACAAATAGAATGTATTTTTTCAGTTGCTGTATGGGGTGTGGGTGGCTCAGTTGTCTGAGGTGGTGCATAGTTATCACCAGTTAGGGGGACGGTGGGATAGCCTAGTGGTTAAGGCTTTTGCTCGTCACACCGAAGACCCGGGTTCGATTCCCCACATGGGCACAATGTGTGAAGCCCCTTTCTGGTGTCTCCCGCCGTGATATTGCTGGAATATTGCTAAAAGCGGCGTAAAACTAAACTCACTATCACCAGTTAGGCACGCAAAGAACCTGTGATTGTGGGTTTGAATCCCAGAGTTATGTTTCAAGGACATACCAGCACACACCAAATATTAAACATTTAATCTCTCATGTGAGGCTTTATGATATAACAGAGATTTTTCAAAGTGGCATTGAACTGAATCACACTTTCTGTAAGTTTATGATTGGCTGCAAGACTTAAGCAATGAACAATGCCTCATTCATGTACATGTAGTACATTATTCCTCAGGAAGGATTTGAGGCAGACACCTTTTTCAAACTTGCCGAGGACTTGAGTGACCAACTCAACACTATGACAAACCTGTCAGGGGAGGTAATCATTGATGACCGCACACATATGACCGTAGGGAAACGTTTGTACGAGGCACGGAGACTGGGTTACCCCTACATCGTGGTCATTGGGAAGAAGGTAAGGGTTGAGGAAGTAACTTTAGAACCCCATCCTGATGTCAGTACAAGTGTAGTCTGTCTATAAAAGCATGTTTCTTTGGGGGTCTTCTTTACCCTTTTGTCTATGCTTAAAAGATCATTTTTTAATGTTTGATAACTCCTGGGCAATTAATATATACGCCAATCTCACAGAGCCTTGAACCTCATCCTATATATATATATACAGACAGAGTTTACAGACTAGTTTTTTGGGTCCATACACTTGCTGAATATTTCAATCAAAAAGTGTAGAACAAAACACGATACTGAGCTAAAATTTTGAGTTTGTTACCACCATAGTTTACTGTAATGTTCTTTTGAACATTCCAACTTTAGCACAAGACAACTTTGCCTTACAGGCCCTGGAGACAGAAGCTCAGTATGAAGTAATCCACACCCTGGAACAAGAGCCCATCTTCCTGTCAAGTGACCAGCTACAGCATTGCATGGCATCAATAGACACAGTCCCTCTATTATGAAGCCCTCAGTAATAGTAGATAGGCTGTGATCCAAATGGCGAATAGATACCAGTCCATCTGTGCTAAGTTATTGCCAAAGTACAAGCTGGCGTTAGTTGCAACAGGAGGGGCAGTATCTTGGCAAGAACATGACTCTTCAGTTCCTAGCAGCAGAACAAAGTGTTGCAGCATGAGACATGGCAATGTTATTAGAGATATAAGCTGTAATACATAACATTTGTTTATCTTGGAGGAGTCGAACAATATTTTTCAACAATTTATTTCAAGGCATTCAGCATGTCCTATCATAAAGTTTCTTTTCATAGACAATGCTTTCGGAGTATCTTTGTGACAAAAAACATTTTATTGTGAACAAAACAATATTCTCCCTCAGAATACCTTACAGCATCCCTCAGACACTTTATGCCATCATTGATTACTTGTTCATGTGATTCGAGGATGAAGCCCATTTCTGGTGTCCCCCGCCGTGATGTTGCTGGAATATTGCTAAAAGCGGCGTAAAACCAAACTCAGTCAGTCAGAGATTCGAGGAGGAAAAAACAAGCTGAACTGGATGTTACATTCACGTTTATTCTTGAGTATGAGGTATTGTACAGCTGCTAAAACTCATGATCCACAGAATGATTGTATTTCGCTGTGAATTTCACAAAATCTCATGCATTTTGTGACAAACATATTGACATGAACATATATTTGATATATAAATATGTGAGCACTGTCAATGTGATTTGTTTCTCCATTTAAATTTACAGACATCAGCAGAGGATGATACTGAAGAATAACCCCACATCACACACACCTAAATCTTGTTTACTGAACACATAGCAAAACAATATTAACTAGGTTGTTATCCTTCTCACAACCTGTTTACAGAATGGCACATCATAAATAAGTAATTTGATAGATGCACATAAGATGCACCAGGAAAAAAAGTATTTTATTCCGTCATATTCTTCACATGTGATTGCTCCACTGTCACAGAAAACACTGGATCAACCGAATGCACATGTCATTTGCTGCATGATCTTCTCCATGTTATAAATATCACTTCAACAAAAATGAAAACATTCCTAAAAAGCAAATAAAGCAAAACACTGGTGCTTTTCAGTAAATATAAGAAAAAAAACATTAACAAAAAAGATACTTGCTTTGTTTGAAACTATTATACTGTACACTTGGAAGTACATATGAAAGTTCCACAAACCTAAGTGAGTGAGTGAGTCAGTATGGTTTTACGCCGCTTTTAGCAATATTCCAGCAGCATCACGGCGGGGGACACCAGAAATGGGCTTCACACAATGTACCCATGTGGGGAATCGAACCTGGGTGTTTGGCGTGATGAGCAAACGCTTTAACCACTAGGCTGCCCCACCGCCTTTTTTTTTATGTGACTTATTCCAGGCACGTATATTTTGAGTTGGGTTTCACACTGCATCATTGGGTACGAAGTTTTATTACCCTTAAGATAAATTTGCTGAATCCTGATTGGTTAATAGCCAAAGCATACCAAATCATGTAGGCGGATTTGCCAGGGTGTACGAACCGTACACCCCGTCAAATCTGTCATGTGACACACTACACGGGTTGTATGAATTACCTTGACCTTAGATGGAATGTGGCTGCCAAACGGCTGGCTCGCTTCGAAATTTTAAAGTTGGCGTATACAATTATGAGTATAAACAGAGTAATAAAATTGTTGCCTTAATTTCTTATTGTGTCAATAAATATATCAAAAAGATAAAATGTTGCTGTATTTCACTTGTCGTTTAACAAAACCTCAATTTATTACCCTTAAGATCTTTTATTTTTATCATAAACTACAAAGCAATCATCCTGAGTTACCTCCATTGTTTTTCCTGAGCGGGTCATAAAGGGAGGTAAAAATGGCTAATTTTTATCATACACTAAGCCATCCTGAACCTCCTTTTCTGACCCGTTCTCATAAACATTGCCTCTCATTCTGCCGATGATTGAATGTTGTTGTTTTAAAGATAAGCTATATAAAAAGATCTTAAGGGTAATAAATTGCCACACGGTCTTTTGAAAGGGTGTATGGGACTGTAAGACCCATGTCAATTCGATATTGCCTGAGGCATTTACAAGGGTCTTACAGTCCCATACACCCTTTCAAAATACTCTGTAACTAATAGTATCATGGAATGCCAGGTTGTAGACATGAATACTGAGACCCCCATGAAAGAAGACCTTGTCCGGGGATTTAAATCTACCACCAGGGAATTGTAATACACAAATCTCCACAGTTGGCTGCATTTGTCATTTGAAGCATTTGGTTCAATCTCCTCCATCAGCTGAATCCTTGATTTCAAATACATTTTCACAAGAATCACCTACATCAAACATAGTTTTGTTCCCAAATATCCTTGCATAACATAAACACATGTTACAGCACAAAGAATAGATAACTGAAGCTCAAATGAAAGTATTCTTGTAACTTTGGCAATCAGGGCCCTGTTTCACAAAGCTCTCGTAAGCCTAAGATCTCGTAACTTTTCTCGTAGCATTCGTACCTCCTATGTTACAGTATAGCAGGTACCAATGCTACGAGTAAAGTTACGAGATCTTAGGCCTACGAGAGCTTTGTGAAACGGGCCCCTGTCTTGGAAGAAGCATACACTCCATTAAGACTAATTATGTGCCTTTCATGGACAAAGGACACTTATGTCACAAACATTCTGAAAGCTTTAAACTGGATAATGTAAATAGAAAGGGCTTCCGACAGGTTCTGTCACTGAAAAAAAAGTTTTTAAGTAGCGTGAAACCAAAAATGATGAAACAAATATTCCTTAAAAGTGGATGCACATGACGGTAAAAATAGGAAAAGAGGAGACAAGTAGTTTTTGTTCATATGTAAATATGAACCTTTGACTGCACATTGGTGGTACAGGGATTTACAGTTGCTAGATCTAACCGTGCTTGGCCTCAAGTGCAACCCTGTTATTTTACATCACAATTAATACCATCATAATGCCCTTGACCTAAGATGCTGTCTAACTCTGACAAGAGATGACAGTTTTGGTCCACCAGATGTTCACAATATAAAAACATAAGGGACAACTCAAGTTATTATGAAAGTTGTCAGATTTGTCCGTATGAATGGGAATGAGACTTCGGTCATGTTAAGATGTGCATTTAGGGGATTTATAACAACTGTAATAGCACAAGTAAAGGCTGATTTTAGACTCCAAGATTTTCAATTCGCCTTTATCTAACATAGGAAAATAGTTTATTTCAAATGAGTCCAAATTTGCCATTATCCTATCTTGTAAACTATCAGTCCTCCATCTTCCTACACATTCAGTTTTCAATTATGCGGCATAATTACCCCAAATGATCATGATTAATAGATCAGTTTAAATTACAAATATTTTCATCCATAATGACCAACTGTAGACACTGATTTTCATTCAGTTTTAGTAGGTTTCAAACAAACTGATTAATAACAACACAACTACTTAATAGGTAAAAGAATCTTAACAGTTATTGTGTGTAAGATATATTCAAGAATCTTTCGGAAAAACAACAACATTCCATTCAAACAAATAAATATTCAATATTGAAAACAAATGACATAAAACAATAGTTGAACAGTTATTGAAATGAATAAAATTATCCACATAAGTAGAAAGGAGAATAGTATTAAAGATGCATTGCATACACATGAGTGAGTGAGTTTGGTTTTACACCGCTTTTAGCAATATTCCAGCAATATCACGGCGCGGGACACCAGAAATGGGCTTCACACCTTGTACCCATGTGGGGAATCGAACCCGAGTCTTCTGCGTGACGAGCGAACGCCTTAACCACTAGGCTACCCCACCGCCCAACATACACATGAAGTGAAATCAATGTATAGTCTGTTTGCTGCAGAATCAAATATACATTCGAAAGCAATAAATGGTCTTAAATGGCATGAAAGTTATGCATGATGTTAACCATCTTTTTATCAATATGAATCTTCGATTTTGGTCTCAACTTAATGCACATTGCCAAAGTCTTTTTACCAATATTGTCAACATTTCTTTTGACAGGCTTTTATTGCAGAAAATACAGGGTTGGCAAAACGTGCGAATGGTAGGCTGTTCTACATACACTGCATACCCCCTTGTTGCATGTCATTAAAACTCCAACATTAATATGATCGTTTGATAAACACCACCCCTTCTTCATACAATGTCTGAAATTATAGTCAAGATTTCGTATGGACAAATGACTACTTTCATGCCTTTTAAGATGACTTGTTGTTTTCGAATGTATATCTTTTCACCATTTCATCTGTACGATTCTGCAGCAACAGACTATAGTTTAGAGATTCAAGTGAAAGGGTGATACTCCATCTGTACCAAAACTGGAAATAGGATATTTTGAATAGGACGGTTTGGATTGCAATGTACAGAAATTATTTCCCCAGCAGCTGCCGGAGAAAAAACTGTTGAATGATGAGTAAGCTGTGGTGGTCATGTGGCCCTGGGTGTGCTGCATGAGATAAAAGAACAGGAAGCTTCCACTACAGCTCAGAATGCAGACACACTTGGTTCGAGTCACGATAAGGAAAATTAATCAGAATGGAATGAATCCTATTTATATTTGACATGTTAATATTAACAATCGATTAGCAATTTGGCAACTCAGTATTTCAAACAATGCACAGGTATCAGTTTCAGATGGGCCTGTTTGTTATATTCCCCCAATGAAATTAAAAACAACAACAAATAATAGCTCAACCCCTTTTGGTGGACAAATGTTACTCCAACCATTATCACCATGTTAGTCTATCAATGATAATTTTCATGAAAGATGAGTGAGTTTAGTTTTACGCTGCTTTTAGCGATATTCCAGCAATATCATGGTGGGCGACACCACAAATGGGCTTCTCACATTGTACCCTTGTGGGGGGAATTGTACCTGTGTCTTCAGCGTGACAAGCAAAAACTTTAACCACTAGGCTACCCCACATGTGTTTGTTCCCTGATTTATACATGATATCCCGGTACATGACTCGTAGTATACAGACAAACAACAGATTCTGAGATACAATCATCAATCTTTTGTTGCCATGATATTCAATGTATCAAACATCAATGAATGATTTCACAATTATTCCTGATATGCTAAACACAAGGGCTTGTTCTAATTAAAAACTTATGATGTATACAGATTACAGCATCTATATTGAATTCTGATCCACATGAAATAATTAAGACTTAATATATTCATAACAATGTATGAAAGAGAGAGTTTTCATATTTGTACAGCGCTCAGTAACATCACGAGGTGACTGCTTCATATGGGATGAATCCCTTCAACATGCAGGGTGTTCACTAGATATGTACCACTTGTCTGACTTTGCTCAGAAACTATGGGTCATAATCTGAATAAATCTTGGATTTGCATCCATGTCAAGACTCACCATCTCTAAGGTACACAACTCTTCAGCACTAAGGTTAGTTAAAAGGCCGGGGTTCAAAATTATACACAAATGGGGTGAAGCCACAATGCCATGTCAAATCTGTCTTTCTATTCAAAGCAAAGCAGTATTCAAGTAAATTCCATGCAATATCACAAAATTGATTTACAGGTTCATGATGATACTAAGCCATAGTATAATAAAGTATGCTAAGAAGAATCACTGCAAAAATTGTTGATGCAGACAGTCTACAAACCATACATTTTGAAGATATATTTCTCTTTTGGAAATCCAGATTTTAGTTTCCCTCTGTATCAGTCAGGTGGCCAGAGGAGGTACGTTTTCATAGCAACAAGTCTTCTAGTGGAGCAAAAGTTTCATATTTCATTTTGACAATGACAATACTTTCTTCCGAGGCAGGCAGTGAAAATGACCCCTCCCCATTCCCCTTGCCCCATGCTGTGCAGGATTAAGGTTGTACACCTATTTTGTGGGGACATCAACATGCTGAAGGTTGTATTTTCAGAAAATGAGTAAAATTTGAAATTTGAAATGAATCTGTCTTTAGTCATCAAAATATGCAGTGAAAGAGTTGCTAGACATTTACTATTAAAGAGGCACATGTTAATTCTAGTAGTAAATTCCAAGTTTAACCTTTGACATCACGAGGCTCTTGCCAGGCACCCATAGCCGTTACAGTCCTGTCACTCATGGGCAGATAACATCTACACTGCTGAGGAGTAGCCAATGGAAGACTTAACTGGAAACCCATGGGATTTTATTTAAGCTACTGGTCATATGTCTCACCCAACAAATGAAGAAAATTATCAATGTTGTAAGCATCATATTTCTTTTTTTGATTATGCTGTATAATTTTGTATAGAAGCCTTCACACAATGCACAGTGAAACACATTATTTGATATGACTCAAAATAACACAAGAACGGTTCCATGTATACAACAGTCAGTACCACGTATACTACCATGTGAATGTACCTGAGAAAATACATGTCCTCACTTTTCATACCATATACATTCACACGATTCAGACCAAAAATGGCACACACATTCAATATGAACTGACACTTTCAAAGTGATAGTCGTAGATTTTATTAAATCAAGTTGCACCAGTGCAACTCATCCACATCTTTGGTCATGTAGGCAGCATTGCAAACAAATAACAAAATGCTGGAAAATATTGACCCTGTCATTTAGGGTGGGAGGCAAAGTACCGGTAAGCATGATAACATGCAGTGTTCATAAAAACTGATCTTAATGCTTGCTACACATTCGGCAGTAACAAACACTATAATCTGACAATGTGATCAGAGACTGATGGGGAAGTATGAAAACATGGACAGTAAATTCAAGGTGATACAAAACCACACCGGCAACTGTTTCAGCTCTTAACCCTGTAATAAAAGATTTATATGCTGTCACCATCAGACAGATGAATACAATGTAAGTGTTTGTCAGAAACACATGAAAACTGACATTGGTAAATAACCTATATCATAAGCTGCCCTAAACATGTACATCTGTCACGGGACTGACTTCAGTGCTAGCGTGCAATAATACACAGCAAATGTTACAGCATTGTCACGACCACAGCAAACCTGATCATACATCAATCTCACTTAGTCAGTAGTGTAGATACATGTATTCTTGTGGGAGAAGGTAAAAATCTTCAGACATTTTATCTGCCTGTATTTCCTTCATGTCTTGCCATGGATAACTTGATTGCTTGACCACTTCAAACTTCACAGGTTATCACGCCAATTAAAAGAACATGATGAAGACTGTCGTCACTCATGGATATAACTACAAGCTTGTTACTCATAGATGTAAGCACAAGCTCTCCACTCCTAGAAGTATGCATCTCTTTCTGTGTCCACTGTAGCTCGAACATTTCTTCACACATATCACACTTGAATCTACATCACACCAAACCTGATAACATTCAACACTGAATTGGGGCTGAAGAAGAAAACAGCTAGTCCAATGAAAAGCATAGCCATTTCATGTCTAGGGAGGGACTGGAAGCCATTTTAAAATGATCATATAGTATTTTCAGCACAATCAACTAGTGAAACATGACTGTCCGCAGAGCGTCTTCGTCACAGATCTCCAGTGTGGCGATAGCACCATCATTAAACCGGAACGATGAACCCCCATCAACCACCAGACATGCATCCCACATCCGCGACCGAATGACGACTCTGACAAAGAAGACCATTATATAAATTGTGTTCATTCCTGCCCAGTAATATGGGAATTAAATTATCCAAATTTCCTTTAGTTTTCCTAAGATTTGCAGATTTAGATTTTCCAAATAACCTAGTTATATATTGAGTAGACTCTTGTAGGATTATGCGGAATTCCAGCATTTTGTATTGAATTTGTATGTTAATTTTTTACATTTTTCACATTAATAGTTTTACAGTTCTTCATTTGGTGCATGTGTTGAACTCATACAAGTTTATGAATCAAAATATATAGAGGTGAAATACATTTAATATACATACTTGTCAGCAAATCCCCTTGGATTATTCATTCTAAACACATCTGAAAATAAACAGGGAATAATAAATAAATAAACGAACGAACGAACGAACGAACGAACGAACTAACGAACAAACGAAAAATCATTAAAAACTACCTACCATCCAATTTCTCTTAGGTTCATATTATCTCAAACATTTTTGCGGGCCTAACACATGTACTCGGTTGATGATTAAGCTACAGATTGGTAGTACCGTTTACTACAGGATCTCTGATGCTGTAAGCCATCCTCGGTTCACTTGGGTCAAAGGTCAGAGAGTAGTTGAACGAGTCCTTGATCTTCTCAAGGAGTGAGGTGTCATTTACAGGGAACTTGTGTTCAGTGTATTTGTTGGCTGTGGAAAAGAAACATGCTATTTCTCAAATCACACATTGCTTGTAAACAGCATGTCTAAAACAATTTCTTGCACCAAATTCTCAATAAGACTTTTCATCAATTATGCACATTGTACAGGATACAGGTAAATCATGATCACATGCTAGCCATACTTAATAGTATGCTTGTGTACTTATATCAAAAAATCATGGTTACAAGTAGGGCTGCGCAATATAAACGGTTCAGACATGAAAACAATACATATTGCGATACGCTGATCGAAAACTGGTATTTTGACATGCATTCAGAAAACTTCGTAACACTCGGAAATCTTCGGATATTTCCGTTTTTTAATTGTTCTTTTCCCTGTTTCATTAGTGCCAAATGTTACTTACATTTTTATTTTGTCATGATTAAAAGTTTTTATAAAAGGTTAATCAATCATAGTGATTTTGTTATGTTTTTGCTTTATAATCAACCATTAACTCGATTATAAGTAGTTTTTGTTAAAAAAATAATCCTTGCAATATATTGCAATACATATCGCAATATACGCATCCGCATCGCAATATATCGCAATATGAAAATTCTCTGCAATACCCATCCCTAGTTACAAGGTTGGTTGGTTTGTTGTTTAATGCCACATACAGCAATATTCCAGCTATATGGGATTGCCTGTAAATAATAGAGTCTGGACCAGGCAATCCAGTGATCAACAGCATGAGCATTGATAACATGCTATCGTACTAATATATCTAAAAGCAACATAATACCATATTCATTTAGTCATGTTTTTATAGGCGGAGATCAGATCACTGAAATATGAGGCAAGAAAAAAGGTTTAAATGTGCAATTCCTTCAAAATATCTGTGAATTTTCACATTTGAAGTAATGCAGGCACAGTTTTACTGACCTATATCTAATATCTCCTTGACCCCCTCCACGGGGAGATAGTTTATGTGGAAGAACCATGAACTTGACCCTGTGCCTGTAGACACAGTCACTCCAGAGCTCTTCTGCTTCTCTGAGAGGCCCTTGCCCACAGACAGCTCATAATAAGACACTCTGAAGCAGACATGTTAAACATGACAGGGATTTACGGGATGCGAATTCCTGCGTCCTATACGCATAAAAACTGACAATGAAAGCAACGAAATTGAATAGCGCATCCACAGGGACGCAGAAAAAGTCCAAAAGCTTTTTGTAAAATTTTTGATCATGTAACAATAAGTTATCACTGAGTCTGCTACTAGCCGGGTCATGGTATCATTTGCGATTTAATTACTGTAACAATGTGCTGATCATGATACACAATACAATAACAGTAACTAAATTACAACAATATTGTAACATAGTATTAATAATAATATTTAATTGTCTGGAACCCCCATTTTGTAGTGCAGGACCCCTGAAAATTAAGAGTATGAGTCCAAGGGACCCTCAAATACAGGACTCAAAGTAAATCTCTGACATTACCCTAAATATTTCTGTGACTATTCCAAATATGAATACTGAACAGTTTCTTCAACCGTATCATCACAGAAAACGTAAGCAAGACATTCATGGAGATATGCAGGTATTGGTATTTATATCCCAGATTCCCACCTTGCTGACAGCTTTTCTGCAATAAACACTTCATTGAGGGCAAGCACTGGCAGTACACGCTGTGTTGGAATGTCTCTCATAGAACAAATGGGGTGCCGGACTTGTTCATTCTCTTGAACATGTTCTGTAAATCTATGTTCAACAAACTGCAATTGTTGATCATGAAGCTCTATTGCTTCATCATTATCATGGCAACCTGACATGGTGATTCGTATTCTATGACGCCATTTCCACCTGAATAAGAAAAGTTAAAAGTCATATGCCAATATAATAATTTGACAGCATTTATATATTTTTCTACAGTAAAGATGTCAGGAAATTTTAAAATAAAACTGTTCTTAAAAGCAAGCTTTAAAGAATTACAAATCTAAAAAATAATAATTTGAAGAGACACTATGATCAAATTTGGGCAATCTTCAAATATTTTTATGATTATTGTTTCTATCAATTGACATTAAATCTTATGGAATCAGCAACATAAAGTCATGGTACCTGAAGTTCCCATCCAGCAATCTCTTCAAAGCAGAATGGAAGTTCTTCCCACAGTAGCCATTTTTAGGTAGACAAAGATGGCCTTCCGATCTGAATAATCAGCAAGGCATATCAAAATGGTACACATGTACTAAAAGTAATTTATTCTCCTATACTTAAAATCAATTGCTTTCATAGTACACCTACCAGCAATCTTCACCTTGTAGTACATATGATGTTGGTTTGTTAGTTAAACGCCACACTCAGCAATATTCCAGCTATATGGAGGCGGTCTGTAAATAATCAAGTCTAGACCCGACAATCCAGTGATCAACATCATGAGCATCGATCTACGCAATTGGGATACGATGACCTTTGTCGACCAAGTCAGTGAGTCTGACCACCCTATCCAATTAGTCGCCTCTTACGACAAGCATGGGTTACTGAAGACCAATTCTAACCCAGGATATTCATGGGCCTGATTTGCATGTGAAACAAAGTGGCCACACGAGTGAATGTTGTTTTATGTCAGTGATGATGAAGTGATATCTGATTCCTGTCAGATCTCCTGACAAACATTTCCAACTTCATATTCAATTAGAAGCTCAAGCTGTCTGCCTCTTCAAGCAATATGAATTTCATGTGTTTGAAGAGGTGTAGATGATTTTACCAGCTGAGTGGTCTTCAGGATTGCAGGTTAAGGGAGTTCATAAACTTTTAGCTATTAAATCCACTATCCCCTGCTATCATTACATGTATCAAATTCATCATTTTAAGTTCACAAGTTACAAAGACTTAAGTTCAGTTACATTTGTATCACTCTAAAATCTCCATCCACTGTGCCAGCCTCTGAGTCTCAATCACTGAATATTGGAAATTGGATGTCCTAGCAAGTGATGCCACATCAAACACTACGACATCAATATATCTGTACAGGCTTGACAGATGACTTGTATGGGCTTTCACATGTCAGTAACTAGCCAATCAGGGAGGAAATAGATATTTTTTCAGTCTCACATAGAAGCCAACCAATTCAAATGTCAGGTCCTTGCTTATTTCATGACACATCACAGTGAGGAAATACGCTGATTGGATATTTATTAAAAATGAAGAAAACTAAATATTGGAACCAGTTACAAGTCCCAGATTTATTTCCCTTCCCTTTCATAGTTAATATTTCTGTAAGAAGACAGAATTATAAGAACATGACTACTCAGAACAATTCTCTTCAAATTTTGTGTGAAACTTTGGGTAGGCAGATTCAAACAGTTAAAGATGTCATATGGCAATAATATAAATCGGCCGAGTCCGTAGGAGGTACAACCCAACAAACGTCTCACCTATCTGGATCGGTGTTGATTCCAATGACAGGTTTACTTCTGTCATTGACCTTGCTGGCAGCCAACAGGAAGGTTCCATCTCCTCCTGCTGTGAATATAACATCGGCCCAGTCGATCAGTTTACTGTCAAACTGTAGTCGACTTACAATTCTCGTCTCTATGTTAGCTCCTCTGTTGAAAGAATTTTAGAAACAGAATGAGTGATAATTATTTTACCCAGCAGAAAACGAATTAATATTCGACTGTATCAAGTAGTGGTTTTCTGAATAATTGAAATAATCGAAGATTGGTTGCAGTGACTAAACGACCAATCAATTGATCATGTTTTCTCATAATCGAACACAAACAATTCTGGAACACTTGTTTTCAATAACAATATTTTTCACAAGGTTGGTTTTGTCTGTTACATTTCATAAGCACTATAAGCTAGTTCCAAGTCATGATTGAATTTATCTTAAAGACTCCAAGGCATTTATGTTCCTGACATACTAGTCATCCTTTAAAGATTTGAAACTTTGCCAAAAAAAAACCCCAAAGAACTACGTGTTTTTCCCTATTTTTTTGGTGCATTAACAAATTTCATAAATGACGCTAACCAATTATTTTCGATGGTTGATTGGTTGTAATTCACCAATCATCAATTAGGAGAGTTTAACCAATTCCCAACACTAGTATCAAGCTAGGACTATACATACTACACAGTTTACCGATGCACTGGTATACTGCAATATTCTTTTCAGACTGTATGTACTGCAACAATTTTGTTCTGTTTTCTGGTAAAACAGATAAAAAAGAAAGAACAAAATGATTACAATTTGTCTCATTGAAAATATAATCTACCTCCCTTTGAAATTGATTGACAAGAGGGCAGAACTGCCTAAGAACTTTTACTCTTGTGTAGTTATCTCCCTGTATCCATGACTACAAAATGAAGACTGACCATGCTGACTTTGACATTACACTATTTACATCAGTCACTACATGTAGAAAATAGGATCTGCACGTATAATCAGCGTCAATCAATTGAACTCTTAATGTATCGCAATGTAGACACCTGTGTTGCAATACAGTTCTTTGCTAAAACACAACCCAATAGAAGACTAAATATTCAAGCCTGGGCCAGACAAACCAGGAGTTGACAGAATGATTAATAATACACGAACTTGTAAGATACACACTTTGACAACACGGTCCTTATTAGTCGGCCCTTATGACAAGCATGGAATACTGAGGGCTTCTTCATCCACAGAATCACTCAAGGCATTAAAAATGTGAAAACAGTGAACTTTTATTCACTAAAATTTTCCAATATGCAGAAGAAAACTACAATTATTTATGAAATAGTTTTAGATGTTAAGAAGCAAGATTTATATTTAATCAAAAATGGAAACCTGACCTTTCTATTGCCATGGATCTTGATATCTTTCAATGGCTATAACAACCGGATGTTGCTAGGGTAGTAAATACTCACTCTAAATTTTTCTTTATCACTTCCAGCCCTGCTAGATGTGTGTTATGCCGATCCACAAGTCCTTGATAGTCTGAGTTTTTTGACTCCAGCTAAAATGTTCATAATACTTATGAATATGTGAGGGCAATCAAGATAAACATTGTCATGCTGACAGTTTCCTATAATGTCCCAAAAATGTACACCTGAAGAGGAAAAGTTGATTGAAAAAATGTACAAATGTCTTCATGCATTTATTTACTGTTTTCAACATACTCACACCTTTAACATGTTCAATAAACTAGTAATTAATATAACCATAAATTCAGCATAACTTTACCATTTGTCTTTAAATTTTATTTGCTGACATGATCATGTGTGAATCATTTTGGGAAAGAGTTCCTTACGTACCCCCTGCCTATTTTTGTGATGAGGAAATTTCTATAGTTTAGTCTATAGTTTATAGTTAAAATTAGGTGGGGGGTACGTAAGGAGTGAGTGAGTATGGTTTTACACCGCTTTTAGCAATATTCCAGCAATATCACGGCAGGGGACACCAGAAATGGGCTTCACACATTGCACCCATGTGGGGAATCGAACCTGGGTCTTCAGCATGTCGAGCAGACGCTTTAACCATTAGGCTACCCCACCACCCCAGGGTACGTAAGGAAGGAACTCTTACCTCATTATGTTTATATTAAATGATCGACCAAGTTACAATTAATTGTAGTTCACCATGGTGACTAGGTGCATCGAACGGCTATAATCATGATAATAATGTTATCAAATGGAAACATGTCGGTGTAGATCAACTTGTCAGTTTTCACATGCATACTTACATTTTTCTTCAGGTCTGTCTCTGACAAGCCGCTACATCGTCTTTTCTCAAACTCGTATCTAGTTATCCTTGTCAAGACTGCAGCTCTACGCGGAGTGAAAACGGGTCGGTCATCAGAACCAAGATCTGTACTTAACGAACGTAAACAGAACAGTCTTGAAGGCCACACCGTCCCGGCATCTGTCAGTCGAAAAGGCAGTCGGTGCATGTGGCAAAATAATTTCGTGACATGCAAACACTGAACGTTCATTTTAGAAAATATGAAGTGTACTTGTTGAATCAAGAAAGATTCTGATAGACTTTGACAACCTAGGGCGTATCATAACAACTTTATCGCTTTTCTACTTTTGGTCTTGGCAGGTCCCCTCTAAGGCGGCCATGATGCTATAACACGCAGAGCTATCCTTTGGTATTTTGTAATAACTAAGCTATTGAAATTGTGATCCCCCGGATTTTTAAAAACCAAAGTAGAATTCTGAATTAGGATAATCTTAACTAAATGCTAAATCTGTGCTACGATATCGCCGAAACTTGGGCAACGTCAAACATAGGAAGTTTGGGGCTATTTACGACAGCAGTTGTTCCCCTTCCAAATCAGCTGCAACTCCAAACAGCGTTATGTCTCGTCATGCAATTATGATTTAGTACATGCTAGACGAACCACGGCGTCGTAAAGAGTATGAGTTTACCCATACCATGTGGATCGATGATTATTCAGGTTGATATTGCGTGCTATTTTCGTTTCCACTTTAAACATGTTATGAATGAATGTGGCAACATAAATGCCGCGGAGGCTTTTAGGATTTGCAATTTATAAAAATGCATATCCTAACTTCATTGAAAGTAAACGTGACAAATGTCTTGTGGTGTATATTTCTTTGCTGTTTCCCGTTATCATTTTTAAAGACTATTTTAAGATAGTTAAACGAGAATTTATTTACACAAAAATCGTTAAATAGACATAGTGTGATATTTGTCGGGACTACATTTACACATACAGGTGATGTATCAACTAATGACAGAGTATACTATTCGTTGGGGCATATATTTCAACAAACTGTTCTTTCACCTTCTAGGGGCGGTGGGGTAGCCTAGTGGTTAAAGCGTTGGCTCGTCACGCCAAAGACCCGGGTTCGAATCCCCACATGGGTACAATGTGTGAAGCCCATTTCTGGTGTCCCCCGCCGTGATGTTGCTGGAATATTGCTAAAAGCGGCGTAAAACCAAACACAGTCAGTCAGTCAGTCTTTCACCTTCTTTAATGGTATTCAGAAGAGTGACATTTTTTATGGGTAGAGAACTTCTTTATTGCAATATATGCTTGATAACGCTGTTAGCATCTCCTGCAATAAAGAAGGTGTATGTCCATAAAAAAAGGTTGCTCTTATTCAATTACCGTCCGCCCACCAAGAAAATATTCAGGGAAAAAAAGGAAGAAAAACAAATGTCCTCCCTCACGTCCACATATGCACTGCGTACATTTAAATATTGGAATTGTTACCATGGGGTATATATTATGTATGAAATACATAAAAATTGTAAATTATTGTGAAATTGTATAAAAATACATATATAATGCAAATAAAATTTAAAATGGCTGCAATGTGATAAAAGCCAAAATAGAAACAAAGATGAAAATAATTGCTACCATATTAGCAGGAATTAATTCGTTCAGCTTGTTCCTTTAAATGATATACATTTGGGGATATTTTGCAGCTTATTTGTGCAACAGCATTTACAGTTATATAGCAGATACCACTATACATCAGCTCCTGAATATCCAACAGAAGCTCGATGTAGTCGTGTAGTTAACGATCAGTGGTTAGGTTACGAGTATGTGTATTCATTCAGCCACGACTGGTGGCGAATCATGTGGAGTTCTCACTAGACAGTGTTGCCGGTAGATTACGACTGATTTGTACGATTCAACATGTTGCCACTTCACGTAGATGACAAACAGTACCGTCCTGGTTGGAAACTAAAAGAATCTATTCTGGGATGGCTTCGGTGAGATATGTATTTATGGACCGTATGCTAAGACGTGGCATTGCTCCACAAGTACCTGTCAAATGATTGAACGTGTATTGCAGGAAGTGGGCCGTTAGAAGACAGTTTCTTTTTCATTTGCTAACTTCATATTTGATTTCTTCCTCCTGGATTTCATTTTGCCGTAACTGTTATTATTTGCAAGATGCTTATGATAATCTATTTCAGTGTTGAATTGGTTCCCAGAGTAAGTAAACAGACTTATGGCAGTATGAGGGTCCATATGGGTGACCAGCGTTGGCTGATCGTGTGTTGATTCAAAGACGTATATTCGTCTTTGGTTGATTGAAACCCAATTATGAAACACGTTTTTACATTGTGTTTTCACTGATATTCACACAGATGGCTTTTACTCAGTGTTATAATCGGTTACACTGTTGCTGTTATCTATATTGTAGTTCATTTGAATAAACTCGTATTCAAGCCAAGGCCTACACATCTTGTTATAGTGCAAAGTCGTCTAATCTATATTGTAGTTATTTACCCTATAATAATTGATGCATGTTAGTAAACATATGCTGAATGCATCGATCTTCTATTAACATGTGTAACCTTACTGTAAGTGTTATGTGAAAAAGTCGGATTTGCAAGAAAAATGTACATAGTGGGAAATGTACAACTTGTATGGGTATAAGCATGTTTAGTCATTTTAAACATGATGAAGGGAACACACTGGCTTGGGATAATGTCTGAAACTAATTTGACCAAGATAAGAATTCAGTATTCATGTTTGAGCTTATTATGAAAGTGTAATACACTTATAGTGTGCCCTCAAGCATGTTCCTGATCCCATAGAAATTATATGCCTCTGTGTGACAACCCTCAATCATACGTCAGTCTCAGTGCAGATGTCTCTGCTGGCTTCCTTTATGTTGGTCTGACAGCTGTGCATGTCAGAAGTCATTGAAGTCGTCTGACACCAATCATTGGCAACTGACTAAATTTAAAATGATTTTTGAATGATGTTACCAAATTTACTGTGTTATCAAATCCCAAGAAATAATACACTTTGTTTTGGGGGTAGTATGTTGTTCAACATGTGAAAGACCTGGTTTCGATTCGTATTGTGGGTACAGTACTATAATTGTGAAGCAGATTCTTGGTATAGCCTGCTATTCCCAAAACCATGAAAACAATTACTAACTTGTAACTCAGTCATCAAGATTATTTAATCCTTTAGCAGTGACTGAACTGAAGCTGTATAATAAATGTCAGTCCCAGAGACCCTTTAAGTCCTCTGTGTCAGTATCTGTTAACATACCATGGTATGATGTCAAGAGTTGTTCAACAGTACAAATTAATGTATTTCACAGACTCAGGAACACCTGTGACAACACAGTTGTTCATATGACACTGTGGGAGTGCTGTTCATGGCATTTAATCAATACTCATCATCTTTACGTACAACATTACTTTCATGAAAGCTAATCCAGAGTGTTCTTTGTGAAGTAAGCAGACTTTGTGGGAAATATGACTATGAGTGGTCTTTCCATATTGTCACAAGTCAAAACTAGCAGACCGGTCCACCTAGTGACTATACATGTTTGAACCCTTGTTAATTATCAACTTCATGCATACTTGTGTAGATTAAAAATGTCACACTATAGTATTGACAATTTCACCAGGGTTTTGAATGAAAATGGGAACATTATGAAATTGATGACAACAGTTTAGGAAACCTCATAATCAGTCATATTTAACAAGCTTTTCAATTTATTTAACTTTGTGTTGGAATTGAAATCAAAATGTGTAAAATCACATAAAGAAGGACATAAAAATTAAACTGTTTTGTTTTGCTTGTGTTAATTTACTTTTGTAAAATATAAATACATAGCAGTAATCTTGACTTAGAGAAAAATGTTTTTAAAATCATGAAAAAAGTGGGGTAATTTTATCTGGATATTGCAGTCCTTTCATGTTGAATTATGTATTTAACTTGCTTCTATTGGATTGTAGAATATGACATGTATCCCGATATATGAGGGCAGTATAAGCTGGAACCTAATACAGTACTTGTATTTGATTGTAGAATATGATACGTATCCCGATATATGAGGGCAATATAAGCTGGAACCTAATACAGTACTTGTATTTGATTCTGATACGTATCCCGATATATGATGGCAGTATAAGCTGGAATCTAATACAGTACTTGTATTTGATTGTAGAATATGATATGTATCCCGATATATGAGGGCAGTATAAGCTGGAACCTAAAAAAGTACTTGTATTTGATTGTAGAATATGACATGTATCCCAATATATGAGGGCAGTATAAACTGGAACCTAATACAGTACTTGTATTTGATTGTAGAATATGTATCTCCATGTTCTTCTGTTTGATTGTACAATGTGATATGTATCCCAACCCTGAAAAGTGTTTTCAATTTAAGACATACAGATGGGATGCCCAAACTTAATTACTGATTAGCTTTATGACAGCATCTCATTCATACCTTCTAAGATTTATTACATTATAAATGTGAAATGTTTGACATTGATTTCTGTGTTTTAGGTTGATATTCTCAGAGAAGACATCTCGTCGATTGTTTGGATTCCTGGTACTTAATCTGTCATTTGCATTTGTGGAACTTTTCTATGGAGTATGGACAAACAGGTATGGGTTATGACTTCACATGCATACTTTCTATTTCTCTCCAGTGTATACCATGCCCACTCTAGGCTGTAAATACTTGGAAAAGAAAATGGGAACTTTTCACATTCTTACAGCTGATAATAGTAGATATGCACTGCATTCACCATCTTCTATTCTGTAAGAAGGCTGTGCAAGAAGAAATGTTTCCAACAGTTTACAATAACTATGGACATATAGGAAACTAAAGGTATAACAGATTACAAATGACCAATATTTTTAGTTTGTTTTAACCATTATAGTCATAGTTCGGTATATACACATTTCATCTGTCAGACATATTTGATCATGTCATGTGATCATGTCATGTGACTATGTGCAGTCGCATTAAATGCCATCTCTTACTCTGAGTCTGATATGATGCCTTTCTCTATCAGAGTAATATGAGATTATAATGGGATTGAGTGGAATTTTAGATACTGTTAGTGTTGATCAAGTATTGCTATATATATGTGAGTTCTATAATTTCGTGTCTTGTCACTGAGAAAGAACAAGAACTTGTGTATTTGTCAAAACTAATCGTGCTAATGTGCTTGGGTACTGAGTGCTTGATGCTATGGCTACTAGTTGACAATAGTTTTGCTCATGTTAAAGGGCAGGGCTCTGCATAAGGGCCGTATCAGCGTATGTACGGCTAAAAAATATGCAAGATACGGTAGGAAATAATTTAGAAAACGTAGCAGATACGCACCGCAGCAATGGTGTACGATCTTAGAATCATTACAGATGTATTTATTACAGACGTATTTATCTGAAAAAGTATTGTTTTATTGGGGTTTTATTTACCTGTTTACACAAGAGTAGCAATGGTGTGGTGCATATATGAAATGAAACACAAGCTTACTGATACTCCATTAAATTCCATTCTGTACTCTAAATGTACTCTGAAGGTTTTCAAGTACTCCTATATTGAAAACATAAGGAGTACGTACTCTTGATGTTGAAATATTATCTGGAGCCCTGTTAAAGGGGATGTGGGTGGGGGGATGAGGAGGTTCAGCTATTTGGCTGAATTTGTTTATCGGAAATAATACATTATCAGGAGAGTGAGCTGACATCACAAGAGGTTACGCTGTTGTAATTCCCCATATGAATATCTCTTGTCAAGTAATGTATTAACATGAAAACTGACAACTATATGTCTCTATCTCCTGCAGCCTTGGACTCATCTCAGACTCTTTCCACATGTTTTTTGACTGCACAGCCTTACTGGCTGGTCTCATTGCATCGGTCATCTCACGATGGCGATCAACAGAAACATTCTCATATGGGTAAGTATCATGCTTTGTGCTCAATAATTTGTAAAGATCACACACATTTCGGTAACATAGAAATAGATTGATATTATACATGTTATAGGAGAAATCACACGAAGATCAAGGTTAGATTTGGTCTTTGGTAACATACTTGTATGCTTGATGTAAGATGCAACTAATTGTATTAGATTCTCAATTTTTCGGTTAATTCATATCATTGTATCCCAGTTGCACAGATTTACTCATAATGTCAATCACTGGATTGTTTGGTTCAGACTTGATTATTTTCAGACCGCTGCCATATAGCTGGAATATTGCTGAGTGCGGCGTAAAACTAAACTCACTCACTCACTCACTCGTTCCAAGTCATAATTGAATTTATCTTAAAGACTCCAAGACATATAGTCATCCTTTAAAGATTTGAAACTTTGTTTGAAATATTGTTGAGTGCAGTGTTCAGCATCAAACTCATGCGTCAGTTCTGTTGTTTCAGATACGTCCGAGCTGAAGTGATGGCTGGCTTTGTAAATGGTCTATTCCTGCTCTTCATTGCATTCTTCATCATGTCTGAGGCTGTTGAGGTAGGTGTCCTAAGCTGGTGTTTATACAGTTAGGCAGTCTTTAGTAAGAAGGTTTTGATAAATTAATTGGTGGTAAAAGTCATATGAGGCACTTTGGAAATAGGATATGTTGTTACTAATAATTGGTTAGATGAATTCCAAAGATGTACGATAAGTTGGAGTTATTTTTTAACCTCTGCAGTTTATCTTTCTTCTCTCCAGCGTGCTGTGGAACCACCGGAAGTGAAGCATGAGAGACTCTTTGTGGTATCTGTACTTGGGTTTTTTGTCAACTTGGTTGGTATATTTGCCTTCCAACATGGACACTCTCATGGAGGAGGAGGTAGGTTGTTTACAAAGGATCTTTAACTGGTGGTGTTAGTGCATAGTAATCTTTTGTAATCCGTTCCTTGAGCTGGCATTCTAAGAATTTAATACATTTCAAATTGTGCCATCTTTTTGGTTATATCATTTACATTCTAGCGATGACAAATAGATATTTAGTCAATGTCATTTATATCATGTCTGGATCTCCTTTTTAGGTCATGGTCATTCGCACTCGATTGGTGGTCATGGACACAGTCATGGACTTGGTGAGACAACTTGTTATGTTAATAATAGTTGTTGTCAAGGTTGTCAAGGGGTGGACCCTTATACCATATTTTGTTGTGAACTGCTGTGCAGAGTTGCCTCCCTTACCTCTGCTGACTCGGGGGGGGGGGCGTTGTTTAGCCGATACGCTGTGCAGCGCTGCGCTTCTATTGGCTGAACAACGCCTCGCTGCATGCATCGCGGCGCTTCGGCATGCAGCGACTGAGAGAGGTGCTTCCTGCGTAGGCGAGCGACATTCAAAATGGCGTCACGGCATGTCATTCTGCAAGGTAACAGAGAAAACTTGTCCCTATTGGTCACAGAAGAGCAGACAAAACGCCTAAAAGCTGTCCAGATGTAGTGTAGAGTGTCTTCTCATGAGTTGTTGCGCATACAATTCAAAATCATTGCATGGAATATCTTCTGCAGTTTCGTGTGCCAAAAGTGTGGCTAGTATCGGTGATGTGTTTATATTGGACGCCGCCGTATTGAATGAAGCGCTCACACAGCAGTCCGTTGCACGGGAAAGCAGGCAGCGTAGCGCAGCGAAGCTTGCAAACTTTTGCTGAACAACGCGCCCAGGGTTTGAATCCCAGAGTTACCCCCCTTGCCCATGTTGATACATGGTTTGAATCAAAGAGTTATTTTCTTCACCTATGCAGATACAGGACTTGCATCCTTTACCTATAGCTTTTCTGTGTTTAAATAAAAAATTGTTAAAGTATACAGCTATTTAGCTCTCAATTGAATTTTACTATTCCAACAATGCTATAGAAAGCTTGCTCAGCGAATCTTTTATCAGATGACCCTTGTAAGCATTCTGGTTAGAATTGGTCATGTTTGTAGGATTGAATGGTCAGGCTGTCCGACTTGGTTGATGAATGTCATTGTGTCCAAGTTGCATAGATTGATAGTCATTTTGCTAGTCACTGGATTGGCCAGTCCAGATTTGCTTATTTACAGACCATAAAGCTGAACATAGCTCATGTCGCTGGAATATTGCTGAGTATGGCATTTCACAATAAACAAATGATAAGCTAAGATACACATGAAGCGTTGTACAATGAGATGTTAAATGTCACTTGCTCGCTCACTCCCCCTGAATGGATGGATTAATGAATGGATGGACGAACAAACAAACGGAATGAAAACCTACATTTTGGGCTATCTCTTTTCAAGGTTTGCAAGAAAAGGAGGACGATCATGGTCACAGTCACAAAGGTCATGGTCACAGTCATGACGACCATGGTCACAGTCATGACGATCATGGTCACAGTCATGACGATCATGGTCACAGCCATGGGGGTAAAGGTGATGAAGGACATGGTCACAGCCATGGAGGACCCCCACCCCCATCTTCTCAAAGCCAGATCATGGAGGGTATGTACATCAGAATGGAAACGCATTTAGACAAACTTTAGCATGGTTCCCCAGAGATGCCAACCATTTTTATCCTAAAATCACACACATCACCATCATATTTTTTCATGGATTATTTTAGGTGGAAACCTTTAAACATGTCACTGGCCTAAAGAAAGAACAGTTAATTAGCATCCCCAAATTTTACTCTAACATCTAAGCTTGAGTTACCCTCTTTCATTTTATATGTAAATGTAAAATGTGAACTTATTCACATTTTGCCTTGTATTAAAACACCATATCTTTGATGATGAGACTTGTTCATACCGACCTGGCTTCATAGACTGAATGGGGTGGTGGGGTAGCCTAGTGGTTAAAGCGTTCGCTCGTTACGACGAAGATCTGGGTTCGATTTCCCAAATGGGTACAATGTGTGAAGCCCATTTCTGGTGTCCCCTGCCGTGATATTGCTGGAATAAATTTGCTATAAGAGGCGTAAAACCAAACTCACTCATAGACTGAATACTCAGCAGTTGACATCTTTAATTAACATGGTTATTACTGACACTCTCTTGTCATAAACATACGTGTACATGTTGGCTGATGTACGATTGTTTGTTTCAGGTGTGTTTTTGCATATATTAGCCGACACATTAGGCAGTGTTGGAGTTATAATCTCGTCTGGCTTGATACACTTCTTTGGCTGGATGATAGCAGACCCTATATGTTCAATGTTCATCGCAATCCTCATTGGAATCAGGTAAACATTCATGCAATCCTACTCGTATTGACAGCGTGGTCAAGTGGCTTTAAACATCATCAGCATTGTAATAATTTGGTTGTGCAGGAACACCACCAACTCATGTTTTGACATGTAAATATCAGTGTCATCTGGTGACCTGCAGAGCCCTCCAGTCTCTGTCTTATACTGTGTAACATTTCTTTGTTTTCAGTGTGTTGCCCCTACTTCGAGATTCTATAGGTATTTTAATGCAGCGGACACCACGGCAATTGGACCACGTACTGCCAGGCTGCTACAACAGGGTGAGTAGTGAAGTTATTACAGCGCTAGAAAATAGGCATCAAATTAATGAAGCCCTAGTAATTACTAGATTTGCTTTGGTTATGCTAAAGATGGATCAGGTTGTGCAGTTGTCCAGTTCACTGTGAAGAGTTATTTCCCTTAGGTGTGGCAGGATTCTTGGTTTGAATCACAGATTTGCCCAGATCATGTGTCTAGGTTTGTTAGCACCATACCGATGCTTGTTGGTTTCACCAAGTTGTAAACAGTTCACAGTTCACTTCAGGCTTCCTCCTACATCAAGCTACCTTGTAATGATGTAACTTACTTCTGTTTGAATAGGGGTAAAACCAACTCTTCCTCACCTTTTGCTTAAGGTTAGGTCCTGAGATTTAATAACTACAGGAGCAGTCCACAAGGATCTGCTGACGCATACTGATATTGAACATTGGAGATCATGAATGATTCTTCTGGGACTGAGTGTGTTGCTGAGTTTCAGTTGGCAGTACATGGGCAGATAGACAGACAAGATGTTCCATGTTTATTTTTTTACATCTTATTTATGAATGTGATGTATAGCACCACACCTGGCCATGACAGAACTTTAAATCCGTTCACTATTTCTTCACCAAACTTGATGGCACATAGATAGATCTGCTGGTGTACTGGTGCCTTTTGGTAGTTTTGGAATTCTGATTAAAATATTTTTTGCGTTTCTATGGCAACAAGTTTGACTTTGAGACTGAATTTGGTGGTAGTGCTCTTTTCCGGAGCAGAACATTAAAACCGTACAATCTTTCTTCACCAAATTTGGTCTAGTGGTGAACTGGTGCCTTTTGTTAGTTTTGAGTTTCTGAATAAAATATTTTTTGCATTTTCATGGCAACAAGTTTGCCTTCAACTGAATTTGGTAGTAGTGCTCCTTTCTGGAGCAGAATTTAAAACCTTTCAACACTCTCCTTCCACTTTGCTATATACACTCCAAAACATTTAACATGTACTCATAACTAGTAGACGTATTCATGAAGAGTATTTTGCCATTGCAGGGGATATTGATCTTTGTCTTCCTGTTAGTTCCTCTGTCTGGCTGTATGTTTTGGTCAAAAGCGTATAATAAACTATGGTTATAACAAACTAAAATTAGTAGTCACTTTGTCTTTGTTATGACTGTAGTTTAGTATATTTAGCAGTGGTAATGAAAGAAGCATACAGTCATGCCGATAGTAAAGGATGTCATGAAATGCGTGTATGTTTGGTGTGTTCCTGTGTACAACTGTGCTGTGTTATGTAGGTGAGCCAGCTGGAAGGGGTGTACAGTCTGCAGGAACCTCACTTCTGGACCCTGTGCACTGATGTCTATATCGGCACCGTCAAGCTGGAGGTTGCCACAAATGCTGATGCCAAATATATCCTAAGTCAGACGCACAATATATTTACACAGGTAAGGGACAATACAAGCTATTTCCATACTGTAAGAGTTTGTGTTCCATGAGCACAACAGATATTTGGTTCAAATTCTGGTTTGCCCTAATTATTTTTTATGCTTCTGGAAATCCCTGTGCAGAATTGTGTGCCTTAAACATTAAGTTTTAAGAAACTGACCAAAGGCCTAATGAGTAGTGACCATCTTGCACGTGTATCATTTTTGGTTTTCATTGAACATTCCTCCCACAACAAGCTGAAATGCCATAATATGAGTTCTAAGATTTGCTGGGGCGGTGGGGAAGCCTAATGGTTAAAGCTTTGGCTCGTCACGCCAAAGACCTGAGTTCGAATCCCCACATGGGCACAATGTGTGAAGCCCATTTCTGGTGTCCCCGGCCGTGATGCTGCTGGAATATTGCTAAAAGCGGCGTAAAACCAAACTCAGTCAGTCAGTCTAAGATTTGCTAAAAGATCAAAGGCGCAGACAGTACTTTATCAGATAACACATTTTGCAAGACGTCACACTGTGTTGACGTCACTAAGCTATTCTAGTCTGCCATACTCGTGAAGGTCCAGGTTAGAATATTGATCTTCAGTAACCCATGCTTGTCGTAAGAGGCAACTAACGGGATCGGGTGGTCAGGCTCACTGACTTGGTTAACACATGTCATCAGTTCCCAATTGCGCAGATCATTTCTCATGCTGCTGATCACTGGATTGTCTGGTCCAGACTCGATTATTTAGAGACCACCGCCATATAGCTGGAATATTGCTGAGTGCGGCGTAAAACTAAACTCACTCACTCTAGTCTGCCACCTTGTCAGTTGCCATTGCATAGTACAGTCTCCTACAGTGCAACCAACTCCAAGCACCCTGTTTCTTGGTTTGCAGTTGATTCACCTGATCTAACATCACTAGTGAAAACATTACGTTAGACTTTTTCAGTGAATATCATTTGACTTGTCAGCTTCTTCTGGATGTACTGATCTAAAATTGTATTACAAGTAGAAATGCAACATTCATCGCCCCATATGGTCTGTGTTAGAATAATAAAGAGAAGATATTTAACCTGAACATTAACCCTCATCAAACTGTGTATCATTTGTTTTCCTGGTAACGTGAGTCTTAACGTAGGGAGGCAGACACATCAATAGAACAGCACGTCAGTTAGCCCTGAACAGGGATCGTCTAGGGCACAGACACTGTCGTTTTTCTGTTTATTTTCTACCTTAGATTAATCATTGGTGAGTATTAAATTTGGCATCTTATGGAAGAAACATAGTTCATTCTATCCCATGTACAGTGTAATAAAGTACAGTTTTGCACTGAACTATTGTGCTTTAACGATAATAGTTCTGAACAGGAATGATTTTTATGGATAGACAACTTCTTTATTGCAATGGCTGCTGCTTGACAACGGTGTGAGCATCTACACCAAAATGTCACATTTATTGCAATACAGAAGTTAATAAAAATAAAAATAGTTCCTGTTCATCATACCAGCTTCTAAATGCCACTCAAAGAAGTTATAATAGTTCAGAGTAAAACTTTACTTTATTACATTATACATGGGGTAGAGCGAATTGTATTTCATGATTAAACACTGATCAGAGCGGCATCTAACCACAATCACCCAACCATAAGGCTGTAAGAAGTCATTTTATCTGTACTACATGCTTACCATTACAAATGAGTTAACTAAATGTTAATATTGTGTTGTTCTTAAAACTTAAATTATAACTGTTACTATTGTGATGTTCTTAAAACTCATATTATGACTGTTAATTTTGTGTTGTCCTTAAAACTGATAAATAACGGATAATATTATGTTGTTCTTAAACTGATATTATAGTCAGATTGTGGGAACATGTGCAGTTGTGTCTCTCAACTGTCTTTATCCGACTGATCAACTTAATTATTGGTTATGGTTTTTTTTACCTGTGTTGCAAAATTAAAGATTTAGTTGAAAATCTCTTTCCATTGTTAAGATAGAACTGAAATACTGTTAAGGGTGGTGTGCACTTGAGGTCATTTAGTATTGAAGACTGACATGGTGTAAAGATTCTACTGATGAATTTTAGAGTGGACTGTTGATATTTAAGAAGCTGCAGTGCTTTAACCATGTGTATTTCACTCCTAGAATATCAGATTTCATAGCATGTAACAGATTAAAGAAATTTAATTGAATCACACCACAATAACTGTATCTAGACCAACTTATATCTTTGAAGAACATATGTTTGTTCAGCCACTTTAAACAAGTAACTTAATAGATGACATTGTCGATCTGGTATGCTTGTTTGGCTTAAGCCAAAATCTGACATACCTACTGAAATCCATGAAGTCAGTGCTAACCAGAATTCAAAGTCATGATGAATTTAGGCTCACCCAAGGGACACAACTCTATTAAAGGATTAATTGCATCTCCTTGTTTAAATAAAGTGGGTATTGCAATACTTTGAGGTGATGCTATTGTATAAATATTGAAGACTCTTTATGTGGGTGATAACATACAAATTTTGTCTTTTCAGATTGGTGTGCGGCAATTATATGTACAGATTGACTATGCTCCAATGTGAAGAGACAGACCAGTTGCACTGGACCAATGAATTGACGTTCTTAAAGAGGATGGTGCTAGTTACCACACAGCTAATCTGACTCAAATATAATTTGGCAAGCCTCTGCTTTGGTATTGTGTAGTTATCACAATGAAGCTGTTTGCCATTTTCTGTTTTGAGGCTGCCTCTGTTTGCTTGTGAGGATGTCTTGTGTGACTGAGTGTGTGTTTGGTTTGATGTATGTGTCGACCATGTCGACGATGTTGGTTCAGACGTCGGTGGCATTCTGTCAAGTAAATGAATGATCTTCTATCATTTTATTTTTAATGCACATGAACAGTCATTATCTTTTTGGTTTTTTATTCTGTTTCTTCATGATTGTTTAAGATTCCTAAAACTGTATTCCGCCAAACAGATTTTCTGTTTCATCATCTTCAGTCAAGATTAGTTACCATGTTTAGTGATATGTGTTGCTGTATTCACTCACTCACTCTCAATTTGATGTCAACACTAGATCCATGTGTATTGGAACTTCTGTTGATAAATTTATTGACAGAAATAATATTCAGGTTAGTTGCATACAAATTCATGAAGTATGTTAACTGTATACATTCATATGAAATTCAAAATGAGATGGTATAGTAACATTTAACTGTAATCGAGAATTTTCTGTCAAAAATCTCGTCTAATTTTAAAAAATGTTTAACATGATGCATCATAAATATATTTCTTCCAGTGACTGAGTGAAATATATCTTGCACTGTATTCATAGGACTTTATGGTGAAGAAATTGTCAAACCATTAAAATACTGCAATTTGATGATCACTAATTTAGAAGATGCACATTATAGGACTCAATGGTGAAGAAATTGTCAAAACATTAAAATACTGCACTTTAACAATGACTAACTTATAAGATACACATAATAGCAGTTTATGGTGAAGAAATTGTCAAAACATTAAAATACTGCAATTTGACCACAACTGATTTAAAAGAAGATGCACATTAGTATATTTGCGATTATAACCTGGGGGTAAAGAGTGAGTGAAGAGATATATTTAGGGGCATTTGATCATGGAAATATGGTATACATAGTTATTACCACTTCTAGTAGTATTATGACCAGCTATTTCTGATGCCATGATGTACATATTTTTCAGTCTCAAAAATGCTGGGATGATAATTCTGTGTGAACTGTATGTGTACGATTTCATCATTCCGAGTGACATACTTAATGTGCTTCCTAACAAGCAACTGCTCCATTGTAAGAAGAACTCATTATTTGTTGTGTAACTTGATTGTCGGTTCCTGCTGTAAATTGTTGGCATTGCTAAACATTGCTCAGGTCAAGCAAGGTATGACAGCTATATCATGCTGTATAGAGATTATATCCTGACTTTGTATGGTCTTGTATGTATAGACGAAGGCTGTGACCTGAGAGTGACTGATCATCAGGAGCGCATCTCAGTGTATGAAAGGCCAGTTCTAATTTTCATGACAAAAAATGTATGTTGCACATTAGGTCAATGATTAAGGATGCTGTAATTTGTTGGAAGATTTATTTGTGTAGACATTTTTACACATGGAAATGTTTGAACAATTTGGTAAACAAAACATCTCATTATATTGCAAAGATTAGTGAGTGTATATTGTTTTATGCAATAATATAGTTCAATCAGAGCAGTCTGTAGTTAAGTCAACCAGAAAACAGTGATTCTGATTGGATACCTAATTAGAACATCAATAAGTCTGGTGCAACCTAGATCGGATCGCGTGGTCAGGCAGGGGGTTCTGTGTTTGTATCTGGATGGTGTAAATCGTTGTTCACATTATTGAGCACTGGATTGTCTGATAGGGCGTGATTATGTACTCACCACTGCCACTTATGTAGAATATTACTGAGTATGGTGTTAAACACCAAACACACACAAACACAAATGTGTGGTTGATGACAAGAATAATGATCTACCAATCACTATAAGCTCAAGATCAGATGGTCAACTCATTCGAGAAGTCAAGAGGACTGGGCTCAGCCCAGATTTCCAGCCTCTCTTATTTAGCGGGACATTTTTCGGTTCTGATATCATAATGGAATAAAATTAATACAGTTTAGTCGTGTTTTCCAGGATTCCCACATGGACATTGCAATAGTATGGATTGTTTCCAGCATAGAACAGCTGACTGGTCAGATCTGAGTGAAATATACATGACATGTTTGATGTACTTAACACTTGTTATCCAACCCCACCAGTGATCATCTTCACCCAATCATGCATTGAATGGCAGATAGGATGTATTCTGCATCCCGGCCCTAAACTAACTTGTCTGGATGTATGGAGAATATGTAATTATTGGAAGATGAAGGGAATGTCATGAAAGCCTCTGAAGGAATGAAGGATAAAGCCCCAGTTCTTTTGCATGCTTTATTCAATGCTGAAACCATTAAGTCATTCAGCTTGCTACAATATTTGAAAAAAATCTTTATGACTACATTTTCATTTCTTTTCCATTTTAATTTTTTTCATTTTGCAATCCAAATCCAACATACTATTTCATTGAAGACTGACTGAATGCCTTGAAAATAATGTTGTTTTTCATCATCTTGTTGTTTGCCTGCAGATTGTATGCCTAATATGCTGGTACTTGAGATACATTAATTCTATTCTTAACATGGGAATGATGCTAAAAGTCAACATTTATGCAAAATGATCTGCATTCATCATGGTATTATGTATTGAGCACAAACATATAAAACAAATACATGTAGTAGTTAGTAGCAATGGAATAGTGTTGTCACAGTAGATGCAGTAACGATTGTGTGGTTCTCCAAATCGCATAGGCAGCTGGTTAACTCTTTTTCAGGTTGATGGTTTGCATTCTGTATTGCTTAGTAGGTTGCAGTAAGAATAGTTGGTTACTAATTACTGGCTTCATAGTAACATACAATGCATGGTTTAAGATGAATCTTAGTCTGAGAATGATAAACAGTATTCAGTGTAATACATTTCTTTGTGAGCAAGATGACAACACTAGATTTAATATAGAATTAACAGGTACAACATGAGTAAGCTGTTTGTTCTAAGCCTTAAGCAGGTGTTTATATGACTGTAGATTTTGTTGAATTTGGAGAACCATGTTTCAAACATGTGGTTACATGGTGTAAGTTGGTTTTGTGAGATTGGTTCAAGACATGCCTGTAGGCTCCATGAGGGAAATGGAAACAGCAATGTTTTTGTTCTACGTTTATTAAAACTTAAAGATTCTAGTTTTTTTTATTGTAATCAAGAAGCATCACCCAGTCAAACCCTTGCAGGAAGTATGTGATAATCACAACTACTGAAGCCTAGAAGAAAGAAACACTAATATCTAATACTTAGTTTCAGGTCATGAGATATTATTTGAGGCTTGAGAAATTATTGTAGTTTTCCAAACTTTGGTACAATTGTTGAAAAGTATTATTGATAAATCCTCCTCCACAACTTATGAAAGAGAGTTGGTGAACTAATAAACAATTTATGTCCTAAAGCATATAAGTGAATGTGTAGTTATATAATCTTATCAACTTGAGCAGCAAGGAGTTTTACAAAGTGTGTACATTCTGTTAAAAATATGTGCAGTTATTAAATAGTGCAATATTACTGTTGTCAGTCACTGTAAAATGACCAGGACAAGCATTCTATGACAAACCACTAGTATGCATGTTATTGTATTAGATACCAAATGTAATGAACTTATGTCCATGTTAAAACTACAGTAGACCATGGTTATAACGACCTCAGAGGGACCACTAATTTTGGTTTGTTATAACTGTAGTTCGCTATACACATTTGATTAAAATATACTGCAAGTGCCTGGACCAAAATACCCAGTTCTGTGTTTGTTATAAATGCACTGACAAGATGGTATCATGTCCATATGTCATGGCGCTTGTACCTGCTGTGATATTGATGGAATGTTGCTAAAAGCGGTGTACAACCCAACTCACTCTCACTCACTCACTCACTCACTCACGGAGCTTGTACATTTTGTGCAGCTATTGATGCAAACAGCTTCTGTACTGAACAGAAAAAGTTGGGATCATGAATTTTATGCTGGATATATTCAATGAAATGGCGTGCTCAGTTTTCTCTTAAATAATATCCCAGAATTATTCAAGATCCCAAACTTTTAATCTTTCAGTATGTCTATCTAGTCACTGTGTGGAGATGAAACAATCAATCGTGAAAGTGCTTTTTTGTGTCTCCCAGATGGGAAACATTTACTGCAGATTTTTCTGACTATACAGTTAACGTATATAAGTAGTGTTCTTAAGACTTGCAACAGGATCATGTATGTCATTATGTTCATCTTTACTCTATATTGGTTTATTTCGTTCAACAAAAAACTTATGACAAAAGTTGAAACACATGTATTGTAAATGTAAAAAAATATTTTCATTACAATTCTATTGGTTTCTATGTCCTGCTTTTCCTCAAACATTTGTTTTAGCAACAAATATGTAATTAACCATTTAAGGTCCATTTTACAATGTCTCATTAATTTGTGTAGGTTGATACAATGAAATATAATTGCCAAAACCTCTGTGTAAATAACATCGTAACTTGTGCATTGTGTTATCACGCAAATGGAAATCGGTTTAACTTAGTTATTATTTTGTACATGATAGTTTTCTGTTGAAACTAGTCTGGGTTTTTTATTATAGTTTTTGTAATATAATGTATAATAGTAAATTAGTCGTGTTGTACATTTTAATCTTATGTTATTGTTATTGTTGTTATGTAGAACTGTTTGTGCACAGTACCATCCATTGGCTGAAGAAAAATGCTCTTGCCAAAAAACAATCACAAATCTAACCTGTCACCCTGTTGCACATTACAAGATGATCAATGTATTAGACACAAATGTTGCAAAGGTATTTTCTTAAACATATTTTTGTACCTATTTTCAGAGGTTATTTATGGCAAAGTATCCTAACAGCAACACTTACCAAAATTTAAATTTTGTTTTGAACACATTCACCTAGCAAATCAAGGGAACAAAAAATATTGTTTGAAACTGTTGGATGCTTATTGGGAAGGTTTGGATAGAAGCTCACAGTATTGCTCAACATGGGTTGTTAGGGAAATATTACATTTATCTTACTATCAGTGTCATCATGCATTGCATTTACAGTTTCACATATTTTAGCATTTCAAATACTCATTTCACGTCAGATAGAAATGTGATATACACAAAGACATTTGTTATACTCACAAAGTAGTTCGAGAAATTATCTTTTTTCACAAATAAACATATGAAACTTTTCCCATGGACTGTTATTAGATACAACTGGTGATAGATCTTCCTTTTCCAACATCAGAATTTGTGTTACCACATTTTGAGTTAGTTTACCTGATGATTTCGTTACCAGACTGCCATGTGAAAGATCATCATTGTTGTGAGAGTATTTATGCCGTTGTATGATGTTTTTGGTGAAGGATTTGTTTTGTGAAGACTGAATGAAATGATGAAAGTACATACATGCATGAATACCTGAATCGGGGAAAGGAATAAAATCTTTTGAAGAAGTTGTAGTCATGTTCATTACTTCATATCGACTGGGGAAGCCTTGAGGTTAATGCCTTCTCTTGTCATGCCAAAGACCTTGGTTCAGTTCTCCATGTGGGTACAATGTCTGAAGCCCATTTCTGGAGTTCCCTGTCATGATATTGCTGGAATATTGCTAAAAGTCATGCAAAATCATACTCACTCATATTGATTGAGTGAGTTGGGTTTACAACAATTTTAAAAGTACTCCAGTTTCTCATTGCATGTTGTCTTAATGTTGAATGAAATCCTTCATGATACAGGTCAGTCTGGTGAAACGATCGAGCAAAGGTAAGGTGCTGGAAACATGGTTGAAGTGAACTGTGATTTGAACCCACCATTAAGTTTAGGTGTATCCAAGGGACATAACTCAGCCATTTGCAGTACCTAGACAACTAGGTGAGGTGAGGTGAATTGGGTTTAACGTCGTGCTTGAGAATATTTCGCTCATATGACGACGTGTATGTGCGGCTGCTTGTACTAGCCCAGACTTAAGCTGGTTTTATAACGCTAGCCCACTGAGATACCATGCCGCAGTGAAGCACTCAGACATAGCATACTGACTCCGAGCCGACCAGTCCTTGTACCCATTAATGCCGAGCGCCAGGCAGGGACCAACAAGTAACATATTTTAATGTCTTTTGGTATGACGCGGTCAGGGATCGAACCCGCGACCTTCCGCTCTCCGGTCGGATGCTACACCACAGAGGCGGTCTAGACAACTAGGACACCACAAATGCAGGAATGTACCGGTGGGTGGGAGGTCCAGTGAATTGATGCAGGTCTTGCCTGATAATTGAAACACAAATGTCATCAGTACTTCTTGGGTTTGTGTACACTATTCTCAAGCATCAGCTATACATACATACATGCAAAAGCTTTCCATTGTAGTGGCTATTTATAAGCAATGATGAAGCCTGGCTCGAGGAAAGCACAACTGATAACAGTCCTCAGTTTACATCACATAAACATTTCTTGCTTGAGTTGGGTTCATTTCACATCCATGTTTTATACGCAATGTAATTTAATAAGCCGACACATAATGGACAAGTCACAACACGGCATACACAAATAGATGGGTGATAGTGGAATGCATTAGATGATCGACAACAGCTTTCCACCTTAGTTACTTACATGGGTTAGTCGGAACATGCTGCACTTTCCTGGTGAACTGATGGATTAATATACAACAGACTCTTAAACCCTTCTTATGTTTTATTTCATCTTCAGGTGGATACCATAAGACATGTACACATCACATGTAAAGGTAACATTCGTCCTGTGGACACCAAGTATGTACATGACTGTACAGTAATATTGCAGTACTGCGCATAACGAATATGTACACATGACTATCGTAATTGCATTACGCGGTATTAAACTAACATCTAACTATACTACTGGACCAAAAAAAGGGAACACCAATGACGCTACTGAAAGTAGACAGCAGTAGTACCAGTATATGTACATTTATGTAAATATAATATGACATCGTATATGGTCATATTCAGGCAAAGGTTGTCATGGCAACAAACGCTTCCTGTGACTGTTCCTTTATTTATTTTCATCAGTATATATTAACCATAACGAGGTTTATACACTATACTACATTAATAACTCAAAGGGACCACTAATTTGAATCGATGATCTGGAGTTTGTTATGTGTAGGGGTGACTACTGAGGGGGAAACAACTATTGCGATAGCGATAGTCTATTGCAACATACTATTGCAATATCAACGGAAGTCAATTACTAAACTATCGATAGCCACACATACTATCGATGCATCAATAGTTTTTTCGTTTCTACCATCGATTAATTGCTATCTGAGACTCAACAATTGCAATGTATCGATAGTTCGATGCATCGTTACAGCCCTATAGTACTGTCGGAAATAGAAAAATACTGTATTTTCTCATTTATCTCTACAATTTATGTAGTTGATATGTGCAAGTGTGAAATATCTCTTAAACTAAGTTCGGCCTAACTACAGTCTCAATGGTAGGGACACAAGAAACGTAGAAAAAGGACTTTACTGAGGAGAGATTAGTGCAGAAATGAGCAATGCGATTTTTTTCTAAGTCCAAAACGAATTATTTGGAACAGACCATGTGTGCGACGATATTGTATTATAAAGGACACTTTTTAAGTGACCAATTTGAAATTAGACGTAGCTTCATTATAAACGATAGCTGGCGTAAAAAATAATAACTTCCATGCTGAAACTATTAAGGATGTAGCTACCATGGAGTCTCACTGTCACTATAAAAAGAAACAGATAGGAGGGTTCGTCTTAAAAGCAAAACCTGGACGGGTGTCGCAGACGATCGTTGGGGTCGGGCTTGGGGATAGAGATATCAGCTAAGATACGATAATCCTTTAGGGCAATTATACTGGGGAAGTACACGGCATGTCATAACAATTTACAAATAATATCCAGTCCTGTCGATCTTCGCGATCGGATGGTCATGCCACCTATATATTTTGAGACATTTAATACGATGCGTTTCTATGGTTATCAGGAATCAAACTCTTTTACATATCTCAACATAACTTTATGAAAGAAAGACACTTAAGCTGTTAATTAATAGATGAGGCATAGTCAACACACATGAAAAAGCACAAAATATCTTTGAGATGACCCCTTAGGAGCCTGTAGGCAGCACATGCATTTCATGCCAGGTGAGTCGACGGTCCGTCGTCATACCTGGCTGAGCGACCTAATTGCCATCTATAGTCTGATCTATTGTTTTCAGCAGCTATTCGTATTTTTTCTAAGTTTTGCCCGATTTTACGAGTAAACATGCTTTTCTGGATATCCTATTACGCATCCCACTGAATCCCAAGTTAGGCCGAAGTGGGTTATTTCGACATATGCTATTTGCAGTTGTGTAAATTTTAGGGATACAGAGTAAGAGCCTAAAAACAGTTTTTTTCTATTTCCGACAGTACTTTAGTTATGTGCATTTCAACTAAACTATACAGGGACAAAAAAGCAGTTGTCATGAAAATAGTATCTCTATTCCAGATTCACGTATAAGTGGAATAGTGAGGTAGGAAACTGTTATTTCATTAGCTACATTACATGTAATGCAAGCGACTGTGCAAAATGTCTCTCAAGATAATACTCTTGACACAACATTGTGCCCACTCCCATATCATTCGTTTTGTATAACATCTATACACTTTTGATGTCCTCGATAACAACAATAATATAACAATCTAGAGTCTCAACAATAATTGCTGTCCAGCAAGAGTGATGACCTGCAACGGTATCTATATAATATTCAAAAGAAGTTGTCATCCATAAATTGTCTTGTGCTGTTACTTACCAACATCTAAAAAGCCAGTCAAACAGCTCTGAACAACCATATGTGTTTGACTTTAATAGTCATTAACCTCTTACATTGTGCTCAGAAAACAAAATAATACTGGAGAACATAAGGTAAATAAATATAACAAAACAAAGTCAACAATATCTTCAGGATAATTGTGTCTTCAAACCTCACAATGTTGACCTGCCTTAATGGGAACAGAATTACAAAGGTACGTAGATTTAACTTTTGTTGGAGAACAGCGCGTAGTGGTCCCTTGTACATTGTATAAAAAAGTATTTCCGTCAAAATGAACATATATCTTTTCCCCAGATATATAAATACCAGAGTCATTTTTAATATTCACAAACTTTGGGTACAAAAACTGATTTGAAAGGCCAAACAGAAGCTAGAATTCACGATCCCTGAAACCCACACAGAAATGAAATATTCACTTCACCATGATTCATGATTCACTGGCATTTATTGTTCCCATCATCAATATTGATCACAGATGTACGTGTGAGGACGAAGTCCCACTCTATAACATAGAGTTTCAATAACCAGAACACTAAGATTGTTTGTGCAGAATTACCCCGAAATATGGCATCTTGTGAGTGTTCACTGGTAAATATAAGAATTAACTATAAGTAAAGGATGGATAAGCTTGGGGTGATATAACACATGGGAAATCCTCACTGGATGAACATAATGAATTACAGAAAAACCTTCAACCTATCTGAAACACATCATGCTTCTAGATCTAGGATGAGGTTGTACAGAAGGTAACAAAATGATCTGAATCGAGATACCTGGCCACAACAGAATGTGTTGTGTGTGAGTGACTTATGTTAAACACCAGTTTGAACAATATTCCAGTTATGTCATGGTGTAGCATGTGGGATAAAGCCCACAGTGATGGATACTGGTGAAACTAATGTGAAAGCCGCCATGCATGGTAACAGACACTGTGATAGTGGTAAATAACATTCCCACAGAGTATCACTATGAACATGTGGGATGCATGAGTGAATATACCCACCATAATCTGTAACTTATGTCAAGGCTTATGAATATTTTACAATTAACACGTTATATCTGGGACTGCACTTTCTGAATAAATGGCATTGTGTATTCATAATTCACAATATGAATTTTCAAATCTCGTAAGTCACATTTCTATTTGATAATGGTAGCAGAATTACTAAATACATATTTTACTTTTGCAAGACAAATATGCCAAAATGTCAAAGAAAAACAGATTAATCTGTATACATTTCATTGCCTCTTCATAATTATGCAATACCATAAAAATAAACATAAGTAAATGAGAAACAACTTGTTTTCATTACAATAACCTAACAACAAATTCTATAATACAAAAATATTCTATGACAAAAAAAATACCATATTTATTTGTTTCATTCTTTTAAGTAGAAAAGAAGTCCAGATCCTAGTGAAACATTTGGTGTAAACAATGGCTGCCTTGTCTGAAGCAGGCTAAGCAGGTTGTAATGACAGATCCATGTTTGGTTTTGGTTTTAATCAGTCTCACAATCACCATGATTTGATCATATGCATTTAGGATTTTATAAATAGAACTCTTTACGATATATAATCAAGAAAAAAACATTAGTAAGTACCATGACATGAAATGGAAGAATTACTGTAATGGCGATCACCCCGAAGCTGCTGCTGTGGAGATCAGTGTACAGTTCAACCCTATTCACCACAGATGGCCCCTTTACTCTAAGCAAAGCATACATTTAAACACTGGAACTAATGTAAATACACTTGCATATGTTGTGAGGCAAGGTGAATGGGCCCCCGTTCCTCAAAGCGATTGTAACCCTAAGACGATCGTAAATTCCCTACTTTAACATAGACTTACAACACTCGTAGCACTACGATCGCTGTGTGGAACGAGGCCCTGGTCATTGAAGCATCATATTAATCACCCCTCCCTCCTCTCAAAAAGTTCCCCTGGGAAGAAACATACGTTGTCAGGCCAGGTCATTGTTATTCTATGTGTATAATCAGAAGTTATTCATGTTACTTGCTAATCCGATTGTCATTTTCAAATTAGAAAAAAATTATATCCAAGAATATTTAAGCCTTTGAGAGAAAGATTCAATATATTCTAGATCAGCACACCCTCATACTATTCTTCAAATGTCCAGACTAAAAGAAAACAAGCTTCCTGACAAGATATATTGCCTGACAGCCATTCCTATTCTTTTAGCCTAACTATGTTAAACCTTCTCATGTGCCATTGAGTCCCGTGGGAAGTTGATACTTATTGATGTGTAACACATGGTGACAGTGAATCTATCTCTGGTGGATATTATATACATAATCATTTACACACAAATTGACATTATTCATCAATCATGCTAAACAGAGAATGCCCCTTTTTAAGAAATCTAGACAAAAATTGTAACTGAAGGAATCAAATCTATATTACCACACTTCCCAAATACGCTATGATCATAACCTTTCAAACAAAAAAATAGCACACTTGCTCCCTGAACGAGTTGCAGTATAACCTCTAGATATCAGCTTGTATCTAGTTGGACACACCAGTCTACCCTACAGGGACTATCCTCTAGATAACAGCTTGTATCCACCCTGTAGGGACTATCGTCTAGGTAACAGTTTGTATCCATCCCTACAGGGACTATACTCTAAGTAACAGTTTGTATCCACCCTGTAGGGACTATCCTCTAGATAACAGCTTGTATCCACCCTGTAGGGACTATCCTCTAGATAACAGCTTGTATCCACCCTATAGGACTATCCTCTAGATAACAGCTTGTATCCACCCAGTAGGGACTATCAGCTAGATAACAGCTTGTATCCACCCTGTAGGGACTATCCTCTAGATAACAGCTTGTATCCACCCTGTAGGGACTATCCTCTAGATAACAGCTTGTATCCACCCTGTAGGGACTATCCTCTAGATAACAGCTTGTATCCACCCTGTAGGGACTCTCCTCTAGATAACAGCTTGTATCCACCCTGTAGGGACTATCCTCTAGATAACAGCTTGTATCCACCCAGTAGGGACTATCGTCTAGATAAAAGCTTGTATCCACCCTGTAGGGACTCTCCTCTAGATAACAGCTTGTATCCACCCTGTAGGGACTATCGTCTAGGTAACAGTTTGTATCCACCCTGTAGGGACTATCCTCTAGGTAACAGCTTGTATCCACCCTGTAGGGACTATCGTCTAGGTAACAGTTTGTATCCACCCTGTAGGGACTATCCTCTAGGTAACAGCTTGTATCCACCCTGTAGGGACTATCCTCTAGATAACAGCTTGTATCCACCCTGTAGGGACTATCCTCTAGGTAACAGTTTGTATCCACCCTGTAGGGACTATCCTCTAGGTAACAGCTTGTATCCACCCTGTAGGGACTATCCTCTAGGTAACAGCTTGTATCCACCCTGTAGGGACTATCCTCTAGGTAACAGCTTGTATCCACCCTGTAGGGACTATCCTCTAGATAACAGCTTGTATCCACCCCATAGGTGTCTGGTCTGGATGATAGACAGATGGAGACACATGACACAATGAGTTGAAAAATAATTTAAAGAAAAAAACACAACTATGTAAACATTCACTCCTTACCAGCCTCAAATAAAATATAACATACAACCATATACCAACAACTGGCTCAGCAATAACCAGCTAAAATATTATCTCTCCCCAACATATTCAGAAAATCACCTCCAGTGTGTCCTTTTACTACCTCTCCCCCCTCACTGAAGCTGGAAGCTGACTCTAGATGAAATTATCCATCCCCTGGTATTAGTTTAAATACCCCAAAATGTCACCTCTACTCAACTCAACAGTGTACAAATCACATAAAGTATCATGCCATGTACAGCCATCCAACTGTATGAGATTCCTATGATAGAGCTGTTTGTGATGATGTTGACAATGTCAAATGTCAAATGTTGTTTAAATCTGGAGACTATGGTCTTGTAGAAAGCCTGAAATCTATATAAATAATGTGCATATAAAGAATCAATTAACTTTAAATCTCAATCTGAATAACTTCGATGAAACAAAAACATTTTTGTCAAGATGCAGCAAAAGTCAGCATAAACTCAGATTCCCCATTAACTATAAGCCCTTATTATAAGAATACCTGAAACATTACTCCTTGTATTACACCATGACAGAATGAAGGTACTGATAGTATTCCAATTCCCACAAGCTCTGAAATGCATTAGACTGACTGACTGACTGAGTTTGGTTTTACGCCGCTTTTTAGCAATATTCTAGCAATATCACGGCGGGGGACCCCAGAAATGGGCTTCACTCATTTTACCCATGTGGGGATTCGAACCCGGGTCTTCGGCGTGACGAGCCAACACTTTAACCACTAGACTACCCCACCGCCCCCTAAATGCATTAGACATATCACATTCATAACATATAAACATATTTCATACACCGAGATTACCAATGACAATAATTTCCTATTTCACCTCTTCAAAGTTTCGACTTCTTTGAGATGTGATGTTGACAGGAACTACCTTGAACTGGCTGAACTGAATCGCTGAGAAAAATGTAGACAGACATATGGCTCCATTGTACATGCAAGTTGTGTTATGAGTTACCCATTTATCAATAATGTATAAATAAAATTATTATATTGACTTTGATATTCTCTCTCACATTGCAAAATGTACACATACAGAATTATGGCCTCATGTTACATGCAGCTGCACTGCCAGTCATACATTGCCTATCACACACATTATATCACATAGCTGCTGCCATTACTGCCTCACACACAACTCTCATCATGTCAAGTATGTCACAGGAGTTGCCTCCCTTCTCTCAAACTTGTATATATCAGTGTTTGTTCCACACACACATCCTGGGCAAGACTGACTGACTGACTGAGTTTGGTTTTACGCCGCTTTTAGCAATATTCCAGCAACATCACGGCGGGGGACACCAGAAATGGGCTTCACACATTGTGCCCATGTGGGGATTTCCTGGGCAAGAGGACATCAAAGCAACAGAGTTCTTTCCCTTGAAATGGAATCCAGCAGCTAGAGAAATCTGGTCAGAACTGATAATCATGGACAATGTTTTTGAGAGGTTGGTTATCTCCCTCATATTGAAGCACCTGTTCAGAGAAGTTAGCTCCCATGGTTCAATGTCAGTTGCTGTTTCAACGTGCTGGGGATGTCTAAATGATCTTCTTTCCTGTACCAAAGAGGGTGTAGACAATCAGTCCAAATATACAGACCAAAGCTGTTTGATTGAACACAGCACTCCAGCTCTTGGTCACTTCTAGGATATGACCTGCCATGTATACTCCTATGAAACCTGAAATGAAAAACATAATAAATCATGGAATACATTGGGACTGAAGGTCTAGGACATCAATGACCAAGCTCTTTGGTTTATATGTTTGTTTGCTGTTTATGTCCCATGTAACATGAGTGTGTGTTTATGGTTTTCGCACCTTTTAGCAATATTCCAGCAACATCATTGCAGGGGACGTCAGAAATGGGCTTCACACATTGCACCCATGAGGTGGAATTGAACCTGGTCTTCAGCATGTCTAGCAAACCGTATAACCACTAGGGTCCCCTACCAGCCAGTACTAGAAACATGTATGTATTACAATGAATTTTAAGATATCTCAATAAACACTTAATGTTGCCACGGTAACTAAGGGTCATCAACATTTCTTACCTGGAATGGCCCCAGCCATGTTCATTATACCTGAAAAGAAGAAGATCACTTCAATTTATTGATTTGTTTCTGAGAGTTAAGTCAACAAAGAGGGCACAACTGAGAAATCAATGCGATCTATATACAGATATTCATTCTACAGCCAAGTGAGATTATGGGTCACCACAGATCACATCTAGGAAAGGGTAGCACTGATCAAATCTATGCCTTTATAGTAATATACTTGTACCAATTAACCCTGTCAACTATACAATATCACAGTTTTAACAAACATGAGTGATGCTTTGTTTCTTACAGTTAAATTTGTTTCACATCATTATACACCATATCTTATTAACAGCAATGATAAAATCTTTGCTCCTTTTCTATATACCATTTCTTATTAACAGCAATGATAAAATCTTTGCCCCTTTTCTATATTACCTAAATGAAACACAGCAGGTAAATAACTTGTCAAAAGTTTTTTTAAAAATATTTTCATCATATTCATCTATTCAAAGACTTTTATGTCTTTCTCATAAACTGACTAAAAAACATATGAAGCCTTATGACAGGGATACAAAACTATCTGAATCCTTTTCAAACAGTAAGTTAATGGATAATCAAAGCAGGAGACATGAGCGGAGGTTGGCGGGCACCTACCAAACACTGATCCTGCATGTTTAGGCGCGATGTCCTGTGGGTTGACAAGGATACCACTGTTGTGGAAGCCACAGCAGCAGACAGAGAGGGCCATGCAGGTGAGCGCCGCCTCGTACGATGTGGTGTATGTGATGATGACGAGGAACAGCGCTGTGCCGCCGAGGGCAATGAACTGCATCAGCTTCCTCACAAATGTCACTGAGTAACCTGTAGACATAGAGTGAGTGAGTGAGTGTTTTGGGTTTCACAATACATTGAACAATATATCAGTTATATCGTGTGTCAGTTCAAAGGATAAGGTGGAACTTCTGATGAAGAGATAACAGTCATAGATGTGAACCATTTTGGTAAAACCCACTAGCCAATCTGAGATCTGAACAAATGAACATAGGATCCCTTTAATACGTACAGGAAACAGGCCTTACTGTCTACCCATGAGATAATTTGATTTAATAAACAAAAAAGCATGTTCTATGTTTACATTATCTGTCAGTTTTATTCAGCTCCAACTGAGGCAAAAGAACTGGTCCAGAATTATGGTCCTCATACCACAAGTCAATGAGGATTGCATTTTGCCATCCACAGATTATTGTGTGTCCTCAGCACTATTTACTAGTCTCAGGCTTGCAGACCAGCATGAATTTCAGAAATTGCCATACCATCCAGCCCATCCAACCAAGCAAAACAGTCTGACCAAGTTTATTTTCCTCAAGCATGAGGACACAGTGTTAAACAAGGCTGTAATCCAGAGATGAGAAATATATGAGAGTGAGAGAGTGAGTTTAGTTTGACGCTGTTTGAGGCAATATTCCAGCAATATCACAGCCAGGGACACCATGTGGGGAATCGAACCTGGGTCTTCAGCGTGACGAGCAAACACTGTAACCACTAGGCTACCCCATCGCCCAGAAATGTATGGGAACTCAATACTGACATGTCTGCTTATATTCAAACAGAATATATCCATTTGAAGAATGGGTACCTAGAAGGACCAATTGGATGATTGAATGATACCATTTAAAATAGCCTGCAATAACTGGGATCATAACAGGAGCTTGTTCAGAGCAACTGTAATCATCATTGTAATCACCATCATAGTGAGTGAATGAGAGAGATTAGTGTTATGCCGCTTTTAGCAATATTCCAGCAATATCACGGCGGTTGACTCCAGAAATGGATTTCACACATTGTACCCATGTGGGGAATCAAACCTTGGACTTCGGCGTGACAAGCGTAAGCTTTAACCACTATGCTACCCCACTGCTCCAATCATAATCATAATGATAATCCATGTTGTTAGGTCATTGGCTACCGTTGTGTGGTACTGACCTGATGAAATCATCTTGTCTGCTAGATAGCCACTGAATATAGAGCTGGGTATTGTGACGACCCAAGGCACTACATTGAACACCCATCCCTGAAACACAGACTGACATTAGTCCACAGACAACAAGTATGTAACACAAACAGTCAAGTAATATTTCTAATATATATTTTGTCTTGGAGCAACCATTTCCAACATCATAAACAAACAATCAAAGAAATTTCATCAGCTTATCATAATGTGAATTGGTTGTGTCTTTCTCTAATTCATTCCGTAGGCATGCAGTGAGACCCTGTGACGACAGGTGCCCTTATAATTCTTATTCTACTAGGATCAAGAAACTTAAGGAGTTATCAGGATTAACATTGCTTTGAACGATATTTCAGATAAATTGCAGTGTGTCAGCTTTGGTAGGAGAACAATCTCAACAATGGTGCTGCCAAACCTTGAAACTTAATTACAGTGAGTTTAGGATTCAAATTCAAGATTATAAATATTTGGCAGAGATAGAACTCTGTACAGAGAGTAGAATCACTTCATGTATGTCACTGAGAGTATATTCATTGGGACCAGTTTAAATTCAGTGATCCAAACATCAGACTCTGCATAAGATCTGTACAAAGATTCATCTCACTACTGACATTAACATACATGAGAATTACTAACAGTAGAAGTAATATACCATGATTCTGTAGCACACCTAAATATACAGATCACTTACTACACAGATGTCACTGAATATAGAAGTAGATAGTGTTACACAGATGAGTGGAAAGTTCCATAGCCTAGTTATGTCCACAAAAGAATACTAAAAATACTACGCAACTGCAAATAATATACATGTATATGTAATACTGTACACTAACTTTCACAGTGGTATATGCAGGCCTAATAGTTATAACCTTGAATGACTGCCATTGACAAATTGTGTTTGGTGAGAAGTGGAAAGTTCCATAGCCTAGTTATGTCCACAAAAGAATACTAAAAATACTACGCAACTGCAAATAATATACATGTATATGTAATACTGTACACTAACTTTCACAGTGGTATATGCAGGCCTAATAGTTATAACCTTGAATGACTGCCATTGACAAATTGTGTTTGGTGAGAAGGTACTGGAGACAATATTACAAATTGTGGTATCAAAGTGGATAGCCAAAATGTTTATAGTGGACAATTTGCTCTGACTTGAATTTTCAATGTGGATATAAAAAGAGTTCACACTGGACAATTTGCTGTGACATTTGCCTGTATAAATGGAGACAAAAATTCTACATGCATTTTCAATGTGGATAGCAAAAGAGTTCACATTGGATAATTTGCCGTACATATGTTTGCATGCATTGGAAACAAACTTCAACTTAAGTTTTCAATGTCGATGTCAAAAATGTTTACAAATGACAATTTGCCGTGACATTAGTCTCGCATGAACCTTTGGTTCAAGCGAACAAGAAATCTTGGAGAACCAGTTCTGCATGCATCAATATACATGTAATTCAATGTTCAGTCTGCATGCATGATGCACTCCCCTAACCAGAGCAGAGTTACTGTCTTAATACGTAATTGCACAGAAATAAGTAGATGTATGACCACAAGCAGGTGAGTAACAGATACGATGACCACAAACAGGTGAGTACCAGATACGAACAGCACAGGGCCTCACTGATAACGAGGATTAGATCCACATAGCATTAAAATTGGTCACAGCAAACTAGGCTTATTATTAGTCGTAACTTCATGGATCAGGTATATACTTAGTCAGATCTCAAAGATGTTTCATTTTTCCTTCAATATTAGTCACTAGTTTGTTTTGTCCAGACTCTGTTTATCACATGTGCGTACATGTAGTGGGAATATTGCTGAGTGCAGCATTAAACACACTGACAACTCAGGTGCCACTTAACAAATTTTGTCAATTGGTTGTTGAGAGAAAAAGCCAGGAAGAACAGGAGAAACTTAATAACCAATATAATATAAAACAAAATATAATATTGAGATGATAATTATGTACACAAGCTTCCCATGCTATGATACTTTCCATACAGACAGTTGAGCAGTTTTAATAAATTGTACACCAAACTTGTGTGTAATTTCTAAGCATAGTATTAAGAGGCCCAGATAAGTTGCGTATCCGGGTAAAATACGCATAGAAAATTTCCAATTACGCATTTAAAAATAATTGTTGCGTAGCAATTACGCATTTAAAATGTTAGATACGCAAAAAGTTTAAAACAAATGCGTACAGAATATATTTATAAAAATCGCTTGTGTAATGAAAAAGACAACGATTGCTATCAAGTTGTACTGTTAGTATAGGACAAGCGTTGTACTGCCAGTATAGGATTAGTGATTTTTTACATGAAATCATTTTCATTATATTTAAGTTGGTTCTGATTAGGTATGACATTAGGCAGAACATACCTGCTTAGTAAACTTACCCTACTACTTAGGTGAGTAAAATGACTGAAATACCCACATATTTGAAAGCAGTGGGTAACGGAAAATGAAATACCCACTCAACATTCATAATACCCACTCCTAAAAAATACAGTGGGTACAGTACCCACATGAGCTAAATCTTATCTGGACCTCTGGTATTAATTACTGGAAACATTATTCTGATACATCAATTACCACAAACATCCATATATATATCAATAAGGAGGGAAATTTGCATTGTGTCCTTATTTTGTGGATGTTTTTACAAATGTTTGACCCATGTGTCTGCTCCATCAGGGTTCTACTGTAATGAGACATCAAACCTCTTAAAGGTTAAACTTTTACTGCCAGTCAAGCAAAGGGGCTGAAAAAGTGATCCTCAATCTACTCATGCCCCTTTTCCAGTTACAGAAGCATGCAACACTTTATATAAGATTCTTCATAAACCGCCAGGATCATTCCGTAACCATGGTTATAGTGCTATACCTAGTGATGTTGATAGGATCACTGTAGATCTATACCATCACAATGTACCCTGAGTACAAAAACTTATACTGAGTTGCACCTAGGGTTTCGTATCCAGAACATACATAAGTTTACAATGATTTTGGACATTTTGCCGTATTCTATGTCAAGAGTGAGTGGGTGAGTGAGTGAGTTTAGTTTTATGCCACACTCAGCAATATTCCAGCTATATGGCGGCGTCTGTAATTAAACGAGTATGGACCAGACAATCCAGTGATCAACAGCATGAACGTCGATCTACACAACTGGGATGCGATGACAAGTGTCAACCCAGTCAGCGAGCCTGACCATCTGATCCCGTTAGTCGCCTCTTACAACAAGCAGGGGTTACTGAAAATCAACCGGTTTCTATGACCTGAAGGGACCCACAATAATATTATGGCCTCTGGCAATATGACTGTTCTTGTTACGAATTCCTAAAGAAGATTCTGTGTATTTACATGCTATACCAACATTTTCCTGAGTCAGTTTCATGGAAACAGGCAAGAAAACACAAATCCCATTAACACAAAGCAGGTTGATGTCATAACATCTCAAGACGAAACACTGGGGTATACTTGCATGTGGTGTGGGTAAAAAACAAAATGCACAAAGAGTCTGGGTACAACTCAATATATCCTTTTGTACACAGGATACATTTGGACAGTTAACCGATCAAGAGTGGTCCTGTAAGCCCTTTGACAGTGTGAGCAGAGATATGAGTAGGAGCCCACATGACAAACACCCTCTTCTGGTTAACGCATTAGCTTCTCACCTTGCCTGATGGGAAATTGTCATGGAAGTAAGTTGGTGCCCAGAATAGAAGGATTTGAAATGACAGTGAATGGCAAAAGTGTCCAGTTATTAAAGCCCTGAAATAACACAAATGTACGGCTTATTGTTCATGAATCCCTGATAGAAGTATCCTTGGATTCCCTGGTATTTTAGTTCTATGCTGATGATGTCAGTCACTGTTGATATTTCCAACTTATACAAACATACAGGCCAGCCACTTGTTTTTCATGAACAGGAACTAGATTCATTCGAATTTACCTGCTAGCTTACTGGCTTCTTGCAGTGCAAAGAGTGGAATTTCTGCATGAATCTTCTGAAGGCAAGGAACCTGTCTGGGGTGAGTTGTCTGGGTTTAATGTTCCTTGATAACTACCTTTGATAACTACAATTTGATGAAAGGTTTCATGATGACTGACCATCTCTTATATATGGGTCAATTTTTGGGAATCTGATCATATTTCTTGTGGATCCTGTCACTGCCAAGGGATGTAACTCTGTAGAGTGAATGGTAGTAATTAGGATGCCTGGACTTAAACAAGTGTACAATATGACTTGTAGCCTCATAGGTCTTTTGTTAAATATTCCGCCACAACTTGTACACGTCCACTCAATCACTTGAGGCAAAAGTAAGGCTTCATGGGATTAGCATGAAAAGAAGTATTATTTCTGTATATTACAGAGTCTGGAACAGACAATCCAGTGGTTGACATTGTGAGCAATGGTCCACCCCATTGGGTCATGATGACCTGCAATCAACCAGGTCACTGAGCCTGACCATCTGATCCATTCAGTCACCATCTAAACAAGCATAGTTTGCTCAGTTCTAACCTAGAATCCCCACAGGGTCCTACTAAAGTTTATTACTATTCTGGTTGGAACTGGGATTTCTAACATATTCCTATTTGTAAAATTCTGAGGTATTTTTATGCTGTATATTCAGACGGCTCTCAAGGTCATATAAAACTAAACATCAAAATCTCTTGTCCTGTGTTGGTCTTGTTATCAGTGAAATACAGAGCTACACAACCATGAAATGTGTTGTTTGTTATACTTATAGATATTAAATGAATAGGGATTTTATAATGACATTGGCTGAAGAGGACTTGGGGCCATATATCAGCAAGTCTAAAGATGGCCCTGTGGAAGTAACAGTTCTATTGCCAAACATACTGAGCCATCCAAACTTATCAATGACACCAGCCGGACGACAAAATATCCATGGAATCCAAGGATGCAACGATTGCAGGTCGGTCTCCCAAATCCTTACCTTGGCAGAAGGGAAATTATCATGGAAGTATGTTGGCATCCAAAATAATAGGATTTGAAAAATCAGTGCTGAAGAAAAATGCCCTGCCAACATTGCCCTGAAAGCAAAACAAATGTCAGAACAATGGTTGCAGCTACAATGGGTATTGTCGTCAGCCATGACAGGTTAGAGTGCAACATGCATGCAGACAGCACCTTGAACAATCTACAGTAAACCATGCAGGAGAATTAGTACAATCATCTTGTATTACACACACCAGCAATATCACACTTCAACATCTGTCCAGGTGGAGTAGTCTAGTGGTTAAAGTGTTTGCTTGTTACGCCGAAGACCCAGGTTTGATTCCCCACATGGGTACAATATGTGAAGCCCATTTCTGGTGTCCCCTGCCGTGATATTGCTGGAATATTGCTAAATGCGGCTTAAAACTCAACTCATTCACTCACTCAACATCTGTCCAAGTATTTCTATAAAGTTCAGTATTGATTGGGAGTTGCACCTGTGACATCTGTTGGTCATGTGACTTTGTGGTACATGCAAAACAAGACAAGGAAGAGCCAAATACACAAATGACACCCTCAACACTGACAGCTGGTTTCAAAGGGACTGGCATAAATATGTATTTTTCCAGGTGAAATTGCAAATAGATTTCTATATTTGGGATTTTTTCTATCAGAAACAGATCATTGTTCCATGACAATCAACATCCTTTCTTTGGCTGTCATGACAAAGTGAAACATGACCCTTTGTAACAATTAGAACAATTACAACAAAAAGAAAGAAAGCAGATGACATCCTTGTCTTAAACCTTTTACCTTCATTTATGTGTACTGAGCTAGGGCATGAGGTAAAAATGTAAACCTTTGAAGAATAATTTCCTTCCTAATTTTGAGTAAACTTAAGTTCGCACCAACAGTTCCCTGTCTTGCAAACCCTTCAAAACAAGTCCTGTCAGCATTCAGAGGGTCAGTCAAGCATAGGGCAGGACTTGCAACTAAATTTGGTGGACAAAACTCACCTTGGCTGTGGGGAAATTTTCATGAAAATATGTGGGCAGCCATGACAAGAGGATGTAAAATGCATTGTTTTCACAAAAGTGGCCTACAATTAATGACCTGGAAGTAAGAAGTAAACATACAGATCAACTAAAATACAGTACACTACGTCTATAACGAACACACTCATAACCAACTGACGGATATAACAAATGTTTTGGTCCTGGAAACTAGCTGTATATTTAAGTGGAAATATGTATAATAAACTATGATTAGATTCTTCAGAGGCATTTGGAAGTTGGTGAATATATAAGACGAGTATATGGATGGCAACTTCTTGTTTATTGTATATCACAACGTTCCAATTTTACATGTGTTTCTGGCTTCCTGTAAATCTGGGCCTAGATTTTCGAAGCTCTCTTAGCGCTAAGATAGTCGTAAGGTAATGTTAATGTATGACACTTACGACTATCTTAGCGCTAAGAGAGCGTCGAAAATCTAGGCCCTGGTATATATAGTTTGTTTTCTACATCTGTCTTAAATCACCTGAAGAAAGGGAAAGAAGTAGCCCAGAAACGTTGTGATATACAATATACAAGAAGTTGCCATCCATATACTCGTCTTATAAACTATGATTAGAAAGAACTAAAAGTAGTTATAACCAGAGTTTTACTGTATTTATACAGAATATTACCCATAAAGATACAGATATTGGTGAAATTGTCCATTTTCTTATTTATGCTGATTGGCTAGTTAACACCCATTGTTCCATTGTTTATGGACAGGCTGAGAGCATTGGTGCAAATGACAGATGATGACTCGGTCACTGCTCATGATAACAATGGAACCAATAAGAGTTAACATGTCTATAAAAGTATGATAATGGTGATTATTAGGGGGAAATATTAGTAGAACCGCGGTATTTTGCCTTCAGTTCGGAATACTGTAATGCAATCCCAAAAATCTGTATTTTTGGTTTTCTTATCGTCATTTTATTAACCTTTTTAAACATTTTCCAAAATGTCTAGAAATTGAATCATCATGACAAAATCTATGCATTTCTTCTCTTTTCTGTATTATGATCATATCTCATATACCGAACCAGAACGGACCGAACCGAAGGTCTTGTACCGCAATACGTACCATACCGTGGTAAGAGCGTACCGTTTCACCCCTAGTGATTATGTCACTGTTCTTCTTTAAAAACAGTGACATTTTCAAGGTTAATAAGAAAAAGAATACTTTTTTGTCCACAAATTGTATTTTTTGTAAACATGGTCATGCAATCTGTTTAAATCAATGTAATCACTATAAGCATGGCACAAGATAATTATTTTAAAAGTACTCATAATATCTTAGCCTTAACCAAAATTCAGGCTGGAAACATAGGCTGGAAACCCTCAGACAGATGATGTAAGCACTGGTGATGCCAGAGCATATTTACATGCTCCATGTTGTTCCACAGACACGGTATGACATCGCCTAATATGCAGGGTATAGACAGCAGATAAATCACAATGACATATCCATATGTATACAATTCCCGCTCAAGCATCATATACTACCCATCAAAAGTTTAGACTCACTGAAAGCACTCACTATATGTTATGTATATGTATGTGGGTACATCGAAGATGAATTTCTCCACCAACTTGGGGGAACCAACTGAAAACCTTATGCAGATGAATTGCACAAGGATGATGCTTCAAATTGCGAAAGGCATGAGCAAATGTCGTGCATGTGAACAGATGCGTTTTGGTGTAAAGTTTTGTTAAGAATTCGCCAATTTTCACAGATTTTAATCATTTACTGAACTCATGACAATAATCTTTTCAATGTTACGAATATGTTTTACAATACACCAGTTCATAACTAAACAGTACCTTTAAACAGTATGGAATATTTTGCAAAAAGCTAGTTTAGAACAGTGGACAAGTAAGTGGCTACATTTACACTAGTGAGTCTAAACTTTTGATGGGTAGTATAGTTACACAATTACAAAATATTACACAAACATACTGTTAACATTTGTCAATATAATAAAATCTCTATTATTACCATGTTTATATGTTGTATATTTTAGTTTCAAGAAATATTTATAAGAAATTCAGATTTTATTCTCCTCCTATTCAAATTTGTCCCATATGCAGGATCAAGACGAAAAAATTAAAATTTCTCAATTTCTTGGAAAATAAAAAACCAAATGCTTCACTTTACAGTTTCATGTTCAAACACAAAAGAAACTACCTGAAATCAATAAAGTTTGCCAAGGGAATTTCTACTTTCTGCACAGTATGACAGGTAGTGAAACTTTTTCCGAATTTTACTTATACTAAAAATAAAATCCTCTTGATTTGTTCTAAAAGTTTTCACAGAAAATTTCCACCAAGTTCATTGTGCAAGATATAATAATTCCAAAACATAGAGTGGTGTGATAGTAAACAAACTGACAAAAATTTGGAAAGTATAAAATCATAGTGACTAATCTACAATCTAATATGGTGTAAAACAGCAACTTGTGTGATTGAAAACAGAACTATATAAGTACTGATACTGTGTGAAAAGCCTGCCATTTCTTAAACAAGTACAACAAAGTGCAGAGTCTGTGTTACTGAAATCATTGCAGTCATGTTTTCTGACACGTGTTAAGCATGTTAAAAGGAGCAATGGTGTTAAAGCTGTAAAGTTAGAGATAGATTGGTGTACAAACACTGGTCATATGATATACATGATGGAATGTTATGAGATAATGAACATTCAAATGCAATGCAAAACACATGATTATTCAAAATAACAACTTGGGCTACCACCGATAAAAACGGGCTAACTGATAATTACAATATTATATTGAATGTTCACAGAACTAATTTATTCCTACGCCAAATGTAGAGAAAATATCAAAATCAGGTAATATGACACACCCAGCCTTATGACCCACTAGTGTTGGGAATGGAAACCAAATCCACTATTGATTATCGGAGGATTGTGGTGAACGATTATCGATTATAATTGAAGATTTGCTTCACTGCACGATTTACATGACATTAATGCTATTAATCTCAATCAGGAAACCTACATCCTCTCTGTCGGCAAGTAATGCTGTATCTTATACATGTACATGGGTGGTGTGGGTCAAACACTGGAGTAAACCTTGTTTGTTTTCAGTAACCTGGTCATTCTATGGCTGGTTCCAACTTTTCAGCACATGCATGCTGTTTTGGATATTCTCAATATACTATTACTCATTAATGTATGATATTCTTGCAAAGAAATGATAAAAATCAAAACAGAATAGAACTAAAAGTGCACTACTTGATTTCACAACCAATATCTTACTTTGATCCCTGAATGAAATAGTCCTTGCATACTTTAATTATTTCTTAATGAAAATATGCTGATACAGAATTTTGTTCAGTTGCATGTTACCCGAACTGAATGTAAACTTTCATAGATCAAAATATGAAATAAAAACATATTTAGCCATGACCACCATCATAGTGTGACTTGGCTTGTAATGAACTTTTGTTTGTTTTAAACACATTGAGTATAATGCTGGTAACAGTTTCCTTAATGGTTAATAAGAAGAATTCAGTCCAAACACTTCATGAAGTGATGGCCATACTGTCACAAACAATATTTGGAGAGAACCAACAAGAGCCCCTAACAGATAATGTCTGTGAAGTCCTTGTGCCTACCAGAGCTCCATAAATATATCAACATTATACAATATATTTTCAACTGCTTACTTCAAATATGCACGAAATGAACGAACACATGCATCACACATGTACAAACTCCACTACAGTCAATAATGCTTAAAAAGGAAAGTTTAGGCAACAAGTTACAAACCAGGAGAAGCACACAACAGACACAAATTAGAAATCCCTGAATCAGCATTTTAAAATTAAGTGAGTATGGTTTTACACTGCTTTTAACGATATTCCAGCAATATCACAGCGGGGGACACCAGAAATGGGCTTCACACATTGTACCCACATGGGGAATTGAACCCGGGCCTTCCGCGTGATGAACGAAAGCTTTAACCACCACGCTCCCCTACTGCCCCTTTTAAATGATTTAACAACCCTTATTCAACAAGTTATTGGTGTTTTATACCCATCAGACTGGACCCGGGAGAATACAGAATACTGAATAACCAAAGAAAGGTATCAATACCCAGTGTTAATGGTAGCATGAGTAAACACTCAATGGCAGGAACATATTTCTGGAGCCCTGGCCTCGTCACAACGTAGACCTGACATTATAAATCATTTGAAACATCTATCGGGAGGATGTTACATGGTAACATCCATGAATCAACTTACATAACAAAGCTTTGACAGAGAGTTTTGGCTGACACATCAGAGACAGTATATAACTAGAGAATGTCATGGCGGTGTGACAGTGATTCACAGGCAATCAACACACAATAGCTTTGATTTAGAATTGCTGCAAGGACTTCTCTCAGGGTTTTGTTTGTTGTATACTACTCAAAACAATTGAAGAACGTCCACTTCTATATGACTACAGTAAATCATACATGGCATATAGTTGTCGTGCCATGACAAATGAACTGTAGGCCTCTGAAAGAATCGAATATTCGTCACCTTCTTTTGAGTAGCATATTAAGCCAGTGTCACTTAATTAATATTACGTAAATGTCAAACATGACTGTTAGCAAACGTCTGTAATTTTGATGGTAATGAATGGTAACCATGGTAATGATGGCGATGAGGTATCAAGTGTCAATATTGTTATCTAAGTTTGATGCTACTTACCAGAATGCAGCTTTTGTAAATAATGTGATCCATGGAACTCCATGTACTTCTTTTTGTTTTGTCTGGGTACCCAGACCCGTCATGTAAATGTAGGTTGATATATTTTTTCCTATGATGGTTTACAAGACAGTATCTCATCATCAACATCCACCCCAGACCACACAGACCTGAAAACATACATAAAGTCAGTCATTCCTGTGGTACATGCAGCTAAAATTATCTATCAAGAACTGAAAACACTTTCAAAAAGTATTTATGCACGTATAGATGAGAAAAGTGATGCTATTCTGAATCCATGAATAAACTACCAAAGTGCCATGTCTCTTGATATGTAAAAATAAAAATAAAATTCAATTCTAAGAACCACATTTCATCAGCTTCATATGACCTGACAAGTCCTTTCCATTACTACTGTGTGAGTTGTCCCACTACCCAGAAGCTTGGGTCCAGTAACATTCTGTCTGGTCTAATATACTACAGTGGCAATAATATTCTACAGGGCTCCAGATAATTTTTCAACATCAGGAGTATGTACTCCTCATTTGTTCAATATAGGAGTACTGGAAAACCTTAAGAGTACATTTAGAGTATAGAATGGAATTTAATGGAGTATCAGTAATCTTGTGTTTTGTTTCATATATGCACCACAACATTGCTACTCTTGTGTAAACTGGTCAGTGAACAATAAAACAATGCTTTTTCAGATAAATACATCTGTAAATGATTCTAAGACTCAGTAAGACTGTACACCATTGCTGTGGTGCATATCTGCTATTTTTTCTAAATTATTTCATCAGTATCATGCTTATTTTATATCCGTACATACGCCGATACGGCCCTTATCTGGAGCCCTGATTCAATATGATAACAGTACACCACTTCTGAATAAGATGCTTACAATATAATCTTTGATTTGACAAAGCAGTAGATTTCTCAGCTTGAAACTATTGTTATCGGGCTACGGGACCGGGTCCCCCCCAAGGGCTCAATTTAAAAATTGAGCCCTTGAGGAGTCCCTAATCCCGTAGCCCCATTGTGTATACTACTACTGAGGTGCATGCAAAATTTGATGAAAATCGGTCAAATAGTTTCTGAAATATTGACTTTTAAGTGAGCATGGGGTCGGTCGAGCGCTGTGGGTGGACGAGTCGCAGTGCGTGTGTCTCTCTCGGCTTGGTGTATGGGTGGCTGGCTGGCTGGTTGGCTACATTAAGCAGAAAAATAGGTATGCAAGACTGATAAAAAATCATGACGAGAAACTATCATCACACGGTGGGTGATGTGTAAGGGACTGTGTCGTGACTCCTCTCTGACGAATGCTCTCGGCTGTCCGTCTTTCAAGAAGGACAAGTTCGGTTCGCCATCTTTGATGTCGACAAGGTCTATGTTGTACGGTTTCATGGACCATATCGGATCGTTGGCACGTTTTCTGCTGTCTCCCTCGTAGACTTGTAGACTTGTCAGATGTCTTGTTTTTTAAGCCAGGCTTTGGCTTTCTCTTCCGAGACTTGAATGGCTTTGGCGAGTTTCGGGATGGCGTCCGTGCCTTTCCAGTACTCTCACGGGCTGTAATACATTTTCTCCATGATATATGTACGCATGTGTGCATAAGCGTTCAATTATTCGATACGTGTTTGTGCCCGTACACGTAAGTGGTGACTCCGTCGATGGCGATCCATCGTTTCGTGTCCATGGGAGACAGCGAGGTCTTGTTGATTCTCAGTCCGTATATCCTGTGTCCGTCGCTTCTCAGCATGTTCATTTGGTGTTTGAACGTTTTATTATTGAACAGGGCTTCCATGAATCTGGCATTCTTGATGTGTTTTTTTCACCACGTTTTTTCACGCCTTTCGCCTTTCGGATTTCATCGTCGTCGGCTTTCTTGATGGAATACATCTTGGGTATCAAGCCAACGTACTCGGCGATCGGCGTGGACTCCAACGTGATCTGAAAAGCCTGTCGAGTCGTGCCAGGAACAATGACGTCGTTCGCAACCAGGTTGGGGAATCGAACCAGCAGCGTTTGGTTTTGTCGATCGTGCTCAGATTGTTGGTGATCCTCACCGACTGACGCACGGCTTTGACACCCATGGGCTCTCTCGATCTTCGGAGAGGATCTAGCTTTCGTCCATTTTGCGACATTGTTTATATTGAAACTATGTATATTAAAAGTTTAATATTAAAAAAAAAATGGCTGATGATATTCCCATGGACAATTTTGACGTATACCAGCTGAACGACAATGATGCAGCAGCCATGGACACCTCGTTCATGGGCGACACCGTGGGCAACGAGCGAAATAGCCGAGCCGAGACAAACACACTGCGACTCTCCCACAGCGCTCGCTCAATGCTATCAAGACGGCAGTGAGTCGACCCGCGGGAACTGCCGAGAGTTGCGGTATTTTTTAGTGGAAATCAACATAATGTTGCCAGCCAGCCAGCCAGTCGGCTGTACAAGCCAAACCGAGCCACACACTGTGACTCGCCCACAGCGCTCGCTCGGTGATACCGAGACAACCTGTGGGGGAAACTGCCTAGAGCTGTGTTTCATTCACTTTCAGACATCTGAAGCCTCGCTAGTCAGCTGGCCGTGCATCATCATCATAGCCGAGCCGAGAGACACACACACTTATACTCGTCCACGGCGCTCGCTCAAAGCAACCCCCGAGACGGTAGCGAGGTGATGACTTCCGAGACCTGCATTTCATTCAGCTAAAAACACCTCTCGACTCGATAATATATAACAAGTACGACAATACATTGGATTGTTAGCTTTTCGCCAGACCGACCCCATGCTCACTAAAAAGTGATTATTTCCTAAACTATTTGACAGATTTTCGTGAAAATTTTGCATGCATCCCGGCAGATGGTTACGCTATAGCAAAACGGCATTGGGAACACTCTTGATGACTTCATTAGATTAATTAAGACTTAATTACGACAAAAAGTTGGACATTTTGCCTTTTCCCGACTGACCCCATGCTCACTTAAAAGTCAATATTTTAGAAACTATTTGACCGATTTCATCAAATTTTGCATGCACCTCCGTAGTAGTATGCACAATGGGGCTACGGGATTAGGGACTCCTCCTTGGGGGGGACCTGGTCCCATAGCCCCATTGTGTATACTACTTCCTTTCAGCAGTATGTTATTTAACATTTAGATATCTACTAACCTCAGTTACAAAACATACACAATTATGCTCAGGACTCATGGCCATTATTTGCTTCAATGTCGTTATCCATTTATATTAAATGAAAGACATGCAGCAACATATTGTACTGTACTGTACTTAATAATTCCTTATGCACTATCCTCTTAGTGGGTGTTCTATGTTATTAGTATTTGGGCGAGAAGGCTTCTCAGGTTCATTTCTAATCTTGAACTTATGCTAGTAACATGTTGATAACTTACCAATGAAATAGAATGGCATTTGCCAGCCATACCGGTCTAAGAGGAGAGATCCCACACTGCCTGTCAACAGAGTGCTACAACACAACAAGTGAATGAGTGAGTGAGTTTGAACCCTGCAGATGTAGATCTACATACAATTATTATGGCACAACTTATCATGCGTACACAGTAAAAATTACATATTAACTGCATTTGAGACTTATAATATATCATATCATATACACACAATAGGACTCTCCTTAAATGAACTCTATAATCAGTTATGAAGATTGCAAAATATTTCTCTTTAACTGTTACTACATGTATTATTAAAATTTCTCAAACAATTTTATATTTAATAAAATATCAGAAAAGTTATAAGCTTGTAACCTAAGGAACATTTCAATGTTCTAAACACAAAAAACCCAACCCCAAACCAAGGAGTTTTCTATTGAATATGAATCATGATTTCAAACATGGTTAGCTGGTTTTGCAAAAATCGTTTAGAAATTAGATTCAGTATGTGCAAGATGGATACATACAAGTTAGTTTGCTAATATAGCTTAGATGTATAGGCAGAGTTGCACTTTTCATTTATGTATGATCATTGATACATGTACATAAATCCTGACATGAAATGTACACATTCCACCAGATGTTTACTGTTTTAATAAGACTATATAAATAAGTACAATCTAAACAAAATGATATTTCTTCTAACATATGCCTTCCAGCAACATACAGATTTATTTATGTAGGCTGAGGTTAATAATATTCCTGTTATCTTTACTTTCATTACTATAAATTTTCAATTAAACTGTGTAAACAACATATATGCACCTGTGCGTTCTGATGAACCATTTAACATCATGAACAACAATAGTAATCATCCACCAAATCAAAAAACACCATGTTTGTTGGCTTTCTGGAAAAAAATGAGCTTCGTCAACTATCTACAGAAACAGACTTCAGACACTTTGTCAAAAGTAAAAATAAACAAATTTTGAAAATGCTGAACATTACATTTTCATGTAGCAGTTATGTCAATATTAGTAGATGGAGAAACAGTTAAGAAATATTTTAGAAGTATGAAATCTGTTTTTGTTGCACTAGCTAATAGAAACAGGAAGACACATAGATGGAGAAAACATAGTGATCTGAATCACTGCTAGAGGATACACTATCGGCACATTCATAAAAGTGCGTCAACATCATGATGATAAGTGATGATGATGATGAGCGTTTAATGCAATAATTAGGTAAAATATCGCCACTGACGTAACTTGATTCAAACATGCTGAAACACCCTGAAAAATGCAGTTTGCTTGGTATTCTCTGATTGTGTAGTTTCTCATTCTTATTTCATAAGAAACTTCAATATTGTATTCTAACATTGGGTTTAATGCAATAACGTAAACTGAAGTGTTCAAGTCCCTTCCTTCTCATTGCTCCTGTTATAAGTAAAATGTAAGCCATCACAGTTGTTCAAACTATGTTGACAGGTATGGGAGTTAACTCCAAATTGGGAATTTAAATCCATGATCATAGGTTTCTGTCACACCTAAGGGGAACAACTCTGAACCATGATGGCAACTCACCTGTGCACCATGAAGAAGACTGTTGTAGAACCATTATTACGTCAGTGAATTTACAGACATTGCATGTTCATAATGTTTCAGCATAAAATGTACATAATACTACGCAAAAAAGTTAAGGACAACAAATTTTATCAATTGACAATAATTAATCTGTCACATCATGTCATTTACACCATAGAAATTTGAAAGAGTCGGCTCATCTCAACATTTTTCATGGCTGACTAACTACAGCAATGTGAAAGAATTGAGTGGTCCTCATATTTTTTCAGTAGTATATTTCATTCATGTTTCAGTGGTAATGAAGCCTTTGACATTGTTTTCTCCACCTATGGGACGTGAGAAGAAAAGACCCTTACCCAAAATGGGATCCCGAGGCTATAAAGCTATATGTGAGAGATCGTTCCTGCTCCACAACCTTCCTTGATATTAAACTTGTCATTCCTGGATAATGGAACCCTGTCACAAAAATAGGTCATAGTAGATAGGGCTAGACAGAGTCGTGCAAAGGCAACAAGCTCATTTCAGACAATATTTGGGTTGGAAACTTGTCATTCTTGGATAATGGAACCCTGTCACAGAAATAGGTAATAGCTGACAGGGCTAAAACCAACTAGCTCATTTCGGACAATAGTTTATGTGAAAAAGCTAGATTTTGGTTGAAAACAACTTGAACTAGTCCTTCAGGATTTTGTCTAGTCGCTGCCATGTTTGTGGTTGGTAGGGTATAGATTTAATTACCTCAGCAAATTAACCTGAGATTTCAGTTACAGCTATCGTGTTGATGCTTGACATTCAGGCATACTGTGGCAAGGAAAATACTTATTACTTGCCAGCTCACCGAAATCAATCTTCTTCAAAGTTCAGTTTGCCAATATGACACCATTATTATGATGTCAGGGTATTCTTGTGGCATTGGCTTCTGAGTCAGGAATTCACTGGCCATTCCAATGTGTAATTTAACAGGAAGCACTGATGCAAATATAGGTCATTACGTAACTCTAAAGAGAAATTATATATCTAACCCATACATAAACTTTAGATGGTTTAAGCCAGAGGAATCACTTGAAACTGAAGTAGAATCAACAGATTCTCATGATTTCCCAAATTTCATTACTATTTAGCAGAAGGCTAAGAAAATAGACCCACTGTCCATACAATGCCAAGGTTTGTCAAACATGAAGTGATTTCATTGACACAGTGCCATATTCCTGAAAGCTTATTTCTGAAGATCTTCATGAAATATTACAATGCATGCCTTCATCACATTGATCAAATTTATGTTTTTATGTATTACCTGTATACCAGTATATAGCAATACGCTTTTCAAACAAAATATTGCAATATCTTTTTATGAGATCCAGTATATCGGGTAAAGAACATATATGAAGTTTTTGTGATTATCTTTATGGTTTAAATTAAAATCTACACAGACATTCATTCACAACAAATGTTTTCCTTCGTTATTCAATGACAAGACAGCATACTGTAATACAATAAACTGTATAAAAAAGAAAATAGAATCCCTGACTATTCAACCTAATTTTGAGATTGCTGTTATCAGAACCATAACATATATGTTTAAGGACTTATAATGTAAAAAAAAGGATCAACATGCACAGTTAATGGCACATGCTGTCAATTACTTAAGTTCCCAATTTATCACAATGCACAATACCTGAATCGCAAAATATTGCAATACAATTTACCTGTCAATACACAGCCCTATTTTTATGAGTGTTTTTTCCATTTATTTCTTATTCAATGTATATCCTATTTAGTTGATATTTATAGAGATCATCACAAAAATTCTGCATGAGGCTGGTCAGACAAACAGACGAATAACAAGACATAACATTATGTAAATTCAAAGTTGAAAAAGGATATTATTATTAAACTATCATTAAAAATGTGAAGACACCAGAACATAATCATCACTGGTTCTAAAAAAGTAACATAAATATTTGTTTAGGAGTTTTCATAACAAGTACTCGGTATCAGCTACATTCAACAGAATCAGATCCCATGATGATAAATTATGAACGATTATCTTTCAATCTTGCATTTGCATTATTTATGAACATCAACTACATTATTACTGCTACGAGAGTAATTTATGAGTACACAAATGTTTATGTTTGTAACAAGTCACGTGGAGCAAAACATATATTACTTCCAGTCACTTACTTCCCAATTAACACACGATGACAGCTATAATAATGTTGGAGGATTTATTGTTACCTGCACCGAGTGCAACCTGTTACTGAAGGTAACCTGTACCTGCCATTGTTAACATACACCAGTGCAGGTTGTAAATAGCAAAATCACAGCCTGAATCACCATACCTTGTGCATACATACAAGCATATGTATGGTCTAGTTTAATACATGCAATTTTGTCCCTACTTAGAATTTTCATATGGTGACACCATCCATTATGCTGTAAAGGTTGGATCAAGGTCAAAATTGTTAATATCCCCATGGAACATGTGTATTAGGACCATTTACCTATTCACTTCAGCTATGCTAAATGTCTAGATATTGCTGATTAATGGCCATTAATGTCTTCCTAAACATACTTGCTGGCGGCCATTACTAACATCTAATCAAAATCCTGTGAGCATTTTTTATCGACAACATAGCTAAGTCCATTAATGTTCAGATTCATAGGGGCGGTGGGTTAGCCTAGTGGTAAAAGCATTCGCTCATCACACAGAAGACCCGGGTTCGATTCCCCACATGGGTACAATATGTGAAGCTATTTCTGGTGTCCCCCGCTGGGATATTGCTGGAATATTGCTAAAAGCAGCATTAAACTAAACTCACTCACTCAGATTCCTAGGCCATGTAGTGGTGCTGAATGAAGAGCCACACATATTTGTTGCCTATTATATTTCATCAAAAGTGCAAAAATAGCAGTGAATCTCAAAAAATTAAATTCTTTCAATGTAGCAATCATCACGGTCATGTTTAAAATAGGATCCAAATAATGTGAGCTGTTTTCATGGATACTGTAGTCGTCATACAAGGTGTCAATTACCGGTACATAAGCCTTGTAGGTACGGAGATTTGAAAATGCCAAAGTTAACAACAAACAATTCACAACGTAAGTACCCTGGCCCCGATTTCTCGAAACAAACTTAAGTCTGAGTTTTGACTTAAGTCTGAGTTTTTACTCAAATTTGAGAAAACGCAGGAAAATGCATTTCCCAGAATAAACTGAAATCAATATTGAACTCAAACTTAGTAGAACATTTGAGTTTGTTGGATAGATTACTTAAGTTGTTTGGGCTTTTTTTAATTTAAAAAATGCAGTTGAGTTAAAAATTCAGCTTTTTCAAATTGTCAAACTCAGTTTGAAATTTGAGTAAAAACTTAAGTTTGTTTCGAGAAATCGGGGCCTGGGGGACTTTCAGTCAGGTGAGTTTAATAGCTTTGTCTCTTCCTATGAGCCTAATGATGCAGAATGTTGATACTGGTAACGGCTGTCACCAAGCATCAACAGCTGTTGCTAGGTAATATCTATATTGCAATTATCACTTTGTTACCATCCCTCACAACAGCTGTAGATTCCTGCTCATGTTTAAGTGTCATTTCAATAGAAACATCATTTGTGAGATAAGCTCACATTCCACAACAGTACACAATACAACTAGAGACTAATTATGCATAGCATATGGGATATTAAACATGGGTTTCAAAGTCTGGTATTTTGTCAACTGATATGAAAAGCATCTATAACAATGCCTACATTTGTTCATAAAACATGTTACATGGGGCGTTTCAAGTATCAAATTAACTCCGCTCTCAGCACAAAAGCCAAAGACTCATTGATGTAAACAGGACTCGCAATACCTTGATAACTTGTTCAGTAGCTAGAGACAGGTATGCTTAGTTAAGCAACACCTGATTCTTCTGAATATATTGCTTGACACCTTCATGTACCTGCAGAGTTGTTATCAGCACAATATTACAATACCTGGACATCTTGACATTATTTCTCAATCTTCCCTAGGAGCTAGAATTAAGATTGTTTTACTCTCAGCTGAGTGGATGGTACAATGTTTCAGGGTATACACCTTCAACTAACTCTCCTACAGTAAATTATTCTGAAATACATACATGCCTCTATCAGAAATCATTCAACCACAAATCTGAAATGCACAGACTGATCAGCTGATAAAGAGTTGTCATAAACTTCAGAGCAAAAAACCATTAGATTCAGAATCTGCTTAACAACTACTCCAAGAAAAATATGGCCTGACTTGCTGTCGAGAGAGAATATCGGCTATTATCAGTAATCTCAGCCTGTCTATAGACTTTTTAAAACTACCAAGATGACAGATTTAGACAAGCTACTGATCATATACTGTACAGATCATCTGGTGAACGCTCCACACAAGATACCAAGCACCTCTTCAAAATCAATCCTTAAATCACCACTTCAAACTCTTTATATTCACCTCTGAATATTTAATGATCCACACAACAATGTCATGTGTGAATGATGAATTTATTTTCATAATAATGATGTTCATGAAAACTTGAAGTTCCCGGTTAAACTATTTCGTATTATGATCCATGTCAAAGGACTGTAATGATAGGCATTGTACATATGACACTGATACATAATACATTTCAAGTACATGTACTGTCCAAATTTTGGAACACATATTCAGTTTTGCAGTGATTTGAAGATTGATGTCGATCTTGTCTACAAAGGCAGGGCCAGGAAGAGAGAGTGGTTGTGGTGAAGGCCAGGTTCTAGACTACTAGCGGATGCAACAACCCTCGTACTCACCCCCCGTATGTACCAGCGACCACGAGAGAGCAGTATCCTGACCGCTCTTTCTTTGCAACATACTGACAGGTCATACTGGTAGTTGCTGGCATGTGTACACCTTACAACAGGCCAATACACCATAGCATCAGTACACAGAGGCAACATGCTGATATAACTTCTTGTAACCACGGTAACCTTGTGTTAATTGTTATTCATTACCAACATGACAATTGATGTTGGCTGGAATGTTTAGGAGTATCTACATGGTGCATTTCATATGCAAAGAGAACATGCATAGTTATTAGCTTTGGGCCAGGGTGTTTGGTAGTCAGACAGGCAGGGATGAATATCTAATAATATGAGGGCATTTCAATTATTTTCTGTTAGCTTGTGAAGGAATATACTAAAGTTACAGCACAAAGAAAACACTTTTATCTAAAAGCATAATAACTTAATGCATGAAATATGCCCAAGTAGGATTAAAAGGGCTGGTGGAACAAAGGACACCTGATACCCTGCTAAAACTACAAAAGAAGTGGATTAGACATTAGTTGTTTTCGTCACTAACACGCAAAGCTTATTAATACTACAGAGTTACCATCAACCTATACAGCCTCATTCACTTTATAAGCCTAGTGTCATGAGAACTTCAGTGAACCTGAGTTCTCAGAATTTGTATCTAGCCCTGCTTGAAGAAGAAAAACTATGTTCACATTATTCTCAGTTTTATTCAGTTCCATTCTGTAACAAAATCCAAGAACTTAAGCCTTCAATTCAGTGAGAACTGTCATCATTGGATTTTTACTTGTCCTTAGTACCATTAAGTACACCCTGCATAGAAGACTAGCATTAATTCTAAAGGCTGCCTGATGGTGAAATGATAGTCTATGGTAAAAAGGTCAGGAAGTCACTAATCCTTCCTAAATTTTCAAGCCTTGGACTAAAGACACATTCTGATTTTGACAGCCTGACAGTAACTGATGGCAATCTCCTTACATGACGGAGAGCGGGAAGTCGCGGGTTCGATCCCCGACTGCGTCATACCAAAAGACGTTAAATATATGGTACTTGTTGGTCCCTGCCTGGCGCTCGGCATTAATGGGTACAACAAGGACTGGTCGACTTGGAGTCAGTATAATGTGTCTGAGTGGGGTATTCATGCTTCACTGCAGCACGGTATCTCAGTGGGCTAGCACTATAAAACCAGCTAAAGTCTGGGCTAGTACAAGCAGCCGCACATACACATACACACGCATGCACATCGTCATATGAGAGAAATATTCTCAAGCATGACGTTAAACCCAATTTCACCTCACCTCACCTCACCTTACATGACATTCACATGTCCATATTGTTTGCATAAAGTGAAATCTCAAGACCGTCAAACCCCATCTAACAGACCATTATTCCTGGGAATAAGTGACATCACCAGATACATAGGGATTGTTATCATGGACAATGATTGATCTAGAAGATTTTAAAACACATTGTATTGTCAAAAGCAAGACAACAAAACTTAACTAAAAGTCTTCAAGTAAACAGTCATACAGTAAGGCGTAGAAAATGGCGACAGTAAACTATGTTTATAGAGAACATATTGACAATGAAATTGTGGACATAGGGAACTATTCTTTTAGTCCTGGCCACTTGTACTGGGGTGGAAATAACTTTAAAATTGATAGTGTACTCTGGTACAGTGGCACATGTAAAGTCACTTGCCATGATTATTTTCTCACTATACCAACTGTTTTCTTGCTGATTTTTTAAATAAACAACATAATAAACATTGGAAAGTCAACTGGACATAGGTACAGTGTGATATACAAATTGGCTTGCCCGACAGAAAAAAACACTGGACTCGGACGTCGGGGAATGGGTTATTTCCACCCTTGTTGTATACATATTAGTTGAAATCTGTTTAATGATCTATGATTATAATGAAAGAAAATTAGAGTTTCATTATAGCTGTAGTTGATTATACTATACTGATACATGTTAAATCCTACGACTGACCTAAACATCAAGAGAAAGATTCAAAATTCACAGTTAATCGATCAATAATCCTGGTGAAACTGCCTTTTTATCATGTGAATGAAAAGGTGAGGTGAAATGGAATTTAATGTTACAATGAAGATTATTGTACTTGTACTTGTAATTGTATAGTGATGTGCCTTCACATGCTTGTGTGTGGGATGCTTGCAATGCCAGTTTCATAGTGCTGCTCAATTGTGATACCATGCTGCAGCTTAACATTGAATCTCCTCTATCATAGACACAGCAAACTGATTTCAAGCCAACCAGTCCTTGTATTATCACCCCAATGCCTAGCATCAGGCAAGGTAACAACAAGTAACATGTTCTGGTGTGAAGCACCTGTGGATTGAACCTTCAATCTTCTTGGGACAGAAGCTTTTTTCACTAAACCATGCAGGCTGTTGTGTCCAACATATTGCTGAACTCTTTTGATTTTATATTGTGTTATAAAACATGGTTTTGGTGGATTTGAATTTTGTTGCCATGGAATAAGATGTAACTCAAAATGAAATTGCTATTAAAGTATTAACAGAAACAGTTTCTTTTGAAACGTTTCAAAACTTTCTCTCTCTGCAAAACAAGTTGTTAACTGTACCGAATCTGAAACCTTTAATAACATGATACTTTATTGGACATGACTGAAATAATATTTTTTCAACACATGGTGTTTATGGATTCATTTCCAGATTGATAGCGCATGACACCAAACCTCTGCTCACTAGCCACATATTTATATTGTGATGCAAATGAGATGTGACACTGACAGAATACATGATCACCATGCCTGACAATGATTTTCCATGACTGCATCACAATCCTGACATGTGAACAGCTGTCTCTGTCTCTCAGTCGGAGCTGAACAGGAATATCACTCACAACCTGATTCTGTATTCTTGATGGTTCAAGGAAAACATGAACATTCTATAACCAACATAAAAAATGGGACATATGTGAGATTCTTAGTCAGTAAAATCAAGAATTTTTTTTTGTGTGTGTTAAAAATTTGGATTTCTGTAAAGTTCTTGTTTTCCTATATCCAGAGGTACTTTAACATTGCTTTCAATGCGATTATGTTAAATTATGCATTTAAACCTAATCCACTCTATTGGTCCTGTTACTAATGAAATACAATTCACCTTGCAAAACCTTATCATTATCTAAAATATAACAGCTTTAAAGGGAATTATATGTTTACACCATTTGCTAGACTTACGGCCAAAATTGACCTCTGTGTTTGTGTTGATAAATCCCTTAATAACTAAGTTAAGTAAGATTTACCACATTAAAACAGTTAGAAATTATAGTGCATGTGAACTTTCAGCCTTTGCAGTAATGGTGGCTGAAAGGAAGACGATCTATGATGGCATTATATACCATATCACAGTGTGACGTATAGCGTTATATACCATATCACATTGTGACGTATAGCATTATATACCATATCACTGTGTGACGTATAGTGTTATTAATTTATGTGCTGGTACATAAGCCGATTCACATGGGGAAGATTATACAACGATAGTGTGAGTATCTATCTGTCTCACTGGAGATGAATAATGTAGTTTCGTTATTAGTATGATAAATGTATACATGAATACACAACTACTATATTGACAAAAAAACTGAAACAAAACACTTCATATCATCTGTCATGTGAAATGTGATAATGCCTCTTATTTTAGTTCCATATGGCACTCATCAATATTCAAGTGAGGACCAGACATTACATGGCTGACATTATAAGAATCATACAATGACACATCAAACAAGTCAATGAGCCTAACCCCCTAGTCCTGTTAGGAGCCTGTTACAACAGGCAAAGTTGCCTCTTATCATGCATTGCGGCCTCTTATGACAGGCGGGGCGGTGGGGTAGCCTAGTGGTTAAGGCGTTCGCTCGTCACGCCGAAGACCCGGGTTCAATTCCCCACATGGGTACAATGTGTTAAGCCCATTTCTGGTGTCCCCCGCCGTGATATTGCTGGAATATTGCTAAAAGCGGTGTAAAACCGAACTCACTCACTCACTCTTATGACATGCATTGTGGCCTCTTATGACAGGCATTGTGGCCTCTTATGACATGCATTGTGGCCTCTTATGACATGCATTGTGGCCTCTTATGACAGGCATTGTGGCCTTTAATGACATGCATTGTGGCCTCTTCTGACATGCATTGTGGCCTTTTATGACATGCATTGTGGCCTCTTATGACATGCATTGTGGCCTCTTATGACAGGCATTGTGGCCTCTTATGACATGCATTGTGGCCTCTTATGACATGCATTGTGGCCTCTTATGACATGCATTGTGGCCTCTTTATGCACTTATGACAGGCATTGTGGCCTCTTATGACATGCATTGTGGCCTCTTATGACAGGCATTGTGGCCTCTTATGACATGCATTGTGGCCTCTTATGACAGGCATTGTGGCCTCTTATGACATGCATTGTGGCCTCTTATGACATGCATTGTGGCCTCTTATGACATGCACATGGGCTCATTGTGGCCTCTTATGACATGCATTGTGGCCTCTTATGACATGCATTGTGGCCTCTTATGACATGCATTGTGGCCTCTTATGACATGCATTGTGGCCTCTTATGACAGGCATTGTGGCCTCTTATGACAGGCATTGTGGCCTCTTATGACATGCATTGTGGCCTCTTATGAGGCATTGTGACAGGCATTGTGGCCTCTTATGACATGCATTGTGGCCTCTTATGACATGCATTGTGGCCTCTTATGACAGGCATTGTGGCCTCTTATGACATGGCATTGCATGGCCTCTTATGACATGCATTGTGGCCTCTTATGCCTCTTATGACATGCATTGTGGCCTCTTATGACAGGCATTGTGGCCTCTTATGACAGGCTTGGCCTCTTATGACAGGCATTGTGGCCTCTTATGACAGGCATTGTGGCTCTGCATTGTGGCCTCTTGTGACATGCATTGTGGCCTCTTATGACATGCATTGTGGCCTCTTATGACAGGCATTGTGGCCTCTTATGACATGCATTGTGGCCTCTTATGACATGCATTGTGGCCTCTTATGACAGGCATTGTGGCCTCTTATGACAGGCATTGTGGCCTCTTATGACAGGCATTGTGGCCTCTTATGACAGGCATTGTGGCCTCTTATGACAGGCATTGTGGCCTCTTATGACAGGCATTGTGGCCTCTTATGACAGGCATTGTGGCCTCTTATGACATGCATTTTGGCTTATTGTGATATGCATTGAGGCCTCTTATGACAGCATGGTTACTTTTTACAACAGACTCCATATTAAACCTCAGACTCCACTTTAAACAAAGTTAAACAAACTATAAAATCTTGTAGAATCTCACCTTGACAGACTCCCAACAGGACTCGGGACAGCACAACGATGTAGAGAGACATGTGTTTGTCTGTTGACAGGTATGCTACTTGTGGTGTCCAGAATGTGATCAGGGACCACAGACAAGCTGCTATGGGGAGGACAATGTCTCCACCGATGCGGTCACTCAGATAGCCACCCAGAAACTGCGTCATGGTGTACCCCCAGAAAAAGGCAGACAAGACAGTTCCCTGAAAGGAAAATTCCCAAGTCACCATATATATATCAATGAACACATTTCGGGGAACTTCCCTAATGAAAACCAATATTCTGGATAATCTTTCCAGAACATGTCAACATCGTGGTTTTCATCAATTACATGGACATGGGTTACCCAATCACCACAGAAATGCTGAGTTGTCTCCCTTGAGTGTGCCATGATCCTAAGATTCTGGAAGAAAATCCCCGACTCTAAACCAATTAACCATTAAACAGTTCACCAATTGAACACCCCTTTAAATGAGACCTATGCCTACTGCCCTTCCAGAAACCTAAACTACTAACCATGCTAAGAGTTATTAATAAATACCAGTACATTGCAGTGGGGCAGATCCAGCATTTTGGAGAAGTGGGGGTGCACATAAATCATGAAGTCCAAAAGTTAGGGGGAAATGCTCCTCAGGGAAAAAAAATTCGGGAGAGAGGCCGAATGTACAAGAACAGTCCTCTCATGTCATGCATGACAAACTGAAGGTGTCACTCTGAAAAACAAGATCCATGTAGAGAAAAAGTCAACATGATCATATATTATACTATATTATAGTCATTGGTTTTTTGTTAAATGCATGAAATAAAAAGCCAAGATGGAAATTTAAACATTTTCCTAATCTAATAGTAATGATAACATATTTTATTAATCATTGATATAGGGCAATTCACATTCGTATACATATACAAATTGTTTCATCTTATATTAGGTGAATGTTTGGTGAACCGCTAGATCCCTAGATATTAGCTGCTATAATGTACCACATTTATGAAGCAAACTATTGAATGCTGAATCTGGTCATCAATAATTTGCCAATAGCATCCAGATCAATAACATGGAGCACTGAATGGTTTGACCATGCACAATAACCAAGTGTATCAAAGTTACGAGATTACTATGGTTACCAGGTCTTCCTGCACAAAATATCTACCTATGAAGCATGAAACAAACTGAAAGGATTGATTAAATAAGCACACTTTACTTGTATGAATGTTGGTTGGTGCCCTAGTTTGATGCCCACCAGTCTGAATTGTGTCAATAGTGAAAACAGTTTTTGATTTACGAAAACAAGGACATTCAACGGTTTTGTGCTATTCAATCATCATACCCTTGTGGTACATGGCCATCAGCTGGCTTTGTGTACATCACTGTAAATTCTTGTGATGATGTTGTGGGTTCAAGGGACTGTACATTGTATATGAGAAAGTTAAAATGTTCTTATTTCTACACACAGTTTAACCAAATTCTATTACGTTCATCTTAGGTTTATTGCCTTTTTTAACAGTCTCTAAACCCAAAAGTCCAAAAGATATATGCATTGCCAAGTGATTGGTGAAAGTGCTGGTAAAATAAGTTTTACTGTTTCAAATTCAATATGGAGCTAATGTGAGTGCATATGCCCAAATATATATAATAAAGGCCAAAATATTGTCAAAATGTGTGACATTGTGCCTTTAACGTGTGCTAGGTAATGAAAATGTGTTGGACCCATTCAGAATTAGCATATATCATATGTTCACACGACATGGAAATACGACTCCAGCTAAATGATCATATGGAAGCTGCCAAATGTTGTTTCTACCAAACCAAAGTGCCATTATCACAGTTTCATTGAAGAGAATAACACATCAAAATTAAAAGCATAAAGATACAGATGTCATCATGAATAGAAACTGGCGCGCCAAATTACCACATGTGAAAGCGATGTTGGCACAAAAAGTTTACAACATGGCATCATGTTTTGATGTCAAGGCCACACTTTTGAAATCTCCATTTTGACAAAATGTGAAAGGGCTAGGGTAATTCATCCACATGGTCAGTCAATTCACCTGACTCGTGAGTACTTATAAAACAAGTGTTTGCAACTAATATGGCAATGTCCCCTGCCGCTAAAGAAGAATGAAATATTTATAACATATTTACTAGTGTTACATTTTGGTCACGATTCCTGAAATGACTGGTGTCTGCATAATCACCCAATGTAGGCTGTCAACATAATTGAAGACCTTGGGTGCAACGTTTTATAAGATAACACGATTACATAAGTTTGAAAAGTGGTGGTGACCTTAAAGATAAGGTCAAGGAATAGTGGCACAGCTTTAAACAATGAAGAAGTGGACATCACTGTCGATCACTTTGAACCTGGCCAATGTTGGCGCATTGCTCATGAACTTCCTGATTATATACATGATATATGCAACTTATACCCAATAAAGATCACAGTTGTCTTCCCACATGTTATTTATGATTATTTTCTGTCTAACAGCATCATAAACAAAATGTTAAACTGTGCTGTGACAAAGTATCTAGCACCATGGTAAAACAACAGGGCACACAGTGGATACAAATATGCAAAACAAAATACACATCTGTTGCAGACTAAACATCAATAGTCTTATGCCAATACAGTGGGAAAAGTAAAGTATTTTGACAAGTCTGTTCAGATCTCTTTTCAAAATTGGTAATTCACTTGGGTGCATACTCAAAATTTGACCATGATGACAGCAAAAGGCCAAGAGAGAGTGAGTGAATGAGTTTGGTTTCACGCTGATTTTATCAATATTCCACCAATATCACAGCGGGGGGCACCAGAAAATGGGGAATCGAACCTGGGTCTTCGGCATGACGAGCGAACCTCCCGCAAAGGGGCAAGAGGTGTGGTCACCAATTTACTAATCTAACCATACCTTGCAATCTTGGCACTGTATCAAAATATGAGTTACACAGTGTTAAATCTGAGAAGATTAGTATTGACGATCATTGGAATGTCAACGTTTGATATCTCAATTCACAGTCGAACAAGAAACATTTTCATGGCAACACACAGTCATGCAGCAAGGTGGTGTAAATAGTTTGAAACCATATATGTCAAATGACCAGCAAAAATGTAAAGATACAGTATTGTACATTAATCAGGTGTACATGTGAAGGTTATCAAAACAAACTCACTGATTCTGTCTTGTCCCAAGACATCTCCTCTGACACTGCAACAACTGCCATTGGCATGATTGTACGAGAGGCGTACAACATAGACGTCCCGGCAAATAGTGCCATGGCCCATTGTCGTTTTTCTTGTCTGTAACACAAACATTGAAAATAGATAGAAAAATGTTCATGGGATATATGTTAAACATATATATGCTGTAAAATAATAACACTCCTAAAACCTGTCCTTATGGGAACCTACCCCCTCCTTGTTGAAGTAGTTACAGCATCCGCTCAGAGAGTGGAAGATCGCGGGTTCGATCCCCGACCGCGTCATACCAGAAGACGTTAAAATATGGTAGTTGTTGATCACTACCTGGCCCTCGGCATTCATGGGTACAACAAGGACTGGTCGGTTCAGAGTCAGCATAATGTGTCTGAGTGGGGTATTCATGCTTAACTGCGGCATGGTATCTCAGTGAGCTGGCACTATAAAATCAGCTTAAGTCCTGGCTAGTACAAGTAGCCACACATACACACGCATGCATGTTGTTTTATGAGCGAAATATTCTGAACAGGACATCAAACCCCATTTCACATCATCTCACCTTGTAAAAACCCTATTTTCATGGTTTGCTTGGTATTTTGATATCATACTCTATCTGGCTTTATAGAGCCACATGGTAAACCTTTGAGGCAAACATTGCCTTGTTTCTTAGTATTAACCTATAGTGATAATCACTGACATTACTTAATCCACAGAGCACTAAATTATAACTAAGTGTTTACATAGGTGTCCGGCTGTAAACCAGACATTATGTCAGTTAAACATAGTCCATTATAAACATAGAATAGTTGCCTGGTCATGTGCCTGTCCTGTAACTTCAACCATGTCACGCTCTAGTAGTGCTGATTAGTATTTGAGTAGTGTATATCAGCAAACAAAACATACTAGGTCATATTTTGTCATTTCAGAATAAGAACATTAGATAATGTTTTCATTGAGGGAAAGTGGACATTTTCACTATAGAGTCAAGTTAAACAACATGTTATCAAGAGTTTGGAGGTTTTCATTACTGAAATTCTCAGGAAATATCTTTTCAAAAACTTGGTTTTAGTGAATCTATTTTGCCACTCTATCATTCTGAGGAATGAGAGTGAACAGTTCTATTTTGCCACTCTGTCATTCTGTGGAATGAGAGTGGGCAGTTCTATGACATATACCATGTAAAAGGTTTGACTTTGTCCTACAAAACTAAGGGTTAAGAGGACCCCAAAAATATTAGTTGCAAGAATCCATAGAGGATATTGAGGGTCTTGTGAAGTAAAGAAATAGTGTAGTATACTGTACTTTCAGATGTAATAATTACATTTACAATAGGAACTTTAGATTACTTATTGAGACTTTGTTAGATGATTGCCGATGATGACTGAACTGGCCATTATTTACAGCATCCAAATTTTTAATACCACAGAAACTAATTATATGATGTGATAAGACAGACATTGTGACAGCTGTATCCATAAAAGACATTTCAAAACATGTATCTAATACAACAGATAATGATCAATGATGAGCTGAACATAGCAGTTGTAGTGCACTGTACTGGGTTCACTACTTCACATATCAATGAGTGACTCATGGAAGACTGAACTCACTGTATCAGCTTGAAGCTACGCTTGGCTGATGAGGTAATCCAATTACGGTAGCCAAGATGTTAAAATAGGACCAAATGGGCCATCACAAACAATTAGTGACTTAACCAAGTCATCAACACCCAAATCCTTACCTGTTTGTGCATGCACAGTACCCATGTTCTCCATGATGACGAAATTTGAAACTTAACAAAACTTTAAGGGGTTTCCTCAAATTACACTGTATTAATCTATTTAAGTGAGTGAGTGAGTGAGTTTAGTTTTTTTAGCAATTTTCCAGCAATACCACGACGGGGGACACCAGAAATGGGCTTCACAAATTGTACCCATGTGGGGAATTGAACCCGGGTCTTTAGCGTGACGAGTCAACGCTTTAACCACTAGGCTACCCCAGCGCCCCTAATCTGTTTTAGAGATATCGTACCCATACCCGACCTCACTACCTCAAAGTCCAAGAATTGTAACTTAAGGATTGTAAAGGGGAGTTTGATTGCAAGTGGTGACCAACCCTCAGGATCAGAAAGGGGTCTTCTATTGGAGATTGGAAAAGGGGTCTATGGGGTGCCCTCACTCTAACACAACTAACCTAAGAATCAACATAACTTGTATCAGATTTTACATCAGCCATTTATGAAGTTTTACAAACAGGTTATTATTTTAGTTTGAGGGTAAGGTCATAGTGTACTGTGTAGTATATGAAGTGCACAAGAGGCACCAAGTAATCTTCTAGATAAAGATAAGACAATGTGCTCTGGCTCTGAAATTTGGGCTTTTGAAATACAGAACTGTTGTTATACTTCACATCGATAGTCAGTAAGCATGGAACAAATGCTATCTCACAATGCCTACCTGCTGCTACTGGTTCCACCAGACCACATACGGACCAGTACCTGGGCACGAGTTAACAAAGATTAAGGAAATGAATCCTACGCTAGGTAATAACCTTGTTGCACCAGACAAAAACGCACCTGCTGCACAATATACACTTTTACACAACTGAATTTTGGTAAGGATGATTTAAAACATCATTAAAACAAAACTATTCTGAGTCTGATATGAGGTTGAATTTTAGAGTTTCAGGTTGCACCAGAGCAAGTTCTAAATGCTTAGATCAAAACCTGAGTACTTTGGATCTTGTACATCATGTTATGTGGTCTCTTGTGAGGGGGGTGCGATTATAGAATATGTTTGCCACCTTATTTTGAGACTATTTTACCATGTTATTGTTAACCAATAATCCTTTCCTTTAATACTCAGGGTTAGCTTTTCTTTCTTTTGCTTCCTTGGTGGCGAATGTATCCTATATGCGGCTCCATGAGCGGCATTTTTAGAAGTTGGGTATGTCTTTCAGTATGTTCAGATACAATTAAAGAAACATGTTAAAGCTCATCCAACTAAATTTTTCGTGTCACAGCATCTTCTATATAAATCATGAACACAGCTTCGATGTCACCAAGCAACCACATACAAATCAGAGATTGGACCTTCTTTAAATAATTAGGAATCAATTGACGCAGTGAACCGGAACAAGTTGTCAACACACTTCGTGACTCCCAACTCCGTTTATAAGAATTCGAACCGCAACCTTTCGGATCTGTGCCGACTGCACACATGGTGGCAGTTATTTGGATCAAAATAGCTTATAATAAACACAGTCGTGAGTAAAATGTAGTTTACTGTACCTATTCCAGAACACTCCACCGGGAACCTTTTTGTCTTTGATCGAAATCGTGATGTCTGGTTTGTAGACGTCATCTTCGGTTTTCGCCATGTTTTGAAAGGTTGGCTTAAAAATATGAAGTCGGAATATAATAATTTAAACGTGACTTTCTTTGAGAAATATACATATCATATAATTTCTCATATTACTTTGACTACTGGTTGGCAATTTACATACCATTTTTCAAGCATGAAAAATATTTGTTGGAGTTTTTAGCGCATTGTGGCACTCTCATTTCGTTTTATTTTTGTGCTTTACTTTAAAGATACTTGGTGGTTGCAACTTCCGGTTGGAAAACACGTTGTGTTGTTTTTACCGTTTTCAGGGCTGAAGTTAAATTGAATGGTTTTGTCGTTATTTTGCTGTCAACATGGTGAGAATGAACTTATTATTACGATATTAAAGATTATAAATTTTGTGTAATCAAAAGATAACTATATTGTAGATACCAATAATAAATACGATAATTCCAAACACGTTAGGTCTTAGCAATCACTAGGTCATCACAGAATCGGGCACTTTAAATTAAGGATTCAGTTTGTTCAAAGGTTCGTTGACTACTAGCAATCATATAAATGTAAATGTAAAAATGTTAAAGACAGTTGCACTGTCGCAGCTTTTTAACACCAATATCTTCAAATGTTTTTGAACAGTAGAGCTGTATATACTTTCCCATATTGATTGGAGTACTTATATGTATCTGACGGTTATACCCCACTGACTTTATTGTGTCAACGTAATACGTTTACCAGGTGAAGTTAATATAGCATTAACTGACTCAGGCTTCTGTACAATGTGGAAGCTTGCTTCACGGATCACGATGTTGCTGGAATATTGCTCTGATACCAGTGGTTCTGCAGGTGAAGTTAATATAGCATTAACTGACTCAGGCTTCAATGGTATCCACAGATCCCCATGGATTACCTGTTATGTTAAATTAACCATGGATTATCCTAACCCAAAACCCCATTGTGATTGTTAGGGTTAGTTACCCCTCTCCTATCAAATACCCATTTAAGTCCTTGTAATTAGTTGCAAGATATGATATAGTTGAGCTATGAACTTTTGATGAATTCTCTTAATCTAATTTGAGGAAAATGCATAGTGAGTTTCATCAAGTTTTAGAGTTTCATCTGTACATGAAGGTTAGCCATCTGTTGCTGATCACTCAGTAAATGGGGGGCCGTGGGGTAGCCTAGTACTATGTAGTAGTTAAGGCATTAACTCATCATGCTGAAGACACGTGCCCGATTCCCCACATGGGCACAATGTATGAAGCCCATTTCTGGTGTCCCCTGCTGTGATATTGCTGGTAAATGGTAAAGTTGGTAATGAGCACTTATTGTTTATGATATTGCCAGTGGTCCGATGTTAAAGTGTTGTCAGTTAGATTAACTCATTTGCTCAGCTTCAAGCAGGCAACAATACCTTCATCCTTCTCAAATTGAAAGACCCGTGAAGATCCGGATTAGAATTGATCTTCAGTAACCCATGCTTGTTGTAAGAGGCGACTTACGGAATCAGGTGATCAGGCTCGCTGACTTGGTTAAGATATGTCATTGTATCCCAGTTGTGTAAGTCGATGCTCATGCTGTTGATCACTGGATTGTCTGGTCCTGACTCGATTATTTACAGACCGCCGCACTAGTCCTCTGTTATCTTCTGTTGGGATCTGATTGATCAGAGGATGATTAAACAGGCTTGAACTGTTTTGATCTTTTTTTCACAGGAAAATATTTCAACAATGATAATCATACTTTTGAAATGATTTGGTTAAAGATGTAAGTCAACACGTTCTTTGGTGATGTTTGGTACAGTCATGTTTTGTAACTAGTAAACAAAATACAAGCGCTTTTGTATTATCATGATTATAGATTGATCATGTTGATTATTATAATGTTCTTTGAACAGGAACACTTTTCTCATAAACATGTCATATGTTTTAGCCACACAGAAAGAAGAAGAAGTTTATTGATAAGAAGAATGCGTAAACATTCCGCTTAGTTCACAGAAGTCAGAAGGATCCCTTACAGGCCAGCGATGATGTCGGACAGCGAGTTCTTCTGCCTGTTGAAGATAAGGTATTGGTGACAACTATCTCATAAAACAAGAACTTACTGCACCTTACTGCAACACAAGGCTCTGAGGACATTCAGTTATACTAGGTCATGTCAGAATGACCTTTTGCAAACTTTGAGGTACAAAATGAAATGACTAACCATACTAACAGCACGTTTCGATTAGCCAATCAAAAAGCAGCCTGTTAACTGAAGCTTTGTGATTTTGTGTTATATATTCCATCTACGTCATGTTCATTCCCGTATGCATATTCTGGGGTTTCACATTGGGTATTAACCATGAAACCAGGAAGTGAGCACATAACATTACAATGAGTCTTCCAATGTGTAAAATAAAATAGTGAACTCAGGACTTATTGATTGTCATCATAATGATCATGGGTTCATTGCTTAATGAAAACGTGTTGAAGAAAGCATTTCCAGGAGATAAAAATGCATGTCAACCAAGTTAACATCCTCCTTATCATCAGGCCATTATGGTAGCCTTGTGGTTACTCATCACCGCGAAGACCTGGGTTCAATTCCCAACATGAATATAATATGTGGAACCCATTTCCACTGTGATATTGTTGGAATACTGCTAAAAGTGGCCTTATACCTTATTCACTCACTCACTCACTCACTCACTCACCTCTTTATCACCATTTTATACTATTTCATTTTGATAAGGATTTTTATATATTCATGATTATCAAAACTGATTCTCCTAGTATGTCAGCATGGTCAGGTGTATTATCAAATAGTGATCAGTGAGAGTTTTTAGTATAAAGAGCATGTAAAAAATTGCAAATACAAATGTATGTGTATTGTATTTTGATGCAGGAAGCAGAGAAACGTAAGAATACTCAACGTGAGTTTGGAGTGTTCTTTGAAGATGATTATGACTACCTTCAACATCTCAAAGATGTTGATGAAACCGTGGAATTTGAACCTGTGGACAGTTTCAGGATTCAGGAGTCTACACAAAGAGCTAAACAGGTTTGTTGACCTCACCATTCCATGTAGACATGATAGATAGATGATAATGGTTAACATTGCTGTTGAACATTTGTTTCTGAACAGTTATTACTGTTCATGTTCAATGTTCAGACAGGGGTGGATACAGCCTTTGAGAGAAGGGGGAGGGGGGCACAGTTCATTTCCACTTGTTTTCATGAGAGTTTCAATGGTCATTTAATAAACTGCCTATGTTCAGGAATAATAATCAGTGTATTATATCTATAACTTGTGAACAATATTAGATCTTTCTAATTGGATGAACAGTCTGTTGTATTTAAGCTCAAAACATTATGTCTGAGTTGTCATGGTGTTCAAGTCTGTCTGTTGTAATTTTGGGTTTTGACCCCTGGAACGTATGATGATTTATGTCTTTAGCATGTACACCCGTGAAGGTCCGGGTTAGAATGAACCTTCAGTAACCCATGCTTGTCGTAAGAGGTGACTAACGGGATCGGGTGGTCAGGCTCACTGGCTTGGTTGACACATGTCATCGGTTCCCAATTGCGCAGATCGATGCTCATGCTGTTGATCACTGGATTGTCTGGTCCATACTGGATTATTTACAGACCGCCGCCATATAGCTGGAATATAGCTGGTGCGGCGTAAACCTAAAATCACTCACTCACTCACTTTAGCTTGTTCAGTTTTGAAAACTGGAAGACTGTGATGTCAATCTGTAGTTTATTTGAGACATCATTTCTATGGCACGATTGGTGTGTACTGACATGTACATCATAGGCATGCCAGAAAGTAGCCTTGTGGTTCGAATGCCCAAAGTTGGCATAAACCTTATTCACTTGCTCAACTTTTGTTATTTTATCATGTACCAAAATTGATGCAACATTTGCAACTAAACTTGTTAACAGTTAAAGTATAATTTTTTCTCTTCCCTTAGTCTGATGCCACAGCCAAGGATCCTAAATTGAAGCTACCATCAACTGTCTTTGCCTCTCAAGTTGAGACAGAGGTCGGCCTCCTCAACAAGGCAGCCCCTGTGTCAGGTGATCCTAATGTTACATTGTCTACATCAACGTCTCCCTGGGAATCGGGGTGTTGGGGTAGCCTAGCGGTTAAAGCATTCGCTTGTCATGCCAAAGACCCGGGTTCGAGTCCCCACATGGGTACTATGTGTGAAGCCCATTTCTGGTGTCCATCGTCGTGATATTGCTGGAATATTGCTAAAAGAATTGTAAAACTAAACTCACTTACTCACTCCCTGTGAATCTCCATGCAGCAGTAGGCCCCTCATATTCCACGCTATAACAGCAGACTAAAGAGGAACAGGGGGCCAGGCTCCATCAGTGACCATTGGTCATATCCCTTCCTGTAGTAGTTTCCACTGAATTCTTTTTGATCAATTGCATAAGTTAACCTGTCAAAAGGCTCAGTTGGTAATATACCCAGAAGGATTTCTCTAAATTGTCATGATATAATAGCAATCACCTCATAGTTAGATCTGTTACTATTGTCAAATTATCAGCCTTTGTGAATTTCTGTTGCATATCAGTAAGTAGGCTTTTTATTATAACATGAACACTTCTTTGATATTCTGAACAGACTAAACATTTTGGCATGGACGGCTAATGTTCGATGATCGATTTCAGGCCCACGTTTAGACTGGGATCCAGACATTGTTGCAGCCTTGGATGAAGATTTCGATTTTGATGACCCCGAGAATGCGTTGGATGATGACTTTGTCTTGAAGGCTAATGATGCAGTTGAAGGGGGACAGGGGGAGGGAAAAAGGGAGGAAGGTGAATGGTAAGTCCAGGATCATAAATCCTCTTCTATGAACACTCATTTTTTCTTATCCTGACTCATGATCTTTTGCTTATCTCCCTTTCCCTTGCGAATGGTAGTGGAAACACTTGAATCCCTTGAAGTTCCCGAAGCGGAAGTAAAAATACACTCACGCACGAGTTACCTCCCTTTTGCCCTTTCCCCACGCACACAGTCATGTGACCAGCCTTACTTGTCACTCACTCTTGGGCGAGCACTGGAGTCCCGTATACAGCATTATATCCTTTTTATAAAGGTCCTATTCTTCAAACTTACGCTGTGTATGGATTTGGCAATAACTGCTATGTTTTATATGTACAAATTTTGTACAAATTATTTGTATTTGTGTCATAATTTCATCGTTATGTAACAATATTTTTATTAAAACATTGATACAACTGTCACATGGCATTTTCAGCCGCAGAAAATGCATATATGTACCCCAAGGATGATCTCTATGAAAAAGAATGTAGATTTGATAAATCAACACAATAAGTATAGCAAGCTGAAAGAACATGGTTTGATGCACGAAGGGCATTGGGGGCGAGGATCAGCCACGGATAACCTGTGCCTGCAACACTGCAAGATTTCATGAAATGTAAACAAAGTACAATAAATAAAATCTTTTTTATCTATTATACGGCCCCACCACGTGGAGTTACCTCCCTGCCACGAATGCGCAGCCAACCAGTTAAGCACCTAGGCCCATATCATCATTTCTTCTGCTGTCACTCAAGCGTTCACACGTGTTCCAAGTTACTAAGCTGATTTACTTCACTTGTGAAGAATGTCTGAGACTTCAACAACTGTATGTATGGTTTTTATTCGTTCTTGAAAAAGAAAAAGAACAGTTTTATTGACTTTGCAGTCTGTTATTTCTCATTTCTGTGACTTTGCATTAAATTTTTAAGCTAGCTTTCCCGTGTTTTACGCACATGTTGCTATTCTATGGCGGGAAGTTTAGCGTGCCACGTGGTTGAAATATTGCGTTATTAACAAAGTATTTCATGCCGCGTGGTCGCATTCACGTAATTTTCAATGTTTTGTACGTGTATATTTATGCTGCTGTGTTCCGCCGTCAGCTACATGCTTGCGTGTTTGCTTTCAGGCGTTTACTGGGTGTACTGTCTGCGGGCAGAATATCCCGAGAGCTGATAGGCATGACAAATGCTTGTGCTGTTTAGAGAAAGCGGGGCATAACCCTGAAATCCGGGAACTCTCTCTGGCCTTTTCCGCCTGGGCCCAGAAGAGACAGGCGGCTGATTTCCTTTTTTATAAGGAATTGCGAGAGGCGGGAAGGGAACTAACCCAGGAGGTTAAACTTCCCGCCATAGAATAGCAACATGTGCGTAAAACACGGGAAAGCTAGCTTAAAAATTTAATGCAAAGTCACAGAAATGAGAAATAACAGACTGCAAAGTCAATAAAACTGTTCTTTTTCTTTTTCAAGTCCAAAGCCAAAAAGGCTAAACAAGCTAACCCTAAGTCTTCGCATAAGTCGCATTCCCAATCCCAATCTAGTGGTTTTGATGTCAATAATCACTCAATTGTTTCAGCAGCACATGGACTCCGTGAAGTCCCTTGTTCATGAGTCCGTTGGAGGTCTCCGCCAGGAGTTCCTCGCCCACTCTGAACAGGGGACTGAGAGTCCGGGGGTGGGATGGCCGAGCCCGGCTCGATCCCTTAGCCTGGAGGCGACTGTTGATCCTTTGCCTTTGGCTTCGGGTTCAGACGCCTCGGCTACCCTGGAAGGGGAGGGTTCGCTCCCAGTCCCCCTCTCAGTGCTGGCGCAGGGTCCGTTGAGGATTCCTGGGGTTCCGGTCCCTGCGCCACCCCGCCCCATAAGAGCGGAGGAGCCGGTTCTGCCCGGTCTTCTTCCCGTGTCTCGGGACCGGGGTTCGAGTGTTGTGTCGGTTGCCGGAGCGGGGAGTTCCTTCGGCTCTTCCCTTCCCATGGCATCTGTGGCTCGGCCTCCTACCGGGTCGGGGTTCGGTCCTCATCACGAGGAGACCCGAATTCTGACTCTGGCTCGGGTGCTGAGTCTATGGATGTTGGATAGGTCGAGGAGTCGGAGGGTACTTTCCGTTTCTCATCGGCTCTCCGGGAGGTTAGGCAACGTATTGCCGAGTATATACCCCAAGCCTCGGTGCCAACATGTCGCTTGGACTCAACTGAGTTTCGCCTGCCGGGCGAGGCGTTTGCCCCTAGGCAACCCTCGAAGACACAGCTCCGTATCTTGCCTTCCTTGGTGCAGGACGTGATGTATCCCCTCCTGGTTGGGTCACCCCTCGATTTACCCGAACTCGTTAAGAGGTACCAGCTGGGGGATGATTCTCTGTTCTTTGTGCCGGTGTTTGACGAGTGCGTGTTCACTTCGGTCGCCCTCGGGGGAGGCTCGGCTGCTAAGCAAGGGCGGTTAGTTCCACCGTTTCCACTAGCTGTCGCCGTGGGTCCGTCCCAGTCAGTTCAACTGCAGGGGACCACTCACGCCTTCTTACCGCACGTCCCAGTGGGGGGCCGCCTCTCTCTATTCCTGCCGGAGTGGGAGAAGGCTACCAGCAACACTTGGGTGCTATCCACCGTCAGTGTCGGCCATCTACCACTGTGGAAACGAGGCCCGCCAGAGTTCACTGGCATATGTCGCACTCCGGTGCCGTCATGTCCGGTCAAGGCGGGTATACTGCGAGAGGAAGTTCAGGCTTTGATGGACAAGTCCGCAATAGAGCGCATACCATTGGGGGTGTGTTCTGGGCAGTCTGTCTGACTCTGGTCCCAAGCCGAAGCCCGCCTTCACATCAACATCTTAGAACTGAGAGCTGTGGGGTTGGTTTTCGAGCGCTTCCGGGAGCATGTTCAGGGCCAGGTGGTTCGTCTTCAGTTGGACAACCGTACGGCCATGACATACATCCTGAAGCAAGGCGGCACAGTGTCCCTAGAGCTCCTTCGGGAGACGTGGAAATTTCTACTCTGGTGTGACCAGTGTGACTGTCAGGTGCTTCCTGTTTATCTCCCGGGGCTGGAGAACGTGCGAGCAGACGCTCTCTCTCGCCGGATCCTGGCCCCGCACGAGTGGATGCTCGACCGGCAGATAGTCGGAGTTATCTTCCAGTTGTACGGATCGTTCCAGGTGGATCTGTTTGCGTCCGGCAGGACAAATCAGTTACCGGTGTTCTCTCGAATACCAGACCAGAGGTTGTTGGCTTCCGACGCCTTCCTGCTGGATTGGATGGGCAAGGTGCTGTGGCGTTCCCGCCTCTACCACTCATTCCCCGGGTCCTCTCCCAGCTGTCCACCCAGCCAGCTCGGCTACTTGTGCTACTGCCACCGCTATGGCCGTCACAGAGCTGGTTTCCATTAATTCTCAGGTTTCTGTCTCAGCCTCCTGTTCTAATACCTTTGCGACCGGACATTCTCATTCAGAACGACGCGCCATACCCCAATCCAAGGATTCAGTGGGTGGCTTGGCCTCTGTCAGGTCTAGCCTTGAAGCACGCGGAATTCCTGCAGCAGTTGCAGACTCAATTCTGGCTTCGAGGCGGGATTCGACAAACGTTCAATATGAGGATAGGTGGTCCTGCTATGAGCACTGGTGTTCAGATAGGGGGATTGCAGATCCCTTTTCTGCTGATTTAGTTGGAGTATTGGAGTTTTTGCAAGCTTGTTTGGAAGAAGGCTTGGCGGCTTCGACCATTCGTGGCTACTCCACGCTATTTCCACTTTCCACACCCCTGTCGATGGTGCTCTTCTTGGGCAGCCCCCCTCTTATGCAGCGCTTTTTAGCTGGCGTGGATTGGGTTCGACCTGCTGTCAGGCGAACCAGCCCACCTTGGGATTTGTCAATCGTGCTAGATTGGCTGTCCGGTCCTACGTTCTCACGTCTATCGGCTATTTCCATTCAGCTGTTGACATGGAAGGCCGTATTTCTGGTGGCGGTAACATCTGGGCGAAGGGTCGGCGACTTACATGCTATGTAGACATCTACAAGGATGAAAACGGATGGTTTGTCAGAGTTTATAACTCAACAAAAAGATCTACAACATGTTCGATCTCTACAGTTTACAGCCTGCACAACTCTACAACCTGCACAAACCTTATACCTCTATAGGTTCAGTTTCGGACGACAACCTACTTGATGAAAGGAATCACTTCATCTATACAAATGCTGAGGTCTTATACTGGGTAGCAGATGGCCTGCGGATATTTTCGTTCACTCACTCACTCTAACCCAACAGAGACGTACTGCATATACGCTGATGACTTCAACTCCAATATGATATCACCTATGTAGCCGATATCTCAAGTACTGGAGAACCTCAAGACGACCTTTGTAAAGGGCTTAAGGTTAACAACGCCTTAACAACTTCCGTCACTCAGCATGGGGATTAGGATCAATTATCAACTAGATTCAACATCGGTATTTCTTCAAGATCCATACAGACATACGTCTCGACAGCCTCCTTCGTCATGCTGGCTTATATTATCCACAATGGGAATACGTGATTTATATCACTGAACAAGATTTTACAGTTGGAGCAACCCTTATTCAAGCGGTTTATATGAGCGGCGTAGAATTACGCACGCTTCTACTCAACCAACTAATTGCATCAAATTTTAGGGAGGCCAACTTACTACAACACCGGTGACGTCATGCTTGGAAGCTGATTGGTCCACGTCAGACAACGCCTCCCACGGACAGAGCAGGCTCAAGCAAGTTTACTGACTTCTAAACAAACCCGTGGTACGGGGGAATACTTCATCGGCAGCCTTGGAAATAGTATACAACTACGGCCTGTTATCATCATGGGAATCTAATAGATGTCTAGCCTTGACAGCAGGATAAACGATGTTTATTTGGAAGTTGTCGCTGATAAAAGTTGGTATGAGTACCTGTCCCCTGCGATGCTACACTGGAGCCAGCCTTGCTATAAATAGACAATGCTTCGATGTATGCTGCTCAACACAGATCACCTGCGTATATAAGGGGAAGAATGATATATCATCATTGCAATAAGAGGTTAGCGCTTCCAATGGAACGTCCTACCACGATAATGTGGAATATCGTCGGCTCTATGATTATTCATACGAATAACCAAGCCTATCGGCACCTATCTGCAGCATCGAGGTCTACGCAGTGCCGGTTATCTGGACGACAACATACAGGTTCTTCAAAGTGCCAATCATCTTAGACAGCAGCTGAACTTCACAATTAAGTTGCACGCAACTAGGATCGCTAGGGAACCTGATGAAGTTGGAGTTAGAATCAAACAAGATCTTCAATTGCTGGGAATAGAATTATCACAACACAGAATCGAATTGTGGTCCCAGAAGATCATTGGGTCAAGATACAAGCCATGATTCCACAAGCAGTCATCTCTCCGTTAACACTACGAACATGGCAATGTCTGCTCGGTCTACTAACCTTGGCGCAGGACTTGACTCGCACAGGAAGCTTACAACTAAGGCCGCTGCAACGATTCCTGACAAAACATCTGGACAGACTAGCATGAGTGATTAAAGACCCTGTACGGGTAAAGATCTTACCTGTACATGAAGGGGTCACAACTCATTTATGATAAAGACCTTATCATAATCTATGGGTTGTTATAGATATCTAGTAAAAAGGAGATAGTAGTATATCTTAAGCCACATGAATCTAGATGATTCAACTTGTCTGAGAGACCGCCTCCGTGTTGTAGTGGTTAGAGCGTCCACCCGGAGAGCGGAAGGTCGCGGGTTCGATCCCCGACCGCGTCATACCAAGAGACGTTAAAATATGGTACTTGTTGGTCCCTGCCTGGCGCTCGGCATTAATGGGTACAAGAAGGACTGGTCGGCATTGAGTGTTCATGCTTCACTGCGGCATGGTATCTCAGTGGGCTAGCACTATAAAACCAGCTTCAGTCTGGGCTAGTACAAGCAGCCGCACATACACACATACACGCGCATGCACGTTATCATATGAGCGAAATTATCTCAAGCAAGACGTTAAACCCAATTTCACCTCACCTCACCTCAACTTGTCTGAGATGGAAGTAAGACAAGAAAGTGGTCCCCCCGAGTTACAACGGAAGTTGAAAGAATAACGGAAATGCCGTTTCACAGTTCCCATGGGGGGGATACAGGACGTATCTAAGGACAGCTGATGAATCCACGATATGGCTTGACCCACCACCAATCCGCCGGATTCTATAAGCAAAAGATCATAAGTCAGGATAAGAAAAAATATGTAATTTTTCAAGTAAAATTGATATTTTTATACTTATCCTGACTCATGACGAGAAGCCCTCCCAACCTTCCCGCTGGAAACACTGCGGATTTCACAGCAGATCCAAGTGCATGGGCAGGAAATCAGGAGAGATTGACAAGTAAGGCTGGTCACATGACTGTTTGTGCGGGAAAGGGCAAAAGACAGGTAACTCGTGGGTGAGTGTATTTTTACATCCGCTTCAGGAACTTCAAGGGATTCAAGTGTTCCACTACCATTGGCAAGGGAAAGGGAGATAAGCAAAAGATCATGAGTCAGGATAAATAAAAAAATATCAATTTTACTTGAAAAATTACATTCTTATTGATGCTAAATACTATGTGGAGTTTGGTTTCCTTTTTGTATATTGATCTCGTGTCACATTAGTTTTAACGCAAGCTATTGTGGTTGTTATGATCATGAAAATGGCTGATGAAGTAGGATGGTTGGTGGGGTAGACTGGGGGTTAAAGTGTTTGTGCTGCACAAAGAAGACCCAGAATTAGGATAGGTACAATATGTGAAACCAGTTTTGGGTTGTCTTGCGATACTGCTGTAATATTGCTAACAGTTGTTCAGAACCATACATGCTCATTCTGGGAAGGAGTGAGTGAGTTTAGTTTTACGCTGCTTTTAGCAATATTCCAGCAATATCACGGCATGGGACACCAGAAATGGGCTTCACTCATTGTACCCATGAGGGGAATCGAACCCACATCTTTGGCGTGACAACCAACGCTTTAACCACTAGGCTACCCTACCGCCCCCCCCCCCCCTGGGAAGGTGGCATGTTCATGCTGATGCTATAAGATGTGAGAATTTGCTGTGACAGTGTTATAAGACAACTACTCACTCAGACCTTTAGATAGGTGTATGTGTAAACATAGACAAATAAATTGCCTTTATATAATATGAGTGGCTGACAAATATGCAGGAGTGACTTCAAAAAGCAGTTGTTTAACAATACTCTGTGTGTCTAGCAGATGTGGGTTGCTCACCTTGTGTACCTGTATTTATGTAGAGATCTTCATTTACTGAGCAACTCTACTGCATGTATTTGTAGAAAAGGCATGGGTTGAGTCTTCAGATGGCGTCCCAGGTTCACATTTCACATGTCAAGTTCAAAATGATGTTATGTGAACTCAAAATCCAGTGATATTTTCAAGTATGGCATATTCCTTTGTCAACACTTGTTGAATGAGTGAGTTAAGATTTACGCTGCACTCAGTAATATTCCAACTATATGGCGGCTGTCTCTCTGGACCAGACAATCCAATCAATAGCATGAGCATCGATCTATGCATTTGGGATACGATGACACGTGTCAACCACGTCGGCCTGCCTGATTACCCGATTCCGTTAGTTGCTTCTTACAACAAGCATGGGTTACTGAAGATCAATTCTAGCCCGGATCTTCAGAGGGATGCATGAAACCCAACTCACTACAAGACACCTTGATACTGATGTTTTCCAGGACAGATGATGAAGATATCGCATCTGATGAGGCAGATTTCTCTGATGAGGCCATGGACCAGCTTGGCGATGGTGACATGTTTGAGAATGAGGAGACAAAGTCCCGATTCACTCAGTACTCCATGACATCTTCTGTGATTCGCAGAACGGAGGGACTTACGCTGCTTGATGATAGATTTGAAAAGGTGGAGTAGCCTAGCAATGCTTATAAATTATTGACAACTCATGAAGGAAGAACTTTGTTTCAGGGCTCCAAGAAACTGACAATGGTTAAGGACGTCTTTTTTACCCTATGACATCAAATTAGTAGTCATTGTGTTTACATTGGAGATGCTGTTTTACAGAAAACTTGTGTGATATTCTCGTTGATTGGCTGAATATATTTCTCCCTTTAGAGTCAAGTGCATAATCAGACACTTTTGATCACTGCACGTTAGGTCAATTTGGCCCTTTCTCAACCAATGGAAATGTAACTTGGAAATGTTATTTTTCAGCTTAAATGATTCCCTTTTGTGAGAAACCTAATTTGATGGTAAATATCTATTGATTTTGATATGTTATAAGGATATCTGGTATTTCACTCACCATGCTCACTGCTTTATAATGATTAGCTTGTTGATGCTTATAGTGTATATTCATATCCCATCTGCTCCAGCTGTTCGAGGCGTATGATGAGAGTGAGATCGGAGCACTGGACCATGAGGACATTGATGGCCGAGTTGAACCCAGCAGTCAGATACTGGACAGTGTTCTAGATGAGTTCGAGAAGGAGCAGACTAAAGTGTGAGTCACGGAGACTTGGCCATGTTGCACTCGTGCTTCTTGGTTCTGATATCAAAGTTTATGTTGCATTTTTTTGTAAGTAATGATGTACATTGATTCACAAACAACAACAGCAACAGCAGGAGAGTAATGTTTCATTTCTCGTGTTCGTATTTTTACCACTGCCCAAAATTATGTCTTGTACCCAATGCTTTTATCACCATTTTATTATGGGATTTCTGTTTCTGTTTTTGCAGGCAGTTGTCGGATGTAGTGGGGAATAATGTAGTGGCCGATTCCGAGAGCGATGATGACACAGAGCTGGTGAAGATGGTCATTGAGGAGCCTGGGGAGAAGTGGGACTGTGAATCTATACTTAGTGAGAACCTGTCTTGTGTTGTTGGGATTTAGGAGCACTTACTCCCTTTTGTTGGGATTAAGGAGCACTTACTTCCCTTTGTTGTGATTTAGGAGCACTTACTTCCCTTTGTTGGGATTTAGGCGCACTTACTCCCTTTTGTTGGGATTTAGGAGCACTTACTCCCTTTTGTTGGGATTAAGGAGCACTTACTTCCCTTTGTTGTGCACTGCATTTTTAACAAAGATGCTTATCCTGAACTGATGGGTTTTTTTCAGTCCTGGACTCTTCCTGTTTATGTTAGTTGAAATGCCTATTCTGAGTTATGGTTATAAGAAACTAAATTTAGTGGTCCCATTGAGTTTGTCATAGCCATAGTTACTGCACTTCTCTTTGTTGGGATTTCCCTGAGCTCCTGCTGCTCTTTGTTGGGATTTCCCTGAGCTCCTGCTGCTCTTTGTTGGGATTTCCCTGAGCTCCTGCTGCTCTCTGTTGGGATTTCCCTGAGCTCCTGCTGCTCTCTGTTGGGATTTCCCTGAGCTCCTGCTGCTCTCTGTTGGGATTTCCCTGAGCTCCTGCTGCTCTTTGTTGGGATTTCCCTGAGCTTCTGTTGCTCTTTGTTGGGATTTCCCTGAGCTCCTGCTGCTCTCTGTTGGGATTTCCCTGAGCTCCTGCTGCTCTTTGTTGGGATTTCCCTGAGCTCCTGCTGCTCTCTGTTGGGATTTCCCTGAGCTCCTGCTGCTCTCTGTTGGGATTTCCCTGAGCTCCTGCTGCTCTCTGTTGGGATTTCCCTGAGCTCCTGCTGCTCTTTGTTGGGATTTCCCTGAGCTCCTGCTGCTCTCTGTTGGGATTTCCCTGAGCTCCTGCTGCTCTCTGTTGGGATTTCCCTGAGCTCCTGCTGCTCTCTGTTGGGATTTCCCTGAGCTCCTGCTGCTCTTTGTTGGGATTTCCCTGAGCTCCTGCTGCTCTTTGTTGGGATTTCCCTGAGCTCCTGCTGCTCTTTGTTAATTATGATAGTTATAGGAGTGCCCTGTGTCTCTTTTGTGTCTATTTTAAACAAGGTGAAACTAAACTTCAATCCATTACCTGGGGTACAGCAAGCTTTATTCTAAATTAAAGGGGACTACATATTTATGTCCTGACAAGACAAGAGTAAGAGCCCCCTCCTGTCGATGTGTTGTTGATTGAGAATCTGCATACGTCTCTTCTTCAGGCACATACTCCAATCTTTACAATCATCCCAAGTTGATATCAGAACCAAGAAGTAAAAATGTAAGTAGATGGTTGTCCATCATGTTCACTGTGCTTGATCCATAGTCTGATTTATCGGTACTGATACTGAGACTGGGAGTGAGAAGTTTCTGACGTCATTCTGCTGTAACACAACAAGAATGTCAACATTTTATTTGCTCTGTAGATGAATATAGTTGCTCCAAACAGTAAAGCCATTTAAATTTAAATTGACATATGCTTCCATATTATTACTCACTCACTCTAACACATATCATATTGGGGGAGGAGGGGTAGCCTTGTGGTTAAAGAATTTGCTCGTCATGCCAAAGACCCGTTTTTTATTCCCCACCTGAGTACAATGTGTGAAGCCCATTACTGACGCCCCGAAGTGATATTACTGGAATAAATCTAAGAGTGACATAAAATTAAACTCACTCACGTATCATGTTGCAAATGACTGCAAACTTCAAATTTCCAGTTCAGTTAAATACATTAAGTTTTTCATGTATCAAGTTTACTGGTCAGGCTGTACAGCCTCTCTGTTCAAGCTCAGAATATTCAGAAAAGGATCAATCCATTTTCAGAATATGAACATCAAGTTAACTTCAAAGCTGGGGATTCCGCTAGATGGGCTGGAACAGCGTGGACTGACACAGAAGCAGATTGAGCAGGAGATGCGTGACTCACAGAGGGCAGACCGGGCCAGCACGTTCAGGCCTCGGGGAGAGACGCCTGAGGAGAAGAAGGCCCGGAAGCTTGCCATTAAAGATGAGAGGAAGGTCAGTGTACATACTTACCTGACATTGTACAAGAGAGATAGGCTGTGCAGGGCTCAGATATATACCAGTACACCCGTGAAGATCCGCGTTAAAATTGGTCTTCAGCAGCCCATGCTTGTCGTAAGAGGCGACTAACAGGATTGGGTGGTCAGGCTCGCTGATTTGGTTGACACATCATCAGATCCCTGTTGCGTAGATCGATGCTCAAAATGTTGATCAATGCGGTAAAAGAACAAACAGATAATCTCAGGGAAGAATACAGTGATATGAATTTTTGATAAAGTCAGTTGATATAGAAGCTGTATGGTTTCACCGACAATTACCCAATCAAAATACTTGTTTGCAGCACACCAGGTTCAATTTTGTTATACATCTCTCATTCCCCTCTCCTTTTGGTGCAGTACTGAGTATGACAAGAATTAGTTTAATTATAAAATAGCTACTACCACCTGTAACCAGAGCAGTTTCGATCATGATGTTTTTTCATTTGGCAACATCCTAAACATTTTCGTAGCTTTTGGCAGTTGGAGTTTCCCAAAATTTACACTTATCAAAGAGGTACACAAAGTATGTGATCTTGACTTCAAATTGTGAAACTTCCATTGTGGAAGGCTTGTACTTTAGCAAGAAAGTACATTCCCAAATTTGACCTGTATACAAAGTAGGTGAAGGTGCTGTTCTATTAATACCATTCTGTGTATTGCTACAGGACAGAAGAATGGAGAAGAAAGCTAACAAGGTGGCATTTGGAAAGGAGAAGATACGCCAGGATAAAGAACAGCACAATCTGAAACAGAACTTGCAGGGGATGAAGATGATTTAACCCAGGGATGGAGAGAGCTTTTGACTGATTGTACAGAACCCGCAGTAGGGAAGCTGCTTTAACCCAAGTTGGAAGGCAGCTTTGAACTCTCTGATTGTACAGAACCCAGTGTGCTTGAAAGTGCTTTACCTGTGGTTTGAACAGAGCACTGGACTCTCTGATTGTACAGAACCGACAAGGGTTAAGGTGCTTTAACCCTGGTTGCGATGGAGCTCTTGACACTCTGATTGTACAGAACCCACAGGGTTGAAGGTTCTTTAACCCAGGTTGAAATTAAGATGTTAAATCTCAGACTACAGAAATAGAGAGATTTTTTCAGCCAGGTTGGAATGGAGGTTTTGACCCTGTCTAGTATGTGTACAGAACCTACTCTTGCTACAGGTGTGAAGACACTATTACCGATGATGAAGCAGGGCAGTGGACTGGCTGACTCTCTACAGAACCTACAGGTCCATGCATCCTTGGTGTTTGTGGCAGCGGTGTAACTATCTAGAAGGACAGATCTATACTCATCTGTAATTTATGTATGCAAATCTTTTATGTTAAAGTTTACAAATTATAGTCATCTTGTGGTGAACAACAATTGGCTATGTGAATTATATATATATCAAATTACATATTGTGACTGTTCTGGCCATCTTCATATCAAATGGCATATTGCATTATATGTTGAGAGCAGATTAGTGCTGAATACATTTCATTGCTGGAGATCTCCATCACTAGCCTTCAACAGTTCAGCCCCTTCCAGCGTCAATACCATTATTTGTGGTGAGAGTGGTAATTAGGAAGGTCAAGGCCATGAGTATGTTGATTTGCTTGTGGGAACAAACCGTGGGAGTGTTTCACCATGAAAAAGGGGGAATGATCACATTCTCAGGATGATAATTCTCAAGACCCAACCAAACACACTCACCACATAGGCTATACTGGTTGGACTGAAATAACATAGTGCTCTAAAGTCTTCAGGTTTGCTGAGCAGAGTTGCCTCCCTTAGATGAGCCAGGATCTTCTGTACAAATCACTGATTCACCCTGATTGTGATCCTCGATCCCTGTTCCACAAAGAGATCTTAGCGCTATGATTGTGGTAAATCTGTGTTAAAGTGTTGCAGTTATGGCCATCTTAGCACTATGATTGTTGTACGTTTGTGTTAAGTATTGCAGTTATGGCCATCTTAGCGCTATGATTGTTGTACGTCTGTGTTAAAGTATTGCAGTTATGACCATCTTAGCGCTAAGATCACGCTGGTGAATTGGTACGCTCGGGGCTTTCATCAAAGAGGTAGATGTTAATGACCTTTGTACCGATGGGCTTTCCTCCCACATTAGGTTAAAACCCTGTAAGAGTGAAATAGTGTTTAAAGGAGTGTTGATCCCAGTTTCCTAAGGCAGGAATTTTACAGTCAGAATTACACCAAGAACACCTATTGTAACTCTACTGTATGACATATTTGATATGTCCCATTATTCTCTTTATTTTGCACATCAGGGGTTTTAAAGACATTTATAGTTTCATAACTGTTATCAGGTCGGCATGCAGAAACGATGCATTTTTCTAAATTTATCATATTCCTAATTTTGCTCTTTTATTGCCACGATTACAGATTGATAGGCATCATATTATATTGGTTTATGGAGTGTTTTAGGTTGTTAAGTAACATGAAATCTTTTTATATGCATTTGAGTGTCATTCACTCAAAATAATTGTTGTGGTCAGAAGAAATCTGTCTTTTTTGTTGTCTATGAAGAAAGTGTTACTTTTAATGGCAGACTATTACATTTGTGTTTGAAACATAACATAAACAAGTACTTGCTGTGGTACCTATGTGTTTGCGGTTACTCTCCTTTCTGAAGTGTATCCAGGGAGAATGTACATAATGTAAGTGACGCTGGAACAATTCTCCATGCAGTAGTACACTATATCACATTGTGGAGCTTGAGAGATGATACACTTTGTTGGGAGTTGTGAACTGTCTACTGAGAAAGGGGAGATAATTCTATGCATATACAATTTTTTTATTATAATATGTGCGATGTTTTTCCCGTTTGAATACTAATACCTTTATCAAGCAAGTGATCATCACCAATATGTTGAATATATTGTAATAAAGAAGTATATTCATAGAAATATGTCCCTTATTCATCACACCAACTTCTATAAGCCACTCAAAGAAGTTATCTGCTGAGTAAGTGAGTGAGTATGGTTTTTTGCCACTTTTAGCAATATTCCAACAATATCACGGTGACAGACACCAGATATGGGCTTCACACATTGCACTCATGTAGGGAATCGAACCCGGGCCTTCGACGTGACCAGCAAGCGCTTTAACTACTAGGCTACCCCACCGCCCCCTGCTAAACCGATTCTGATTAACGGTTTATTGAGCTTGTGACATAATACGCTTGGTTTGGCAATGTAAAATATCTGGTGAACCATGTAAGACAGTTCTATGGATATGCAACTACTTGTTTACAATATATGCAGTGTTTCGGTGTAGTCGCTATCACCGTTATCAAGCAAGTGATCACCACCAAAATGTTTCACATATTGTAATGGCAAGTATGTCGACAGAACTACCTCCCTTGTTCATCATAACAGCTTCTAAAATATATGGATGAACAACTTCTCTATTACAGTGAATGAGCCGATAAATAGGTGTATAATATTGTTATCTACCTTAGTGCTCCAACTTCTAAATGCCTTTGAAAGAAGGCAAGTTATCTGCTGAACCAATTCTGGTTTTTGGTGATTTTTCTCCTCATGAACATAACACATGTTTTCAAACAAGTTGTTAATTGATGCAGATCACGTGATTCATGACTATGCTGAACCATGTCAGCCCCATTTTCACTTGTAGTGTGTATGGTCAGTAAGATGGAATAAAACAAAATATACTGGAAAATTACGCTGTAAACGAAGTGTTTTGTTTTTATTTTTTTGCTGAACAGGTCATCAGTAAGTGGAGTTGATATGGTTATGCATTTTGCCTGTACACCATTCCATGTCAACCAGTCTCGTTTTCTGGAATTTATATGTTTATCATTTTGAAGCAAAGGTTTTTTTTATAGTTCATATAACTTACACCCCAGTAGACATGGTCATGTCCTAAGTTTTACATAGTGATTTTATTCACAATATGTGCTAGTTCATGTAGAATACAATTTGTGTAATGTGGCATCAGGTATGGTAGATTTTGAAGGCTGAGGTTAATGCTGGCAAAATAAGATGAATGTTAGTTTCAGAAGTAGTTGAGACGATCTCCCAAGAGGCTGTAGCAGCATGTGATCAGATGATTGATAACTGGAGTATATGCATCAACCTGAGGAAAGTTACCACTTTCTGAGGCATATTACCACATTTCTTTGCACATTTCTAGGGGCAGTGACACACGGAGGTGTATTACCACATTTCAAGGCGCACTGCCACATTTGAGGACTTTTGCCACATTGCAAGGCACACTGACACACCGTGAGGTGTATTGCCACATTTCAAGACACACTGACACATTGTGAGGTGTATTACCACATTTCTAGGTGCACTGACACATTGTGAGGTGTATTGCCACATTTCTAGGCACACTGACACATTGTGAGGTGTATTACCCAATTTCTAGGCGCACTGACACATTGTGAGGTGTATTACCACATTTCAAGGCGCATTGACACATTGTGAGGTGTATTACCACATTTCAAGGTGCACTGACACATTGTGAGGTGTATTACCACATTTCAAGGCACATTGACACATTTGAGGACTATTGCCACATTTTAAGGCACACTGACACATTGTGAGGTGTATTACCACATTTCAAGGTGCATTGACACATTGTGAGCTGTATTACCACATTTCAAGGTGCACTGACACATTGAGGTGTATTACCACATTTCAAGGAGCACTGACACATTGTGAGGTGTATTACCACATTTCAAGGCACACTGACACACCGTGAGGTGTATTGCCACATTTCAAGACACACTGACACATTGTGAGGTGTATTACCACATTTCTAGGTGCACTGACACATTGTGAGGTGTATTGCCACATTTCTAGGCACACTGACACATTGTGAGGTGTATTACCCAATTTCTAGGCGCACTGACACATTGTGAGGTGTATTACCACATTTCAAGGCGCATTGACACATTGTGAGGTGTATTACCACATTTCAAGGTGCACTGACACATTGTGAGGTGTATTACCACATTTCAAGGCACATTGACACATTTGAGGACTATGGCCACATTTTAAGGCACACTGACACATTGTGAGGTGTATTACCACATTTCAAGGTGCATTGACACATTGTGAGCTGTATTACCACATTTCAAGGTGCACTGACACATTGAGGTGTATTACCACATTTCAAGGCGCACTGACACATTGTGAGGTGTATTACCACATTTCAAGGCACATTGACACATTTGAGGAATATTGCCACATTTGAAGGTACACTGACACATTGTGAGGTGTATTACCACATTTCAAGGCGCATTGACACATTTGAGGACTTACCACATTTCAAGGCGCACTGACACATTTGAGGACTATTGCCACTTTTCAAGGCACATTGACACATTTGAGGAATATTACCACATTTCAAGGCGCACTGACACATTTGAGGTGTATTACCACATTTCAAGGCGCATTGACACATTTGAGGACTATTGCCACATTTCAAGGCACACTGACATTCGGAGGTGTATTACCCAATTTCAAGGCGCACTGACACATTTGAGGTGTATTACCACATTTCAAGGTACATTGACACATTGTGAGGCGTATTAACACATTTCAATGCGCATTGACACATTGTGAGGTGTATTACCACATTTCAAGGTGCATTGACACATTGTGAGGTGTATTGCCACATTTCTAGGCGCATTGCCACATTTGAGGACTATTGCCACATTTCAAGGCACACTGACACACCGTGAGGTGTATTGCCACATTTCAAGGCACACTGACACATTGTGAGGTGTATTACCCAATTTCTAGGCACATTGACACATTCTCAGGGGTATTACCACATTTCCAGGCGCACTGACACATTGTGAGGTGTATTACCCAATTTCTAGGCGCACTGACACATTGTGAGGTGTATTGCCACATTTCTAGGCACATTGACACATTCTGAGGTGTATTACCACATTTCTAGGCGCACTGACACATTCTGAGGTGTATTACCCAATTTCTAGGCGCACTGACACATTGTGAGGTGTATTGCCACATTTCTAGGCACATTGACACATTCTGAGGTGTATTGCCACATTTCTAGGCGCACTGACACATTCTGAGGTGTATTACCACATTTCTAGGCGCACTGACACATTGTGAGGTGTATTGCCACATTTCTAGGCACACTGACACATTGTGAGGTGTCTTACCCAATTTCTAGGCGCACTGACACATTGTGAGGTGTATTGCCACATTTCAAGGCACATTGACACATTCGGAGGTGTATTACCACATTTCTAGGCGCACTGACACACCGTGAGATGTATTGCCACATTTCAAGGCACATTGACACATTCTGAGGTGTATTGCCACATTTCAAGGCGCATTGACACATTCTGAGGTGTATTGCCACATTTCAAGGCACATTGACACATTCTGAGATGTATTGCCACTTTTCAAGGCACATTGACACATTCTGAGGTGTATTACCCCATTTCGAGGCGCATTGACACACTGTGAGGTGTATTGCCACATTTCTGATCACACTGGCACATTCGGAGGTGTATTACCACAATTCTAGGCGCATTGACACATTCTGAGGCGTATTGCCACATTTCTAGGCGCACTGAAACAGTCTGAGTTGTATTACCACGTTTCTAGTTGCATTGACATATTGTGAGGTGTATTAGACCATTTCTAGGCGCAATGACACATTGTGAGGTGCATTGCCACATTTCTAGGCGCATTGATAAATTCTGATCAACATCACGAGCATCGATCTACACAACTGGGATACGATGTCATGCATAAACCAGCCTTTACATAATAAGCGAGCCTGACCACCCGATCCCGTTAGATTTATGGCGACCAATTCTTACCCGGATCTTCACGTGTTTATTTAAATAATGAAAATATATTTTTGGAAAGCCAACATTTTACGGTTTGTATAAAATCCAGTGGATTTCTCTCCGCCTGCAAGCAATAGCTAAACCGAAACATTTTTCTCTTATTCAAATGATACCAAACATCACGTGGAAGGCGAACTTTCAATTTTACAGAATTATGCAGTTGCAAGTCACATTTGGTTGGATGTGATTATTAGATAAAGGATCCATTGTTCTTATATATCAGGAGGCGGCGATGCATGTTGTAATAAATGCTGCATGTATTATGCGTTGCTGGTCGTTTTAATCTAAATTAAATCCGGGAGGCCGTTTGTGATACACAGATGTGGTTTCTATTGACCGGACATTTCATTACCTATGTTAGGGCTAGGTTTCATTGTTACCGTTTTACCACGCTCACACTAGACACAGACGCCTTCACAGGCACACCATTCACACACTGCCCCATCCATGCCTACAAACATGTCTGTACACAACACCCTTAACACAGGCACCTTCACACTCACACCATTCATTCATACCATCCTCACTGGCATGTCGTTACACAGAGAGAGAGAGAGAGAGAGAGAGAGAGAGAGAGAGAGAGAGAGAGAGAGAGAGAGAGAGAGAGAGAGAGAGAGAGAGAGAGAGAGAGAGAGAGAGAGAGAGAGAGAGAGAGAGAGAGAGAGAGAGAGAGAGAGAGAGAGAGAGAGAGAGACACACACACACACACAGACGCCTTCATTGACACATGCATCACGCAGACCACTTCACACTCACACCACTTGTGGAAACATTGATTACACAACAGTCTCGTTTCCTGTTGACTGGGTTCCGTCCTATTGCGCAACTTAGTACAATAACCAGTCCAGAATTTTGAGACCAATTCATTTAACTGGATACATAAATATTTATCAGTATTATTTCATACATCTAAGAACTTGTATATTGCAACACTACGCTCCTTCTAAACCTTGCACATACGTCGTGCTGCGTGCTCTGTCGTACAGCGAGCACTGACAAACGGAAACCTGGAAATCTCAAAACGAGGCTCTGCCGCTAGAAAAGTTTGGCGGTCTGGTACACAATTGATATTATATCAATAATATTGTGCGTTACAGAACTACACCGAATAAGCGCAAAAAACACGTAACAGGTGTAACCAGTGAGCCAGATGCATTGTGAATCATTTTACGACCTCATCAAACAGGGGCAGTCTGTGACGACTTAGTTAATGTCATACTGCCTACACCTCACCATAAAATATAGAAAAACGATTTTATTAAAGTTTAAAATTTAAATTCATTTGTAAATACTATTTTCTTATTAAACAAGGAAATGGAATTCAGTGTAACCATAGTTGTTTGTGATGTCTTTTTTCACTTTCACACGAGAAAATTTGGGTCGGCTGAAAAGTAGGTCATTGTCTGAATAGGTTAATGAGACACATGTTTCGGTTTGTCAAACAGGCATGTTGTTACACAACACCATCAACACACAGACACCTTCACACTCACGCCATTCACACAGGCATGTCCGTATACAACATCATCAACACACAGACACCTTCACACTCACACCATTCACACAGGCATGTCCTTATACAACACCATCAACACACAGACACCTTCACACTCACGCCATTCACCCAGGCATGTCGTTACACAACACCATCAACACACAGACACCTTCACACTCACGCCATTCACCCAGGCATGTCCGTATACAACATCATCAACACACAGACCACTTCACACTCACACCATTCACACAGGCATGTCCTTATACAACACCATCAACACACAGACACCTTCATTGACACACCATCAACACACAGACACTTTCACCTTCACACCATTCACACAGGCATGTCCTTACGCAACACCTTCAACACACAGACACCTTCACACTCACACAATCCTCACAGGCATGTCCATACATAACACCTTCAACACAGGCACCACTCACACCATTCACACAGGCATGTTGTTACACAACACCACCAACACCAACACACATTACCTCGACACTGACACCATCCTCACTTTATGTCTTTACACACATCATCACCAATACAACCTAGTGGTTAAAGCGTCCGCTCGTCACGCTGAAGACCCGGGTTCGATTCCCCACATGGGTACAATGTGTGAAGCCCATTTCTGGTGTCCCCCGCCGTTATATTGCTGGAATATTGCTGGAATATTGCTAAAAGAGGTGTAAAACCAAACTCATTCACTCACTCATGCATGCACTCAAACACTCTTACGGCTTGAAATATGAAACGTTTAACTCCAAGACTTGACTATCTTAGAACAGATACCATTTGGTGTTAAAGGTATATAGCTAAGAAAAGTATACCCAATGGAACACCGAAAATGGTGATGACACCAGGTGTTCATGTCCTGCCCTACCAGTAGCACCATGGCCAGTTTGCCAGACAACGAATTTACAGCCTAATGCTGCATACCTGCCATGCCACACATCCAATTTTCAGAGAAGTGAATTGTGTAAAATACAGTACAGAATACAACAATAACCGGCCACCGATTAAGTCTACCTATTAAGGTACCTTTGTGCCGTCGACCCGTGAAGATCCGGGTTAGAATTAGATCTTCAGTAACCCATGCTTGTAAGAGGCGACTAACGGGATCGGGTGGTCAGGCTCGCTGACTTGGTTGACACATGTCATCGGTTGCCAATTGCGCAGATCGATGCTCATGCTGCTGCTGACTGGAGTGTCTGGTCCAGACTCAATTATTTCCAGACCGCCGCCATATAGCTGGAATATTGCTGAGTGCGGAGTAAAATTAAGCTCACTCACCTTTGTGCCGTCATACATTTTGAACGAAAAGAAACCATTTTCCATTGAAATGGAGCTGTTGAATATTTACACAGCTTTCAACAATATTTTAGATGTCGTCGGTAATGTATTGCGTACCTGATAAAACTGTTTGACTCAAAGTAAGGTTCGTGTAACAGAAAAGATACTCTCAACACTGAATAACCGTGTGCTATGCAGGTTTGAATAAAAGAATTTGATATTAAATTTCGCCGTGAAATGCTTGGGTGATTTTATAAACAGTTTCTGCATTTAGCTAATAGTTTAGAACTCTGAGTACACAACTAATGCTAAAGATGTTGCTCTAATAACCTTGAACGTGAACGTATACAACTGCCCCCCCCCCCCCTGTTGAACCTTATAAAGCCAGGTGTACACAGTAGGATATCAGCCTGAAGACGTCTTGTCTCAACGATGGTATGTCTTTAGACCAACAATATCGTAGAACCTGTGGAATGTTTTTCAGAGTGGGTTAAGTCAGTACCTGATGTTGTCATTGGTAGATAGCACAAACTGAAAAAGAGAAAACAGAATTGGAACAAACCCTTTCTGTCCCAGCCTGCTGTCATCCAAAGTCTCCCTGCTCAACATGAAAAGTTATTCCCACTGACAAGGTCTCAAATAACATAACCATTATATGTAAACATCATTACATAAATTGTTTGATCAAAGAGCTTGGTATACGTGACATATCAAATAATGCCACATACAAGGCCAGTATGTTAACTGAGGAAGAAATCTTTCTAAACCATTCCAAGGTGCTATCAACGTTTGGGGTGACTCTTAAACTTAAAGACATGTCCATTCCTCTATTGTACTGGATTCCAAAACAACATACAAATCCGTACAAGGAGAGATATATTGCTGGTTCCAGCAAATATTCCACCAAATCCCCGTCTCAAAGATTAACCATAATCCTTAATACTATCTTGATGTTCACAGAAAGTTTTTGATACAAGCGGAATTAATACCATGTGGATGCTTAAAAACTCAAAGGATTTGCTGACATTTTTACAATCTCAGAAACGTACCGAGTTCCGTTACATCAACAGATTTGATTTTTCAACATTGTATACATACTACTATCCTCCATAACAAACTTTAGGGAAAACTTCATTCCTTGATCCATGGGGGTTTTGTAAACCAACGTGGAGAACAGAGATATACCTACATATCTATCTTCAGAGGTTCAGGACAATTTATCAAAAATGAAAGCAAACGTGATCTGAAATGTACCGAGAAAACAATATGTGAAATGCTGGACTTTCTCACTGATAACATCTTTGTGAAATCTGGTTGTACACATTTCGCCAAGAAGGCATCCCCATGGACACCAATGGTGCACCCCTACTTGCGGATCTGTTTCTTTATGCATATGAATCAGAATTTCTGCTTGGGTTGGCAAAATCAAAACTTAAGCTTTCGGTACATCGATGATCTAATATCGTTCAATAACCATCAAATAGCCACTGGCCTTTCACCGATTTAGCCATCTGATCTGGAAATTAAGGAGACAAGTGAGACCGCCTCAACTGTTTCATATTTAGATCTATGCATAAAGATTCACAGTGACAACAACCTCTCCACAAGGCTGTATGACAAAAGGGATGATTTCAACTTTCCAATAGTCAACTTCCAGTTCATGTCGAGCAATATTCCAACAGCTCCAGCCTTTGGTGTTTACATTTCACAGCTTTTGAGGTACAATCGAGTGGGCTCTCTATATCAGGATTTCAAAGAGCGTCAAACCACTCTTGTTCAGAAGGTGTTTGATCAAGGTAAAAATACCCAAGACCTCAGTAAAGCTTTCAAGACGTTTTATGGTAGACATGTAGAGGAAATTTCCAAATTTGATGCATCAGTGACAAAAAATATGTCCGATGCAATTCCCTATTTTGACTTATACCATACGTTCCCGAATTATTTCAGGTGAACAATTGACTAGACTTAGCATATGTTATGACGTGTGCCACCGGAGGGGCAGGATACTCTGACCTTTTTGGTATCATCACTATTCATGGTGATACATAAACACATGCTCTGTCATCGTATAGCATGGTGACAATCACTGGATTGTCTAGTCCAGACGCGATTTGTTTAAAAACAATTTCGCAGAGCTGTAATCCTGCTTAAACAAATATACATGCATTTTCATAATATAGTCTAGAAATTTGTAATGGATGTGGAAGGCTTTTGTCGCTTCTATTTAGACATTAATTATACTGAAGACTATTAATTATCGCACATTAAATTGCGCGGGCACGCACGCACGCACGCACGCACGCACGCACGCACGCACTCACACACACACACACACACACACACACACACACAAGGACAACCAAACACAAGCACAGACAAAAGCAGACACCAACACAAACACACACCGCAGAGAGAACAGCATAAACCCACGCGCACGCGCAATGACAGAAAACAAGGTACTGGTATGTTTTTTAAAATATATTTTTTAAATAAGTCTTAACTTTTCACTTATTTAAGCAGCAGACAATGTACTGCGTAATATCTTTTTTTCTTCTGTCACTAATTAGCAAAGGTACTATGAGTATTGATCGGAATGTTGCCATTATTTATTCATAGGCACGAAGGTGTATGACAGACTGTCCAGCAATCCGATATGGCATTGTTAAAGATTACCGTTATCAATCCTTACAGATCTCAAAAACAATAATATATTTCGTCATAAAACATAAATAATAATAATAAGAAGAAGAGTACTTTTATAGCGCCTCGTCCACATCACCCAGGGACATGCTCTAAGCGCATATTATTACATGATTATGTTCAAGTCATAAAAGAATAGATAGTTTGAAGATGATAAAAGGGAAAATGTCATAATGAAACGACACGTGTTACCTTTGGCGTTTTGTCTAAAGACTATATAAGCAGCGTGAATTTACTTCAGAGGTTGCAGACTTTATGCACTATGATGTTCCACGTATTCATCGGTGTTTGCCTCTTAGAGGTTGTTGCTGCGTGTAAGTATTTTTCACATATTAATTTCATTTTTATAATCTGAAACTGTTTTTGTCCTTACCACTGGACAAAACCCATGACTTACATGATGTGAATGTTTATCTTAGGGTATCACTTACGTTAGATGACCATTGGACATAAACCATGCATTTAGCTCTGATATATAGATTTATCTTAAAGGTCACATGCAACGTAAAACACAACTTTGCAGATTCTGATACCTTTCGGTATGGACTTACCGAAACAAATCGTCAAAAATGCAAATTCAACTTATAAAGTTGAAAAATAACGCGATGAAAAAAACCGCGCGAAATCGGAGTTCAAACGTTTCACTAATTTTCCCCCGACTTTTCTGGGGAAAACGGGTTTCAACAGCTGGGCAGCGCTTATAGCACGTGCGCAGTGAAGTAGGTTCGCGCAGCTTGGAAGCGGTTGTCCGGTGAATACTCGGTGAAGGCTTTGGTGTGAGCTATTTTTTGATATCTCACAGGCGCGAGCTTTTTCTATGTTATGACAGTAAATTAACTGTTTATATAAGTTCATTTGTCTATTTCACCACACGTTCTTCTTACCGAGTCACTTTCTCAGTTCGATAGTTGAAAGCAATGCCATTATTTAGCGTTGACAGAATTTCCAACTGTGATATAGATATGTCGTTGTCACAGACAAAACTCAATGTCTTGTTTTATTGACACCTGTGTGTCTGCCTGCCTGTCTGCTAATGACAATATTCAATACACAGCTGCTATCACTGACCACATGCAATTTGAACTTAACACCAATCAGGCTATACACCATAAACAAAATGCATTGATTTATGGCCCGAGTTCGGTCTCTGTCACATTATGTAATTACACAGACAGGCAGGTGTGATACTTGAATACATGACATGTTATGATGTCTGTTGATTGCAAAATGTTATACACAAAAAAATGAGCATGTATTTACAAAACCCAACATCTCTATATATACACACACAATCAGCCGTGAGGGCATCTGCAAATGAACCAGCCGTTACACTTGAGTGCACACCCACCCGCTCTGACTGGGTTCGGTATCCCGGCTGCTTCGTTTCTTGGGAAGTAAACCGAAGTACACAATATTGCACTTTTGATTTGCGATTGTACGCTTATAATTTTGTTTATATGTTTTTTCATAACCAGCAATGTATATTATATGTCATGAATAAGTGATAATTGTGTTTTAATTATGTTTGATTTTTTTGGTTGCATGTGACCTTTAAGATATCACTTGGTCGATATGAAGTGATATCTAGATATATCCGTACCAAACAATTGTAGTACAGTTATTTGCAAACCATTGTGACGTTATCAGTACTATGACCACACAATGGAATGACATCACTTTAAAACACTCGTCATCAATAATTCATGCCTTTGTGGATGTACCACTGAGTCCTGCTTGACACGGCTGAAAGAACGTTGTTACCACGCATATGTTATTTCACGGGTGGTCATGTTAACAATCTCATGACGTCAATCCCATTAAGATCTAACTGAAATGTGTACTTTATGACAGTAAAGTACAGTGTGTGCATTTGGTGTTTTAGTTAAGCAAGTTAGAATGATGTTCAGAAACTAGCTTGTTTCTTTGTCTTTGGTATCAAAATTCTCTCCTTCAGTCAACAATGACTAAAAGTGTGTAAGCCACACATATTGTTTAGGAAACTCAGTTGAAAGACCCGTGAAGGTCCGGGTTAGTATTGAACCTTCAGCAACCCATGCTTGTCGTAAGAGGCGACTAACGGGATCGGGGGGTCAGGCTCCCTGACTTGGTTGACACATGTCATCGGTTCCCAATTGCGCAGATCGATGCTCATGCTGTTGATCACTGGATTGTCTGGTCCAGACTTGATTATTTACAGACCACCGCCATATAGCTGGAATATTGCTATTAACTCACTCACTCAGTTGAAAGAAGTAAGAAAAAGGTGATTGCCAATTTGGTGAATCCAACGAAGATTTGTACAGTGTAAAACATGTTAAATTTGGGATTACACTTTCGCAGTTAAGTACAGATTTTAGTACCAGTCCCATCCGGGATTCGAACCGATACTCTCAGTGTCATGCGCCTAATAGCCAGTAGAGAAAGTCAGCAATCTGGCATCCTGGCTTTCACAAACATAGTCGGACAACTGGTAGTCTGGACCTCGTACTTTGTGTACCCCTATGGCAAGTGTAAAGTCAACCTCCATATTCTAGAATCCATACTTTACCGGGAAAGTGTAATCCTAAATATGCCAAGGGGTAGCCTAGTGGTTAAAGCGTTCGATCGTCACGCCGAAGACTCGGGTTCGATTCCAAAATGGATACAATGTGTGAAGCCCATTTCTGGTCTTCCCGCCGTGATATTGCTGGAATATTGCTAAAAGCGGCGTAAAACTAAATTCACTCACTCACCTGAATATAACATAGGTGACATGAAACCAGTGTACCTCTCAGACCTTGAGCAAGAACATGAACCAACCCGTCATCTGAGGTCATCCCAAAACACATGTGCCAGACAGTGGTCAGCCGGATTAAGACACTTGGTGATAGGTCTTTTCAGCTTGGAACAAATTATCCCTATCTCTCCGATCAGTAGAGACGTTCAGTACATTCAAATCCAGATTAAGACCTCATTTGTTCAGCATTGCATTCGGAGCTCAGCAGCGCTTTTGAGCAGCCTTCTGAAGACTGGATATTAGCGCTATATAAATATATATAATAGAAAATAATAAATATATTTGACCATGTCTAACTGGGATTATGTATTCATTGTTTAATGTAGCTGTCCAGATAGAGGGTAATAATCGGGACAAACACGGTAATTCATACCCAGGATATGCGCCTGCTTTATGCCATGTCGCATATTCTTACTCAGAGAGATTACCGGGTGTGGAGAAAATGTATACTCCACATGGGAAGTTCGAGCTCGGTTACACTCATATTGAGCGATACCAGTAGTTGTTACCGGGTGTGGACAAGAGTTGACCCCATCAGTTTATTGCTCGTTATTCAACCCTAAAGCTTATTTTGGTCTTTGGTGTTTTGCAGCTACCGGGAGGGTGTGGCACCCCGGAACCAAAATTAAGGAGATTGTGACTCGGGAGAAGTCTGATCTCAGCTCAAGGGTCAGGTAAGTTGTTGGGTACAATTCGTCAGATTACGAAGAATGCCATTATAAAAATTGTTTTAGATAAGCTTGACAAAAACATGGAATATATATTTATGTATAAACTGTTCGGTTTTCTAAAGCAAGACCAAATTAGACATCATAATGAATACAATACATTGCTTTAAGGTATCACGTCGAAGATCAGGGCTCAATTTCCCAGTCTCCGCTGTGATTTGGTGGTTTTTTTGCAAAAGGACTACTTTTACTCACCTGATGTTTTGACCTTTTGGCCAACAACACAAACCTATCCAGCATTTGATATGTATATAGTTAATGCAATTTGGGAAAAAATGATAAGCGATACGGATTAAACTGCCCTCTATAGTACCGTTGAAATAATACCAATGTATCTGTGCATCGTTTGGCATTGACAAACCCATTGAAAAATGGAAAGGTGAAACATTCAACGTGGCTGGCCAACATTTGAAGCTAAGAAGCCAAGGACAAAGTCGTTTGCTATGGAGGTCTGTTCATGATTTAAGTCAGAGCTACAATAGCCATGTCAGTCATGCCCGTTTATCCTTGCCAATTCGCAACTGCCACTTCATTGAATTGAATATGCCCCCAGAAACCCAGGCTTGTCTCCCCATCGGTATTCAGGTCAGAGAAGGGCCCATCAACCTATATTGGTTGTGAGAGGCGTCAAACTGATCGGTAGTCAGTCTGTTGATGTAAGTTGATGACGTATCTCTGTACTCGACAGCGTCTCACGTTGCTCTACAGAGAACTGGGTTGTATGGTCGCAACTCCAGTTTTTGCAGGTCGCTGTGGTATAACTGGAATATTGCATTCGGCATTCAACAAACCAACCAACCAACAAACATGCAAGCAAGCAAACGTCATAAAGATAATGGAAAATATCATTCATACATCAATTTTGTGGCCATGGCTTTAAAAGAAGGAAATTTTAAAAGCTTAAAGTCAGTTTTTTAATTTAGATTTCTCTAAATTTGATTGACAAGAAACACTGGCAATGCGACTATCAACCTTCAAACGCCTCACAGGCAGCTTGAGTTGTAGATTCCCAAGGGATCATAGAATGGCAATCGAGCGCACACTGCTCTACACTGACAAGGGTATAACAATGTCACACCATCACACCACTTGCTGAAGGAAATGTGAATAACTTCCAAGGCCCATATTATTCTATTATTTGCCACACCTACGTGGATCCTCGTGCACAAAGCAGTCTTAGTGCTACATTGTTAGCCTATGTTAAAGTTTGACATTCTTTCACGGTAGCCATTTTAAGTTAAAAATAGATGAATTTAAATATTAGAGAAAACATGGGCGCAGGATTTAGAAATAAAATGTTATCGATCTCTGGCATGATTGAACTAATATTCAGCCCTGCGCCAAAATCTCAGAAAACGTAATTTGTTGATCATACATTAATTCATACTTGATTTTGTAACAACACTGTAAAAGTATGAAAACAAACGTAAATGAATGACACAAACGTGAATAAATACGAGAATAATACTTTTCGACAGGCACAACGTATGTGCCCATCATGTTCACCAGAAATACACAGTGTTTGTACGCTAGTTTAAATTGTGTTCACACCTGATTACGGTTCTAGCACATGCACCGACGACTTCACCATCCGCCCTTTGAGTGGAGTCTGCAACAACCTCGACAACCCAGGATGGGGAGCTCCTCTACAGGACATGCGGAGGATCATCGATGCCGTTTACGATGATGGTATGTTTCTAAAAGTCGATTAAGCATTGTTAAACACATACATGAAATCACACTAAATGTTATTTACGACTTAATGTATACATGACACTTAATTTTTGTGAAACACAATTTCAAGATAAACTTTAAATATTTCACAATGAACTTCAAATACTTCTAAATATTTAACAATGAACTTCAAATATTTGAAAACGTTTCAAAACAACAACATCAACATAGTTCATAAGCACCATGTTTAATAACATATACATGTACATGCCTGAGGAACTTGATGTACAACTGGACCCGTGAAGATCCGGTGTAGAATAGGTCTTCAGCAACCCATTCTTGTCATAAAAGGCGACTATGCTTGTCGTAAAAGGCACTAACGGTATCGGGTGGTCAGGCTCGCTGACTTGGTTGACACATAAAATCGGTTCCCAATTGTGCAGGTCGATGCTCATGCTGTTGATCACTGGATTGATCCAGACTCGATTATTTACAGACCGCCGCCATATAGCTGGAATATTGCTGAGTGCGGCGTAAAACTAAACTCACTCACTCACTCATGTACAACTGAAGGATCTGACTTCCAGATAAAGGTAAACCCCGGTTAGATGGACTACCCAGTGCCAGGGCGGTTAGTGTTGCGTGTTTTCCCAACGACAGTGACAGCACCCTGGAGGCCTCGCTGAACCAGCTGGTCATGCAGTGGGGGCAGTTCATGGCTCACGACTATGCTGGGACACCAGGGACGAAGGGTAAGAAAGTTCACATATTTATTCAACTATTACTTTATTATGTTTTACAGATTAAGATGAAAATGCATCAGAGGGGGTGTCGGAAAATCTGGGCACAGTCAGGCTGGTAAGACGCATCATCCTTGCTCCCTCTACACGCAGCCCAGACAGCAAATGGGACTTCGTGGCTAGTCGAACGTACCAAGAACTTCCTGGAGAATATGTAGACTCCCCAACACTGCAGCCTTCTGCATCACCCAGAGTGTCAGAAGGGCTGTGCTCCCGGTGGAGAACCCAGGCACTCCAGGCGCCAAGAGATCAGGAGGTACCAAACCAAGGGCACCGAGAACAATGGGGAGTCTGATGACAGTGTACTTGGGATGCAAGAGACATTTCATAGGCGAGGTTTGCATATTGGGCATGCTTTTCCTGAATCTTGCCAATCACGTTGCTGTCAAAGGGACAGAAAATTCATTGCTTTATCAAAAAGGACAAGTTCAGGTTTGTTGGCTGGAATTCTTCTGAAGCTGTGTATATTGGCCTATTCCAAAGAAGTTTAAAAGCATGATTTTCCATGACACCCTGGACATGTTCATGGTCGTACCATAGGTGGACTTCGGAGTCAAAGCCACAGACATGGCGAAGACGATAGTAGAAGCAGCGGACCATGCCATCATGTTTATTAAGATATGCTTTTTGTACCAAGGAAGGGCATCCAATGACAAGGTGTTGGACAGTCTCTGCAAATTCCAAATATGTCCATACGTTTACCTTTATCTAGTTCTGTCTGCAACTCTATTCTCTTTCCCGCTTTGTAACTACAAAAAGTTTACCTTTATCCAATTCTGTCTGCAACACTATTCCATTTACCTCCTCTATCTCCATACGTTTACCTTTATTTGATTTTGTCTGCAACACTATTATCTTCCCCTCTTTCTATCTCCATACGTTTACCTTTATCTAATTATATCTGCAACACAATTCCACATACCTCTTTTTACCTCTTCTATCTCCATACGTTTACCCTTATCTAATTGTGTCTGCAACACTATTCTCTTTACCTCTTTCTATCTCCATACGTTTACCTTTATCTAATTATATCTGCAACACAATTCCACATACCTCTTTTTACCTCTTCTATCTCCATACGTTTACCCTTATCTAATTGTGTCTGTAACACTATTCTCTTTGCCTCTTTCTATCTACAAAACATTTCTCTCTATGCCTAGTTATCTCCCTTGTTACTACCTTTATGTCTCCATGCATTCAACGATATCCCTGTATCTCTACCGAAAACAATAGTCTCTTTAACGCTGTCTCTTTCTACTGGCAACAATATCAGCCCAAACCCCTATGTCGGCAACGACGTTGTACTTCTGTGTACCTTCAGTAGTACTCTCCCCTTTTTCGTGTTCTTGTCTCCCTACATTGCCCCTTATGGAAACCAACACTTAAAGAAACTAATCGGCCACGTCATGATCGAGTAGCTACAACCATTTCATTGGCATGTCATTATCTGTTCACAGGCAGCGGATGCTGTACAGGAGTGAACAGCAGCGGAAAGCATCCCGACTATGACTCAGAGTGAGGCATTTCTACTTATGCAATATTGGCGAATATACAGATATTCGCCATACAAAAATATACCATTTTACTTGATAATGATATATTCATATACATTACCACCTCCGCCATGGAGGACGGTGGGGTAGCCAAGTGGTTAAGGCGTTCGCTCGTCACGCCGAAGACACAGGTTCCATTCCCCACATGGGTACAATGTGTGAAGCCCATTTCTGGTGTCCCCCGTCGTGATATTGCTGGAATATTGCTAAAAGCGACGTAAAACTAAATTCACTCACTCACTCCGCTATGGAGGACGGAACACCTGTTTTCGTGTGACATTATTCGTTCATAAGACAAAATATTTCCAGAAAATGATATACAATGGAGAAATAATTTATCTCCTAAATATTTCCAGAAAATGATATATAATGGAGCTATAATTTATCTCCTAAATATTTCCATAAAATGATATATAAAGGAGAAATAATTTATCTCCTAAATATTTCCAGAAAATGATATATAATGGAGCTATAATTTATCTCCTAAATATTTCCAGAAAATGATATATAATGGAGCTATAATTTATCGCCTAAATATTTCCAGAAAATGATATATAATGCAGCTATAATTTATCTCCTAAATATTTCCTCGCAGCATAGTTTCAGTGTCACCAAACTGTTTTGTTTTCTGTTTTCAGCGGAAATTGCTTCCCAATCCTTATCCCGTCCGGCGACAGGTACTTGAACGACTGCCTCCCGTTTAGCCGATCGCAATCCTCCCCACAAAGTAAGTATTACCTATAGTTTGGCATGAAATGCACGTGGACCCGGTTTTTTGTAAATATCTCTTCATCCAATGACCCAATCGATCTCAAACTGTGCAAGTGGATGTTTTGTCAGACAACCTAATCACATTGTAAATCACCGATTTTATGCATTTGTATTAAAGAATCTGTCTATGTAACTGTCAACAAAATCAACAGCAGAACGCAGAATGCTTGCAGAGGGAGGGAACCAATGACCTGTAACAGCGGCAGTGTTGGGTCATAAAGGTCAATGCACGTGCAGTTCATGATGGTTACATGTGCACTGCACAGTGGTCGACCGTTTGGATCATTCACATTGACTACTTCTAGCTGCCATCATGAAAGTTTATTCAGATGATGCTGAACGTTTAATTAGAAATGTGTTGAATTTTGTTTAAAAAGAGAGCAAACGTAGCAAACCGATTTATAAGGTGTCGGATTACATGAAACGTACAACTTTTGCTCTTGGCATGAAAAAGAACATCGTGCTAAAAATTGTGAAAAATAAAAAAAACATCCAATAAACAAAACCTTGTACAAAAAGGTAGGCATCCAAAGTTAGATTCTTTTGACATCAGGGTCATCAGAGATGTCATTCGACAGCTATTTTCTAGAAATGAACACCTCTTCATACCTGTCACGTGCATAGCTGACCTACATTGACGAACGTTGACCTTTATGACCGAACACTGCCGCTGTTACAGGTCATTGGCTCCCTCCCTCTGCAAGCATTCTGGGTTCTGCTGTTTATTTTGTTGACAGTTACATAGACAGATTCTTTAATACAAATGCATAAAATCGGTGATTTACAATGTGATTAGGTTGTCTGACAAAACATCCACTTGCACAGTTTGAGATCGATTGGGTCAATGGATGAAGAGATATTTACAAAAAACCGGGTCCACGTGCATTTCATGCCAAACTATAGCAACCACTACAGGTGTTGAAAACAGTGTTGTACTAGAATCCAGTCAACCACTTCAAATGTTGAAAATAGTGTTGTACTGGACCCCAATTACTTAACCTCTACAGGTGTTGTTAACAGCGCTGGACTAGAAGCAGTCAATTATCCTCTACAGGTTCAGTACTGTTGAGTTTTTAGCAATATATCAATAACCCCTTAACAAGCAAAAGTGTTGTCAATTGTGTTACAGGGGGAACTCGCTAGTGAGGTTATCATACTGTAAGCATGACTTTATATATTAGTGTCAGCGTATCTCGGGTGACCCCACTGTAACTCAGGTCCGGGTGAAGTGAAATTGGGTTTGAACTGCTACGGACTATTAAGATTCCTCACTCGGACCAAAAATGCAGAGTCTGAGCCGACCAGTCCTTGTTTTAACCCGGCATGCCACGTGGTCGACAGGGTTACAACAAGTACCATATTATGACGTCTTTTAGTATGACGCGACCGGGAATCGAACTACGGACCTTCCTCTCTCCCGGAAGACTCTCTATCCGTTACACTACGGGGACGGTCACTCAGGTCGTAGGTGCAGTTGCACAAAGCGATTTTAGCTTTATCGTAACACCCATGCCATAAAACATAGACTTACGACAGTCTTAGCGCCAAGGTGGTTTTCTATTGCGGCACCCTGGACCTTTTACCTTTGGTGAATCAAACGATTATGGCTCTTACAACCAATCATCATGATGGAAATATCTGAGATGTATATCTTCTCACCCACTCGCCATGTCCTGCAGACACGTCACCTCGGGAACAGTTCAACATCCTCACCTCCTACATCGACGCCAGCACCGTCTACGGAGGCTCCGATGAGGAGTTGAACGAACTGAGAACAAAATCAGGAGGTAAGTACAATCTGGTGAGTGAGTAAGTATAATGATTTTACGCCGCTTTTAGCAATATTCCAGAAATCTCGCGGCGGGGGACACCGGAAATGGGCTTCACATATTGTACCCATTTGGGGAATCGAACCCGTGTCTTCGGCGTGACGAGCGAACGCTTTAGCCACGAGGTTACCCCATCGTCCCAAGTACAATCTGGAACACCTATGATTATTGTGTATATGTGAGGCGTTATGACACCATTTATTCCATTTGTAACATAACACGGCACCAACATTAATAGAATAACATCGAAATATCCGTCTGTATCCGAATACGGTACCGATTTGAATCACATGTATCGTCGACATTTGGCTAAAAGTTGCTCGAAGCTGGTTGCCCGACCCGGCACAGAATACGGTTTACCATTTAAATAGCGAGGTTTCAAATGGCTTTAAATCAAAGAAACAAACGGAACCGCCTCATCAGTATGGTATTTAGATCCATGCGACGGTTCAGCGTGACAGTATAGTATAATGAGGACCGTATGACGAGAGGGATGAATTTATTCTTCTTGTGATGCAACCGGACATGCTCCATCCACGAAGCATTTACCATTCTTGCTAAAAGACTGTTTTTGGCATGTGTCTGTTTGCCAAATTTGATGCAACCGTTACGTCTGATACAATGTACTCAATTGACTTGGGTCTCACGCTGAGGTGTTTATAGGTGAACAATTGACTTGCCTTTGCATGTGTGTGTGACGGATGCCACCGGTAAGGCGAGATATTCTCACCCTGAATGTCTGGTTTTGTCACCATGAATGCCTGGCCTGAGATTCGTAAACACAAGCTTATATTTTAGTTGGAACCGTATAACGGACTCTGCTATGAATATGACGATATTTCCTCTGGTTATGAGAACGATTGTGTCTCTTTAAATCTCAAAATGTTTGGTCATCATGTAGGTTTGCTGAAAACCACTTCTGGGGGAAACCTGCTCCCAACTTCAGAGAAGACGTTTTGCCTACTGAGAAACGGGGATCCTAAGTGCCCGAATGCTGGTAGGTCTTTTTGTCATTTCATTCTCATATGATCCGTATGTACGGCAGTGTAGATGTTTGCTAATTATTTTGTCTTTCGTACCTGTGGAGTACAACATGCGCTTCTAAAGCAGTTACATGGACTCGTATGAGTGAGTGAAGAATGTTTTACGTCGTCTTTAGCAATATTCCAACAGTATCACGACGGGGAACACCAGAAATGGGCTTCATGCATTGTACCCATCTTGAGAATTGCACCAGGTCTTCGGCGTGACGAGCGAACGCTTTAATCACTTGGCCAGATTCTCATACGAATACACAATTGCATTCGAAACAACCGCCCCGATTAGTTTTCTGGACCGGTGACAAGTTTGCACAGATGGTCGTATTCCGGTAAAAATCTGTCACACCCAATAGCATATTTTCAGATACTCAGTCCATTGTTATAGGCCCTCCTTGAAGACAAAGGTTGGGACCGATGCTTGTCGTAAGAGTCACTTATAGATTGGATAGCCTCTCTTACATGGTTGATGCATGTTATCGTATAGCAATTGCTCAGATCGTGTCACATGATAATGACTAGGTGCGGCGCTAAAAAAACAAATAAACAAAAAACAAAAAACCCAAAGAAACCAACTCGTTTCAGGCGACTGGCGGGTCAATGTCTTCCCTGGTTTAACAGCCACGCATACACTATGGGTTCAGCAGCATAATAGGCTTGCAACTGGTCTTGGTAAAGAGCACCCGGATTGGGACGATGAAATTCTCTTCGAGGAAGCCCGCAGGATTGTCATTGCAGCCATACAGCGCATCACCTACGAAGATTGGCTGCCTCTGATCCTAGGTGACGATTTCTACCATGCTTTTGACCTAGGCACTACTTATGACTATGACGCTTCTGTTAATCCTGGTCTCTACAACAGTTTTGCTACTGCTGCTAACAGATTCGGCCATTCTCAGCTCCGCGCAACGTACAATGTCAAGGGCTTCACCAATCTCAAGATACAGGATATGTTTATGGATGTATTCTATGCAAACAATGGAATCAAAGAAGTCTTCGAAGGGCTCTTGAAGGACAATAGTCAGAAGGCCGACGACAAGATTACTAATGGTGGGTGAGAAAGCAGTTAGATAAAAATTGTAAGATGATGATATTTGATATTTCTCTGTGATTTGAATGCTTTTGTGGGGATTTAGATGTTTTTATTGCACTAATGTCCCAAAACACTGCGCTTCCACCCTCGATCTGGTATTTCTCGCTATATGTTAAAGTGCTTTCTCTGGGATTTCGAGGTGTTTCTTGCACTAATGTATTGAAATCTCTCGCCTCTCCCACTGCTTATCATAATTTTAGTTGACCGTGATTACCGTGTTAAAAGACAAACGCACCTTATGGTTAAATCATAAAATGTCCATTTTGATTAACCTCCCAAAATGTGTGGAATATATTCTACGACCGCTTCCTACAACCTGTCAGAGATGTTGTGGAATACCCCCTGATTTCCTTTTACCACCTCATTTGACCGCCCAAACCGACTGGCTTTCTTGCTCATGGACATATTGTTTTGGTAGGTTTGACCGATCATCTCTTTGAGCACGTCCAGACAGCAAATGGGGCCAAAGACTTAGTGTCCTTCAACATTCAACGAGGCCGCGACCATGGCCTCCCATCCTACCAGGCCTTCAGGGACAAGGCGATGCAGTTCGCCTCCGACAATTCCATCTCAATCACAACACCAGCCGTCCCTCCATGCGCTTCTACAGTGTACTCGTAAGTCTTTTTCTTTTATCTTTTAAAAGCGGTTCTGTTTTTATATTTGGGATTACACTTTCTCAATAAAGTACAGATTCTAGTACTTTTGCTGGGTTGAGAAGAGTAATCCCAAATATAACATGTTACATTTTACATATTTCTAAATGGCATTATGTATTTATGGTTCTGTTTATGTTTTAAATCTTATTGATTCATATGTTTGAAAAATAATGTAAACACACCTTAAAATATTATTATTTATGATAATACCCAAGATTGTCGCATTATCGCCCAAGTCTCCAAGGGGCTCCAAGGGGCTCCAAGGGGTAATGTCTGCACATTCAGTTGGAACTTTGGTATATGAACACATCAAAGTTCTAATTCACTGTCTTTGTAAACAAAGTAATTGTTCACAATATCACACTTCACTGTTGAAGCAGACTGAAACAGTTCAACACTGTTGTGTCAACAACCTTCAGGTTATCTCGAAGTTTAAGCTTGGTCCCATCATATTCCTCCTGTATTCACCATTTTTCTGTTGTGTCGAGCTACGGATAACTCGAAGTTATAACGTGGATACAACAGTGTCTGGCTGTATTTGATATTGTATTTGTTCTGCGATATATCTTTATCAATCTGAACCCTGTCTATACTTCTTTTAGCAGCATTAACACTGCCTGCTTTGCACAGGTTTCTTTTTATTCAAACAACCTACTTAAGGGTTGAAGTTTTTAAACAAGGGGCGTTGTCGTTGCGTTTATTGCGTTTCCTGATTATAGGTTCGAATCCGAAGTTCGCGTCGATGATGGTGCTATCTATTTCAGCAGGCGCTCGATTGATTTCAACTGAACTGATTTATGATTGAACTGTGTTATATCGCTCTGACACCAGTTTAATTAAACACGCTTCACATTCACTTTCATGGGTCAGTGGCATAGCGTAAGGCCCGTTACGCCAAGGCCTCAGTTCGACTCCCAACATGACAATAGTATGTGACACCCGTATCCCTGCTGTGATATTGTTTATCGTAATCCAAACTCTCCAATTCACTCCTATTTTCAGGGGCGGTGTGGTAGCTAAGTGGTTAAAGTATTGGTTCATCACGCCGAACACCTGGGTTCGATTCCCATCATGGATATAATGTGTGAAACGTATATGTTGCTGGAATATCAGAAACAAGCAGTGGAACCCTACTTAATAACTCACTCTTACTTTCAGAAACACAACCAGCATAGACCTATACGCAGGAGCTATGAGCGAGACCCCTGTACCTGGTGGTCTGGTTGGGCCAACGTTTGCCTATATAATGGGACTGCAGTTTTGTGAAATCCGATCCGGGGATCGATTCTGGTACGAAACGACCAACACAACTATTGGCTTCACATCAGGTAGGTCCATTAGGTTTCTCTGACAAACGCTAAAATCGTCCCCTACATAAGATTTGAATATTCATACTGCTTCACAATCACCCACATAAATGATTTCAGCATCTTAAGAAATATTTTCAATCTTCAGTAACTTAGGTGGCAATATAGTCATATGTATTCTGTGAATGTGAGAAGGATTGTTTGCAAAACCTATTTACATAGTTATAATCTTTCAAGTATATGATTTATATGTATTTGGGTCCGAGTATTTCACCTTTGAGGAAATGTGTGCCCTTTGTTACACTATTCGCGAGTGACAGATCTGGGATGTTTTTACGACTAATCGACGTTCACCCAGATCCAATATATTGGTGTGGGTTGGTCGTTTCTTGGCAATCCTCACTAAAATTCATAAACTTTCACCGAAGCCTTCTCCCCATGTATCCCATTCAGTGCATATAATTTGTCTAACTGTTCGTTGTATTTCATTGAATCATCTCAGTATATAAGCCATTCAATGCAGATATTGTTGTACTGTTTTACAGATCAACGGGACGAAATCTCGAAATTAACGCTGTCTCAAGTGATCTGTAACAACGTCGGTATTGACACTATCCAGACCGACGCCTTCTTCGTCACAGACGCTGCGTAAGCGTTTATTACTATTCTCAGTATACCTAACCGCCTCCGTGTTGTAGTGGTTAGAGCGTCTGCCCAGAGAGCGGAAGGGCGCGGGTTCGATCCCCGACCGCGTCATACCAAAAGACGTTAAAATATGGTACTTGTTGGTCCCTGCCTGGCGCTCGGCATTAATGGGTACAACAAGGACTGGTCGGCTCGGAGTCAGTATAATGTGTCTGAGTGGGGTATTCATGCTTCACTGCGGCATGGTATCTCAGTGGGCTAGCACTATATAACCAGCTTAAGTCTGGGCTAGTACAAGCAGCCGCACATACACATACACACGCATGCACGTCGTCATATGAGCGAAATATTCTCAAGCACGACGTTAAACCCAATTTCACCTCACCTCACCTCTCAGTATACCTGGTTTGTGCCGGTGGTTAAATTCACCGTCGTGTTGTCCCGGATCGAAAGTATGTTGCATATGTTGCAACGTTTAAGGGCTACTTTTTTACCCCTTGTTAAGTGTGAATAACAGGTCTGGTGATGATAACATATAAAAAAAAATGACTGATCTTGTACTAATCTATTTATAACTGGCTTTAAACATGCCTAGAAATATGTCATTGTAAGATCCGACGGACACTCACGTACATAGTTATGTCGATGTGGATGATGCCAGTGTTTGATGCTGATGACGAAGACCAAAATTTGGTTCATTTCAGGACTAACATCGAGGCCAGTTGCAGCAGCCTTGGCTACTTTGACTTCACCAAGTTTTAAGTGTCCAGAATCTCCAGTAATGTATAATCCGGAGAAATAAAACTATTTCAGCAGCAAATATTCTTTGTGTTGTGAGGTTTTCACCTGCTGGTGCACAGGAAATGAAACAATTTGTCAATGGTTATTGCTAGTTATTGAGTGGTTTAGCGCCGCTTTTAGCAATATTCCAACACTGACATAGCGGGGGACACCAGAAATGAGCTTCACACATTGAACCCATGTGGGGAATCGAACCCGGGTGTTCGGCGTGACCAGCGGACGCTTTAACCACCAGGCTACCCCACGACCCCGTAATTTGCGTGAAAACACCCAAGTCATGGCCACCAGAAGGGTAGCACTCGTTGCGTTTCTGAGATTGTACAAATCTAAGACAATCCTTGGAGATCCTCATGGTATCTATTCCGCTTGTCTCCATACTATTTGTGAATGTAGAGAAAATCCCCGAAAGTATTAAGGATTCTGGTAAATCTTTGAAACAGAGATTTGGGGGTACATTTGCTGGACCCAGCAATACATGTCTCTTTGTACGGACATGTAAATCAATTGATCAGTGTAAGGTGTTTATATAGTTACAATGTGCCAACTAAGGCATTGATTAGTAGCCAAAAGGACCAGTTCAAAAGTACAAAGAAGGGCAAAATCTTCATTCATTTAGTATTGAGAAGTCGAAACAACCAAATCAGCGAGTCTGACCACCCGACCCCGTTAGTCGCCTCTCGTGACAAACATGGGTTCCCCTTGTTTTAAAACGGTGATCTGAACAGAAAGGTGTCAGAACTTAATACTTCTAGAAAGTCAGTAATGCCTGATTATCTGATGGAAGATTGGATAAGTATAAGCACGACGCATGATGAGATAGTGCCGGATTTCTCTGTCTGCCTATGAAATCTCCCCAGGTGTTGACATTGTTCATGAATATGGGGCTGGTAGCCAATGGTTGGTTATCAGAATGAGGCCCAGCAACTTGCTCGAGAAAGTCCGTGATGTAGCGCTGGACTATTAAGATTTCCCTGAAACAAATATCAACTTACAATCATGGGCGACACATCCCCACTCAATTACTGAGCCTCCGCCTTAAGCACGTCAGGCCAAGGGCCTTGAAACGGTTAGGCACGGTCTTGGTTGACTAACGTCTGTTGGGCACCTATAGTTTGGCATGAATTCATGTGGACCCGGTTTTTTGTAAATATCTCCTCAGCCAATGACCCAATCGGTCTCAAACTGTGCAAGTGGATGTTTTGTCAGACAACCTAATCACATTGTAAATCACCGATTTTATGCATTTGTATTAAAGAATCTGTCTATGTAACTGTCAACAAAATAAACAGCAGACCGCAGACTGCTTGCAGAGGGAGGGAGCCAATGACCTGTAACAGCGGAAGTGTTGGGTCATAAAGGTCAACGTTCGTCAATGTAGGTCAGCTATGCACGTGACAGGTATGAAGAGGTGTCACAGGTCGTGAATAGGGTAAGGTGGGTGCCAACTGTTAACCATCATACGGAGTTTGTTTCTCTGAGTTGTTCAACATTAACCACAAAACCCATTAGTGAGAATTATTTTGAACGATTCTTGGCAGTGCCTGTTTTGGTTTTTTTATTGTGTTTCCGGATACGTCTACTGTAGGCAGAGTGGCAGTAACCCAGATGACGCTCGATGGCCTTGACTGGCATGCTAGCTGCCTGCATACCCACTATCGGCCATCTCAGTCCCAATTATACTCTTCTCCTTGCCATGGTAACGTGTATGGATGAAACGGATGGCATATTCACAAGTTTTATACCTTTGAACAGTCATGCCGAGACAGTGCTGCTCATGGTATGAGCCGGTAGCATGCTTCATGTGCATTTAGGCTGCGTTTTGGGAAAACCCTTTTAAACTGAATCCTTGTGTTTCATTACCTGACTGAACAATGACATCATTACCAGATCAACATCATCGATAGCCGCATATTACTATGATGAATATATTAGACGGTATTTAATTTATTTCCATGTGTATATAGCTATGAAACTTTTATGTACGGACCACCGAAATCAGCGATAACACCAGGTGTTCACGATAACGTTGATCATGTCCTGGGCGACCAGCAGCACCAGCTTGTGTATTTAGTTAACAGTTTAGAACTCTGATTACACAACTTATACTGACGATATTGCTCAACAATTGTGTATGTGAACGCACGAATCTCCTCCCTGATGAACTTTATAAACCCAGGTGCATACAGTGCGATGTCAGAGATACTCTCTCTCGAACACTTACACACACATCAGTAATTCGATATGGCATTGTTAGAGATCACCGTTATCAGTCCTTTCAGCTTTCCAAAACAATATGTATATTTCGTTATGAAACATGATTTTGTTCACCCCAGAAAAATAGATTATTTTGAATATGATATAAGCTAAAAAATAGTTTTAATGAACTGATACGTTATCTTTGGCTTTTTGTCTAAAGACTATATAAGCAGCGTGAATTTACCTCTCCCAGTGGTTGCAGACTTTATGCACTATGATGTTCCACGTATTCATCGGTGTTTTCCTCTTAGAGGTTGTTGCTGCGTGTAAGTATTTTTGTCGTATTAATTAAATTTTCATCAATCGAAATGATTTTTTTCTGACCATTGGACAAAAAAGCATTTGCCCTGATGTGAAGATTTATCTTGTGCGAATAAAGTGATACCTAGATACTAGGAGTAGCACAGATATTTGCAAACCATTGTGACGTAATAAGTACTATGACCACACAATGGAATGACATCACTTTAAACACTCGTTATCAATAATCCATGCCTTTGTGGATGCACAATCCTGCTTTACACGACTGAAAGAACGTTGATACCACGCATGTTATTTCACGGGGAGGTCATGTTAACAATCTCATGACGTCAATCCCATTAAGACCAAACTCAAAAAGTGTGGCAGTGTGCGCCTTTGGTTTGTTAACTAAGCATCTTAGAATGATGTTTAGAAACTAACTTGTTTCTTTGTCTTTGGTATCAGATTATATCCGTACGTCAGCCGAAGTGTGTAAACCAAAACTTCAGCTACATCACGGCGAAAAAACCTGCATGTTTTCCTTGTGTAAAGTCAGTTGAAAGACGTAAGAAAACGGCGATTTCCGATTTGATGAGTACAACGCAGATTTGTATAATGTAACAAATGTGGAATTTGGGATTACGTTTTCTCACTTAAGTACAGATGTAAGTTCTTTAAGGGGTTGAGTCCCAGTCGGAATTCGAACCAGCACACTTAGAGCCAGGCACCTAATCGTCAGCACACAACGTCAGCGATCTAACCGAATCAGGCTTCCCGGTGTAGACAGAAATGGAACTCGGAAAACTGGTGGTCGTGTACCCTTCTAATGAGTGTAAACACAACCCCAGATATTCCTGGTTGTGGACAAGAATATTCACCGATCAGTTGTAATCCCAAATATAACATATGCTACATCTGACCACTTTCTAAACTGCATTGTGTTTTCATAGATCAGTTTATTGTTTGTTATTCCATCCTAAAGCTTTTATATTTTTTTGTCTTTCCCAGCTACTGCTAGGGTGTGGCACCCGGGACCCCAAATTAGGGATATTTTGACTCGGGAGAAGGCTGACCTCAGCTCAAGGGTCAGGTAGATTGTTTTATACGTTACGTCAGATTATGAACAGCGCTATTATAAACTCGTGTAAATTGTTTAGATAGGTTTTCAAAACTAACATGGAATATATATAACACTATTTTCAACGGAAGTCGCTGATGTGATGTTCGTGTGACTTCCCAAATAACACCTAAGCCCGATTGTAATGAATATAAAACATAAAATATACAATGTTCGTTTAAATCAACAGAAAATTAGATATCACATTAAACAAAAGAAATGTATCATGTCAAGAACCAGGTCTCGATTTCCCAATCTCCGCTTTGATAAGGTTGTTTTATTGCAAATATAATCACATAATACACTCACTTTATGTATTGACCTTAAAACTACAACACGAACCTACCCATCATCTGGTGCACATGTACTTAAATCACTTTGTGAAGCCACGCGCATCGATACTGTTTAAACTACCATCTATAGTACTGTTGAAATAATACCAATGTATACGTGCATCGTCTGACATTGAAATGCCCCTTGAAAGGTGGAAAGGTTTAGCCAAGGACAAAGCCGTTTGAAACGGACACCTGTTCAGAGTAATTCAGAGCTACAAGGAGGGCGTTGCTTAAAATGAAACATTATTATTTTGCAAAATATTGCTAATTTCCTAATTGTTCTTAGTTTGTTAGAGTGAAAAAGCTGGTTCATTTTGTGCATATTCGGGTTTCTACAGAAATACTTGTTTATATATTGTTTCCTTCTTGGGCCAAGATAGGGCAAATAAACAAAAAAGTGAAATTCGGAGAGTACATAATCTTTCATTTGGAGGAGTTTTGATCCATCGTCCTGTTTCAATTGGTGGATAATGGTTTGACGTTCTGAAATGAAGTAACGCCAATCGATCATTATAATGAAATAAATCCAGAAAGGTTTCATATTTCAATTCAGAATTATTTTTAAAAATTATAAATAGCTCCTCTTGAAGATTTTTCTGTGTTTGATATCGAGAGAAGGGCCTATGAACCTATATTGGTCGTGAGAGGCGACAAAACTAATCAGTGAACGGGTTTGTATTGTCGCAACTCCAGTTTGACGTGTCGCTGTCATATAACTTGAATATTGTTAAGTTTGGCATTCAACAAACAAACAAACAAACATGCAAGCAAGCAAACATCACGAAGATAATGGAAATCATCATCCTCTCGCGAAACAATTTGTATCCATTGCTTTGAAAGATGGAAATCTTAATAAAAATACATAAAGTCACTTTCTTCGTTTAGATTTGTCTAATCTTTGAAGACAAGAATCTTAGGATGAAATGGTAATGTGACTATCAAACTTTCAGTAGGACTTTTCACCTTTATTATTGCATTATTTGTTATCCCTACCTGCATCTTAGCGCTACGATGGTACGGTAGCTATTTTAAGACTGTTGAAAATACATGAATATAAATAGCTTAGAAAAAATAGAAACAAAGAGTTATTGTTCTCTGGCTTGATTGAACTAATATCCAGCCCCTCGCGAAATTCCAGAAAACATAATTTGTTGATCACCAAGTGGCGTTAATTCATACTGGATTGTTTTCTAAAACGGGAATAAATACGAGACTAATCATGTTTTCCGGAAGTACACCGTTTTTGTACTCTAGTTTAAATCATGCATATGAAAATTGATTACGGTTCTAGCACATGTACCGACGACTTCACCATCCGCCCCCTGAGTGGAATCTGCAACAACCTCGACAACCCAGGATGGGGAGCTCCTCTACAGGACCTGCGGAGACTCATCGATGCCGTTTACGATGATGGTATGTTTCTAAATGTAGATTTAGCATTGATAGACCCATACATGAAATCACACTAAATATTTTTTATTTACGACTTAATGTATACATGACACCTAATTTTTGTGAAACACAATTTCAAGATAAACTTAAAATATTTCAAAATATTGTTAAACCCATACATGGAATCACATTAAATAGTATGTATGAATAAATATACTGCATGCATAGGACATACTGTCTGTGAAACACAATTTCAAAATATTTCAAAATAAACTTCAAAGATTTCAAAACGTTTCAAAGCAACAACATCAACATAGTTCACCATGTTTAATAACACATACATGCATGAGGATCTCCATATACAACTGAAGGATTTGACTTTCAGCTACCGGTAAACCTCGGTCAAATGGTCTACCCAGTGCCAGAGCGGTTAGCGTTGCGTGTTTCCCCGACGACAGTGACAGCACCCTGGAGGCCTCGCTGAACCAGCTGGTCATGCAGTGGGGGCAGTTCATGGCTCACGAATATTCTGGAACACCCGGGACGAACCGTAAGAAAGTTCAGCATTATCGTTATCATTATCTTATTCTGTTTACAATACTATTCCCTCTATCATTATCTAATTCTGTTTACAATACTATTCCCTGTATCATTATCTAATTCTGTTTACAATACTATTCCCTGTATCATTATGTAATTCTGTTTACAATACTATTCCCTGTATCATTATCTAAGTCTGTTTACAATACTATTCCCTGTATCATTATCTAAGTCTGTTTACAATACTATTCCCTTTATCATTATCTAAGTCTGTTTACAATACTATTCCCTGTATCATTATCTAAGTCTGTTTACAATACTATTCCCTGTATCATTATCTAAGTCTGTTTACGACACTATTCCCTGTATCATTATCTAATTCTGTTTACAATACTATTCCCCGTATCATTATCTAAGTCTGTTTATAATACTATTCCCTGTATCATTATCTAAGTCTGTTTACAATACTATTCCCTGTATCATTATCTAAGTCTGTTTACAATACTATTCCCTGTATCATTATCTAAGTCTGTTTACAATACTATTCCCTGTATCATTATCTAAGTCTGTTTACGACACTATTCCCTGTATCATTATCTAATTCTGTTTACAACACTATTCCCTGCATCATTATCTAAGTCTGTTTATAATACTATTCCCTGTATCATTATCTAAGTCTGTTTACAATACTATTCCCTGTATCATTATCTAAGTCTGTTTACGACACTATTCCCTGTATCATTATCTAATTCTGTTTACAATGCTATTCCCTGTATCATTATCTTAGTCTGTTTACAATACTATTCCCTGTATTATTATCTAAGTCTGTTTACAATACTATTCCCTGTATCATTATCTAAGTCTGTTTACAATACTATTCCCTTTATCATTATCTAAGTCTGTTTACAATACTATTCCCTGTATCATTATCTAAGTCTGTTTACAATACTATTCCCTGTATCATTATCTAAGTCTGTTTACGACACTATTCCCTGTATCATTATCTAATTCTGTTTACAATACTATTCCCTGTATCATTATCTAATTCTGTCTACAACACTATTCCCTGTATCATTATCTAATTTTATCTACAGCACTATTCCCTTTATCATTATCTAATCCTGCCTACAACAGAATTCTGTTTATCATTATATAATTCTGTCTACAGCACTGTTCTCTTTATCTCTTTCTGTCTACAAATCTTTTCTCTATATGTCTTTCTATCTCCCTTACAATGTCTTTCAAATGTCTCTATGTTTTGTCTTTTGTTCACCAAAACAGTAGTCTCTTCAACCCGTTCTCTTTCTACCTGCAACAATGTTGTACTTCCGTGTACTTCAAGTAGTACTCTAGCTTGTTATCATGTTCTTATAAAATATCCCACACTCAAACTAACCAACGGGTCCGGGAGTTGCTACAACCATTTCATTGGCATGTCATTATCTGTTTACAGCGCACGGATGCTGTACAGGAATGGACAGCAGCGGAAAGCATCCCGACTATGACTCAGAGTGAGGCATTTCTATATATGCGACATTGGAGAATATACCCACTCACCATACAAAAATATTACCATTTTACTTGATAATAATATATTATATCCAGAATATGGATATAGAGAGTGAGTGAGTGAGTTAATATTTAGTGTCACATCGGCAATATTTCAGTCATATCGTGACGAGAATGATTTAGATTATATCACTATTAAAATCAATAAATTTTTAACGTAAAAACTGCCATCGAAGGACAGTACAACTACCAGAGTATCACAGCCCTTCATTTAAAACTAGTACGCTACATAAAGATATATCTCTATAGACAACAGTACAATACAAAAGTGGGCAACATAGATTACCAGCAACTGAAGGCTGATATCCATACTAGAGACCATTGGGACTTGCAGTACCTTTGCTACCTGCATGGACCCAAGACGGATTTATATCAACCCTTCAGCAGCTGTCAGATGTAGTCAAAAGTAATATGACAAAAATACTACATTAGAAAAATCTGTTGGATTTAAATTTTCTTTGAATGTTTCGGGACTTACGTACCCTCTCAGGAGGACAATAATTTTACAATACTTTAACCCCCCTTAGTATGAATGTAGAGTACAGGACACCTGTTTTAGCGTGACCTTATTCGTTCCCAAGAAAGATGTTTCTGAAAGGTTATACGCAATAAAGAAATAAAGATGTCGTCTCAGCATAGAAGGGAACAGTTTCATTGTCACCAAACTGTTTTCTATTTTCAGCGGAAATTGCTTCCCAATCCTTATCCCGTCCGGCGACAGGTACTTTAACGACTGCCTACCATTTAGCCGATCGCAATCCTCCCCACAAAGTAAGTATTACCTAGCAACCACTACAGGTGTTGCAAACAGTGTTGTACTAGAAGTCAGTCAATCTCTACAGGTGTTGTAGAAGAAGCCAGTTAACCACTACAGGTGTTGCAAACAGTGTTGTACTAGAAGTGAGTCAATCTCTACAGGTGTTGTAGAAGAAGCCAGTTAACCACTACAGGTGTTGCAAACAGTGTTGTACTAAAAGTCAGTCAATCTCTACAAGTGTTGTAAACAGTGTTGTACTAGAAGTCAGTCAATCTCTACATGTGTTGTAGAAGAAGCCAGTTAACCACTACAGGTGTTGTAAACAGTGTTGTACTAGAAGTCAGTCAAACTCTACAGGTGTTGTAAACAGTGTTGTACTAGTAGTAAGTCAATTTCTACAGGTGTTGTAAACAGTGTTGTCCTATAAGCCATTCAACCACTACATGTGTTGTAAACAATATTGTACTGGACCCCAATTAATCAACAATTACAGCTCTTGTACATAGTTTTTTACTAGAAGCCAGTAAACCACAACTTGTTGTAAACAGTGATATACTGCAGCCTTATCAATCAAATATCTGAGATGTATATCCACTCACCCGCTCGTCATGTCCCCAGATACATCACCTCGGGAACAGTTCAACATCCTCACCTCCTACATCGACGCCAGCACCGTCTACGGAGGCTCCGATGAGGAGTTGGAGGAACTGAGAACAAAATCAGGAGGTAAATATATCTTGGACACCAGTGATTATTGTATATATGTAAGGCGTTGAGACATCATTCATTTAGTTTTTAAGTAGTCACAAAACATTCCGAATACTGTATTATTTGTACCACATATGGTGGGCGTGTGGTGGGCGAACTGTCTAAGGCCCCAGGCTGGTGATCCAGCGAGCTTGAGGTGCCGGGATCGAGCCCGCATGTGACCGGGTGAAAACCTTGGAGTCAACTTTGTGCACAGACTCTAACAGTGTTGTCACAACCAACAGTGTACTGTACACAACACTGTGCACTTAAAAGAACCCACGTATCCGTTGGTAGATGACCAGACGGTGGCCACAAGAATACGCGCAAACGCCCAGTTGCGGGTACAGCAACATGCAGTAAACTTTTGACTACTTGTCCCAGTCCACCCAGCTATGAATGGCTACCTCGTAAGGGTGGGAATGCCACATCAACCCAGTGCGCCTAGTGGCTGCAAGAGTTGTATGATCCCCAGGGAGTTGAGACTGATCATACACTAAAAAGGAGACTTGACTCATCCCCAAAACTTCCGCCCTATCAGTTGTTTGAATACTCAGTATAAAATCTTCATAGGGTGTTTGACAAGTCTAGTGTCATCAAAGTTATCGTCTAACGACATAATTTATAGAGAGCAGAAGGGAGCGAGGAAGGGATGTTGGGGGTGCAAGGATCAACTTCCTGTACAGAAAATGATTTTGGAAGAGGCTAAAACATATCACCGCAACCTCTCCATGTGTTGGATTGACTACAAAAAACCATACGACTCTGTCCCTCATGAATGGATTCCGTAGTCTCTTCGTTGTATTGACCTCCCTGAACGTGTAAACGGGGTAGTCCCATAGATGACAAGGGCCAGCCGTAGGGCAGAGTTATCCAGCCAGTGGTGGGTTAAACACCCGCGATCAATTCTGCAACATGTTATAGTACATGTACATGTGTCACAGAATATAATATTTAAATACAACGTAATCTTTTAAACATTACATAAACATTAAATAAATACAGCTAAATATTTAAGGAACATTACATTAACATTAAATAAATACACATGTGACCAGTGACAGCTATCATAATTATTGAAAATAGCATTGTGGATAAAACTACCAAATTACACATAATTACCAGCTATGGGTTGAATCAAATGGCTGGTGCTTCATCAGAACGCCTTCACTAGTATATCTAAACACAATATTAAAGTTATAACTACTATGCAAAACACTAGTATAAAATACATCACAAGTGCAGTACAAATTGTTTTGCAGAAATACATCACCAAGATATTGGAAAATATTTTGTCTCAACATTCCATATATACTAGGCACATAAAGAAACTGTGCATACAAAAATTTAAAATCTAAATTTATCAAACCTGTGTAGACACATAAGGATTTAAACTCAGAGATTAGTGACATGTATCCATGCATGCATGCACGTGCCACGTTCCGTGACGTCAGTGGGTTCGTCCTTAAGACGTGCAATACGTTGTTGCACGTGCATTCCAGGAAAGAGAAACAGAGCAAATGAATGTCACACAATACTGTCACTTTGGAAAGCTCAACCCCTGCCCTTGCGATCGTTCAAAAAATTAAACGGCTATTGAAACGCATAGCATGCCAAGGCTCACGTCTGCACAACGTCATGAGGCCAATTGGGGCGGTCCGTGGGGGAATGTCTCAACGACAAGTGGCTGCACATTTCCACTGCCACCGGAACACCACTTCTGCACTGGTGAGACGCTACCAGAACACAAATGACGTCATCGATCGGCCACGTTCTAGACGTCCACGTGCAGCAACGCCAAGACAGGACAGATGGATAAGGGTGACCCATCTTCGCCACAGGTTTCAGACTGCAGTGATGACTGCCCGAACCATCCCAGGACTTCGCCGTATCCACCCCAACGCAGTTCGACAACGTTTACGTCATCACGGGATCAGACCACGACGTCCCGCCATACGGCCTATCCTGACACAACGTCATCGACAAGCTCGCCGAATGTGGTGCCGAAATCATGTCCGCAGACCCTTGATTTGGTGGAGAAATGTTGCTTTTACAGATGAGTCCAGGTTTAACATTTCCCATAGTGATGGACGTCAACGTGCCTATAGACGCGTGGGAGAACGTTATGCACAGGCCTGTGTCTTGGAGAGGAATCGCCTTGGTGGTGGTTCCGTGATGATTTGGGGTGGAATAACAGCACGCCAAAGAACTCCTCTGGTGATTGTTCAGGGCAACTTAACTGGTGTGGGCTACAGGGATCAGATTCTTCGACCTGTGGCAATTCCTTTTCTGCAACGTCATGGCCCTGGGTTAACATTCCAACAGGACAATGCCCGCCCTCATACGGCTCAACACCACAACGTTGACTTACTGCCTTGGCCTGCAACTTCACCGGATGTCTCCCCGATAGAGCATGTTTGGGACGAGATGGATCGACGTCTACGCCGTCTTCCTCATCCGCCAGATAACGTCCTTGACCTTGCAACAGAACTTGAGAGAATCTAGCGTGACATCCCACAAGCCTTCCTTGCACGTTTGATAGGCTCTATGCGTCGTCGATGCACTGCTGTTCTCAATGCCGATTGTGGACATACCCATTTTTTGAGCTTGTTACATGGTCGTTTGACCCCCTGTCCCGCTTGTGGACGTCATTGTGATTGACTTTTCAATTGAAATTCTCCCGACTTGTTATGGTCTCATGATCCCTCCATTAAAGTTTATATGTACCTTTGACATTGTTATCGTACTTATCAACTGGGATAATATTTTGACAATGCACAGTTTCTTTATGTGGCTCGTATACTTTAAACAATATTTTAAAATACCATAAACCAATTGAAATGTTTTGTATTTTTTATCCTTAATAAAATACATTATAATACATGAAACTAACCTTGAGTTTCTTCAAGACCAAAACATGTGTCCCTGGTGAAGTTGCCAGCCAGAATGCAAAATACTGAGCATCTTGCCTTGCATGAAAAGCATGAGCAGCAACTTACAGCCAATGAGAAGTTTCAAGGCTTCTTCATAAACTTAAGGCCAATCAGCACAGTTGGTATAAAATATGAACTGTGAACTATCCTTACATAGGTGGCAAGGCTCCAAATGAGTGGTCCTGAGGGTCACCACCTCATTATGAAATTAAAAATATTTTAAAGCTTATAATTAAAACCAAACACCAAAACAATGCCAAAATAAATACAGTATTTTGCACCCGGTTACAAACGAATACTTGATTTACTCAAGTCTTTAATGAGTTGCTGGTCAACTCAACTTGAAATGTACTTGCAAGGACAGGTGCGCGCGTGCAGACTTCTGAATGTATTCCTATCAGAAAGGGAATATTCCAGGGGGACTCCTTCAGTCCTTCGCTTTTTTATTTGTTTTTAAACCCTTTGAGCTTTCTTCTCAATATAGAGGAGGGTTACCATCCTCAGCACAGATCCCCAACACCGCTTACTCATCTCCGTTACATGGATGACATCGAGCTCCTTGCCAAATTAACGGAGATACCAGTTTGAAAGAACAGGTTCTCCTTGTCGAGTCCTTTTCTAACGATATTGGCATGACATTTGGACTCGAAAAATAGAATACTCTTCATCTCAAACGTGTCAAGGTAACTAATGGTGGATGGGTTAAGTTATTGAAATGCAAGTTCGAGAGAAGCTCCAGAATGCCTAAATTCAGGACAAACATCGGGCCGAGTATAAAACTCGCTTAAATAAAATCTGGAGCTCAGAGCTAAATGCTCGAAATAAGGTCAAAGCCACCAATACCTTTGCTGTGCCAGTCCTTTCCTATTCCTTTGGACTAGTTGATTGGACAAAACAGGACATCCATCCAGAGTCTTGACCGCCTGACCAGAAGGGTCATGTCTGATAACAGAGCCCACCACCCTCGTTCCTCTCTTAACCGTTTATATATGCCAATCAGATCTGGAGGTCGGGGTTTGATGGATGTGGATGCTCTGCATGATAGAATTTCATTGTGTTCTTTTGCACATATTTATATTTATCGGACGATCCTCTTGTGATGCATGTCAAGACTCATGATGAAACCAAGGAATTCAGCAGCTATATTAAGTGTGCCAAGGTTGTTGTACAGAATCTGAAATATTAGGTTGATTTTGTTGGTGGTGATGTTCTGCTGGATGGTACAGCGATGGGAGTAAACCAGGTGAAATGATTCATCAAGTCATTGCCTCGTTTGTTCATGCAGTGTATGGAACAGAATAGCAATCCAACCGACTCCTTCGCCTGGATGAAGTCGACAGATCTTAAGAGTGAAACAATGGGCTTTTATTCACTTACCACTCGCAATCGCCTAAATGTGATTCTGAAAGAAAATATTGACTTGAAATGTTGATTATGTAATGAATTTACAGAGACCGTCCAACACTTTGTCAGTGGATGCCCTTCCTTGGCACACTTCTTAAAAGACACGATGGCATGGCTCGTTCCTTCTACTATAGTCTTCGCCATGCCTGTGGCTTTGACTCTGAGGTCCATCCATCAATGGTACGACCCTGAACATATCCAGG